GCAAAGAATTGATAAGCTGCACAGTGCCCAAAAGTCCTAGATACGACCGGCATGAAAAGAGTCAAATACTGTGCTAATAAATATAAACTTGTTTAATGATAAGCTAGGCAGGGTGGGAAGACTTAGATATTAAAATTACAGCGTAATAAGTTTCCCTGGAAATTATCAAAGCAAGGATGAGAGTACCTGCCATCAGACAGTCGAACTTTGTCGACGGTACCACTGCGCTAAAAATACACCATAACATCAATTCAGGCATGATAATGTATTTTATCCTGGCTGGCACCCGCTTTTACTGTCGATGCCACATATATCCTCGCGATGATCGTTGATCGGCTGTCAGTAATCGATTATCGATGGGCGGCGATTCTATTAATCGTTGCCCACCCTGGTCACAACCACCTTCGCTCCTCCCAACAACATGGTAAGAGGGCATCTGAGCAATAAATTCTATCCCCCTTGTGTTCTACCGTATTACTAATCTATACATAGATCCTAAGTGTAAACGGCTGAAGCTAAACATATTATCAGGGAGCACTGTTCAAGGACTGTAGATTTGCTAAGCTAGGTCTAGGTATGTATACAAGACGTTGCTCGACGAGCTACGCTAGGCCCGAATAGGCAAGATATCAACATAGGCCTTGGCACGTCTTCTCTGCGCACCAGCTTCCTGACACATATATTCAATTTAGTTAGGCTAGTTGCAAACTATCTGTTACGGAGACACTATAATCCGCCCAACTTGGCGGTGCGGAGTATCTGACGACCGATTCAACCCCTGAATCCTTTAGATAGTTGAACACCTCAATGAGAATATAGGGAACCGTTTAGTAGGCTCAGTTGGTTGAGATACTACGATTCCTGGTGTTTCCACTGAATGACATCTACTTCCTAATTAGGCTAGCTGATAGAATAGCTCCCTACGAATCACCTCCCCTGAGTTCCACAACACTATCAATAGCTTGAAGAAACATGAAGAATATAAAGTAAGATGTTGGAAATCAGGATGCCTAAGGCACCTTCGTATATCCTAGTCCCGCAGCGATGTGATATATCATATTCAGGGGCTAAGGGACACGTAGACATAAGGAAGCGTTTGTATACGCTCTCTCTCGAAGATAGAAGAAGATACTCACCATGCGATACTAGATCGCACCGATAGTTTCAATATACTATCCAGTCACCGCTATCCTAGCACCTCAGGACATAGCTTCTTCACCGAGATTCAAGTAAGTAAGTATATATAATATAAGATAAGATAAGAAACTCTTATAGATTGTTGAAAACGATGTGATCTCTGCCCTCACATGACCGTGTCTGCGTCCTCTCTCTGTCGCGTGCTTACGCGTATTGGGCACCGTTATCCAGACCCTGCTGCTGCTATGGGGCATCGCCGAGTGGAGTTCGTAATAACAAAACAGTATGACTGGTGTTCTCAATTCAAAGCCCAGTCTAGAAAAGGGAGGCTCATAACCAGTTGAAACTCTGAACTGAGGTACAAGTGTGATGATATTCTAACTATCGATCAGTTGTAGGTACAGCTATTTATAGTCATAGCAGCTGCCTTCATACTGCCTAGCAGAGCATCTGTATCACGTAGTCTGGGATTCCAACTGGAGAGAAGTCAGGGTAAGTGAAATCATTAATCCATCCATCCAAGTGTAGCAAGGGTGCCTATAAATTCACAATCTACCACACCAGCATGTTCCTAACCCTAAGATCTTGGTTGAGATTCTTCGTCACACAATCAATTCAGCAACAACCTCCTTGCAGACCACGCAATTTAGTCCTCGTAGAATATTCCCGACGCCCCCAGCCCACTACAAAACATGCTACCCAAGAAACCTTGTTCGTCCAGGCCGGGAATAGCCTGTAGGCACCGTGCGTCTCATCATAGTGGTACCAGGGACTGGGCGAAAGCGTTGCATCGGGTTAGCGGGCTGAGTCCAGTTCCGGCGACAGAAGTCGTTGCAATCATGCTGACTGAAGAACGAGCTAATACCGTCGGGACCAAGATCGGTGACACCGTACTCGCGGTTCCGGGATAGGATGACGGGGTCAGAGAGGACGACCTCGTGCTGGTAAATGCCGCCTTGGAGGTCGCATAGAACATAATTTCCGCCCGTGATGTGGTAGCTAAAATGGCTAAGGGCTTGCATGACTTCTCCCCATGCCATAGAGTCATCGTTCCATCCAGTGTTGCTATTAAACTTTTGGTAGTTTTTGATAAAAGGCTCGCATAGATGTCTCTGGCCAGCCCACTCGTCGTTGCTCTTATCGGTGAAGTACCATACTTCGGGTACGTTGATTTTGACAACTTTGTTGATGATATTTAACTGATTGAACCTATTGACAATCTCCAAGGCCTTGTCGACAGCCTTAATATCGAGAGTGAAATAATCATTCGAGAAGACTGCGCCAGTCTTGAACCACTTAACAACACATGCTTCGCCCTTGCGAGGACCTGAAGTGTAGCTCCCCTTGGCCACCCAGCGGAAAGCACCTTGAGCAAATGGATTCGCCAAGGCGGAACTTGGGATGGAACTCTTGTTAGATTTATTGTATCTACCGCTGTCAGAATGTCTTGCAGATGCGGTATCAGAATGGTGCCCATGGACGCAGCTCGCACATCGCGACACGCCAGGAGCCTTAGAGTACTGGTTGGCCGTGTATGATGACTGAGGGAGACTGCGGCCACAAGCGGCACATATGCGATACATAGTGGTGTTGTTAGGTTGCAGAAGTCGTTTATGAAGGCAGTATTGTGTTGAAGGAATGGTATTTGGTTCGATTTCGTTCCTAGCGCCTTGGCTGCGCACAGTGGTGTGACCCCCTGAATCCTCAACTATTCTATGTCGTCAAGGTTATCTCTTACCAAATAGGCCTAGCGCCCTAGTAAGCGACCTCCCACAAAGGTGAAAGCACCTTCAAGTAAACTAGTCGAGATAGTCAATCAAATTGATCAAGGATTCATGAAGCTGAATATCGCTCATATCTATGAGCTCTGACATTCTACTACGAATTGCGTTGGCCGCGGCCGCCACCAACGCAATACCAAAGTTTTTGATAAATCTTAAGAATAGAAATAGTTACATATCTTCTCAATACTTAAACATCTAATTCAACAGAATAAACTTTGTAACTATATACAAAATAGAACGAGCCAGTCAGTAAAGTGTATGGTTCTTAGGCCACATGGTCCAGTGACAGACAGTCAGTGGGGTTTACGATCCACAGCGGACTAATGTCAGGAGGCTAGAGGCCAGTCTGGTTTCAAGGATGGGGTATACGGGCCGACCAAGAGAGAGCCCATGCTCGCAGACAGGAGATAGGGAGCGCAGGGCGTAGATCCAGCCCGCGGCCCATTTCTCTCAATCCGCCTGGGCGCCCTCGCACCACCAACTGGTGGCCGTCGGGGCTTAAAACTGTCAAATAATATGGCCGTTGGTGGACCAGAATCATGTGACTAGATCGGGGTAAAACCCTCGCGGAGCACACAACAAAATAATCAAGAATAACCAAGAAGTGTCAAGGGCTGAACCCATAGAACCTACAAGATAGGTTATGTATAAGAAGGAATCGTTGAAGAAGGAAAGAAAGGAAGAAAGGAAGAGGAAAATAAGCGGTAAACAAACAAGGTGGGGAGTCACGTGATATCGATCGAGTGTTGGAAGCGATTGCTTATTCCATTGAATGGGTGGCCGGGTGGCCGCGACTACTAAAAGCTAGCTTACATAAATGATGACTAAGCGAGGTCGAAACCGGGGCCAGGGCGCCAGTGCTTGGCAATATGCTCTAACATCGAGGGCCAATGGGCCAAAAGGGGCAGTAGGGACAGTAGGGACAGTAGGGACAATAGGGACAACGGGGACAGTAGGAACAACAGGGATAATAGGGACATTGGCCCGAGAGGTCATACGGGCTCTAGCCCTTTACAAGAAGAGAATAATCAAGAAGAGCCCAACCAGCTCAATTCATTCAAATAAGACCTTTTTTACCAATCGTACTCTATTTCCTCTTCGGGACTAGCCGTATATCTGACAATAACCTGCTACGGCCATCGGCCCCATGTATTCGGCCCCACAGATCAGAAGCCTACATTATATGGGCTTAATGCAGGCGTTTGGCTAGTTGGCCTGTAGCTGATAGAATAGCTCCCTGCGCATAACTTCCCCTGAATTCTACAACAGAGCTTTCGTGTATTAATTACTGTTTCCTTGGCGAGCTGTTCCATCTGGAGCCCGATAGGCAGTAAATAGAGCTTAGTATTAAGTGCTTCTGTGGCTGTAGTTTAAAAAGCACTGCTAATTATAACTACCGCTTTCTTCTGTATCAATGCAAACTGCGGATAACTGTATCCCTCTCCTTGGCTTATAACGCCGCTGGAACCACACGCCACCGTGTAAGAAGCAGTGGGATCTATGGTGCAGCCCACGACTGCAGACAGAGAGGTACAGGTACCGTTAGGGGTTAAGCAGTAACACCGCGGCTCTGAGGACGCCGCGATTGGTGGTGTTGATACCCGGGGTTAATATTTATTATTTCCTTTTGTGGGTATCCTTTTCTTAGGGCCATCTGCGAACTCTGGGATGGCCAGCGGCCAGATGTGGCTTCCCCAGCGCTGACTGTGTCAGCGCAACCCTGGATGGCGACATTTATGTAAGCTAGGACAGGTTGGTTAGTTAACTACTACTACTAGGTGAGTCATCTTACACATAGACTAGCCTCTCAAAACGTTCGCCAGTCTCCGCAACTATAGAAGAACATCTTGTCAACCATAAAATTACGCGTATTCGCAAGTATCGATCCTTCATTGAATTAGGTCTCTGATTCAACTAAACTACCAAAACATCTTGCGTTTATAAAGGCGAGGTAAACAAACGAAGAATGCAAACTAACTCATATAGGAAACATCGGCAATCCGATGATGTTGTATCATCAACAATATTTGACCGAAAAAGGTGCTGAACAATCAAAATTACCATAATTGTTGACACATCTTAAAGCTCTCCCTCTTTAACCCGATATACATCGTCATCATCACGATGGCACCGAACTGGTTTAAACTTTAATGTCACACATCTTGCCGTATTACGCACCGTATAAAGCAGCTTGTTAGCATGTACCTCCAACCCCGTGAAACCGCCCCAGTTATCTTTAAGATTAACACAAATAGCACAATTCTCATACTTCCCCTCATCGCAAGTCGGCTTGCCTCTGAATTTAGCGTAAAACTCCGGCCTATTGTTAGGATTATACACGCCCAGCCAGCGCCAGCTATGAAGACTTGCCCAGCCCGGCCCTTGGCGCTCGGAGCCCTGGGTATCGTATAGGTAAAACTGGGATCCCTTTCGCACGGTTTGGTCTGAACCGTAGCGCTTACATTCACCAGTGTTACGGCAGACTTTGAATTGTCGGTCGGTGTTTCCGACACCAAAACTGTAAATACCGTTTGGGAGAGTTCCGAGACCGCCATGGTGGCTGTGGGACAACGTGTAACATTTGCCGTACTGTAGGTCCGTACCTTCTCCTGGGAGGGGAGGTAGATCGTCATAGTCTTCGGCGGCTATGTCGTTATCTACTGACAGGAAGGGACTGTCAATAGCTCCATCTTCGAGATCAAATGGGTTGAAAGCGACCACTGATCGCTCGATAGGGTTGCCATAAGTGAATTCACTGACTATGGTCAGGATGGTGGGGATAACGCAGAGAAGAGAAACAGGCTGCATTGAGCAATTGGCTTCGGTTACAAAGCGTTCGAGATTATAAGAGCTTTATACCACGTCGCAGAGTGCACTTAGAACACGGAGGAAAATTGATCAAGCATTAATAGAGAGCTACATTCGTCTCATATAACAACAACAGCAAGGAGTAAATCATGCCATGATGTAATAAAGAGAATAATGAAACTGTCATAGACTACCCAGATTTGACATCACGAGAAATAAGGGTAGTAACGAGAACGGCCAACAGCATAAGTGTGGATGCCGAATCGGAAGCTGCCGGAAACGATCTGCCTAGATTAGATACTAATTTTATCACACCAAACGAACTGGAACCTAAATAGTATGTGCGAGGCAATATAGCCTTACACTACGATCTGTGAGAAGTAGGCTGGACAGTATTCCGGCCAATTCCGATGACAAGTCAATGCTATGGTAGCATGATGCGAGGTAAAGCTTAAATCAGGTTGGAAGCGATTGCTTGTTGTTCTCTTGAATGGGTGGCCGGGTGGCCACTATCCGTGCCTTCCAGTGCCCCCACCGCTTTCGCTTGGGGGTGCACCACAACGGAAACCCAATTCACACCGGAAACCCAAATATGAAGCTATTCCCATTGCCTATCTCCTTTCCCCTTGAGTATCTACCCAAAAAAGTTGATTTTCCTGCTGCGCTGCCACTGCTGGTTCCGGGAATGCAGTTAGTCTCTGTAGGACTCGGTGGTGGCGGTTTGCCGTAAAATTTAGTCCACTGCTTTGCTAATTTTCTTTTCTCTTGTAGAGCCTCTTTTTCCCTTCTATTGTGGAATAATATATTGTATACTAATAAAGAACTACTCTATATCCTAAAAGCTACAGTATTATACCTAATAATGATAATTAAGAGTTGTTCTTCTAATATGTACTTGGTTTATACTACTGTACTAATGTTTCTACTATGATTATTTAATAGCAACCGTTGGCAAACTGAAATCAACCATCACACAATCTGTCCGTACCCACTGCCTTTGTCCGCTACGTACTTACTGAACAAGCGCCTGAATACTGTCGTTTAAGCGGCAGCATTTAGAAGAGGAAAGTCGCATTGGCTCTAGAAAATCAAGTTCGTGTAGTGACATATGTATGTACAGAAAATCACGGTTATCAGTCTTAGTTCAATATCCCTTGCCACGCTTGTACTCGTTCACCAACTCCTCTCCCCTTTCCAGCCGTCCCAGGTTCTCTTTTAGCACGTCAAACGATCGCGGGAAATACTCGACCCCCAGCGAGCTCACATGTGGACTGATTTGTACATTGGGAGCATCCCACAACGGGTGATTCTCTGGAAGCGGCTCGGGGTCTGCCACATCCAACGCGGCACCGCTCAGTTCCCCAGATCGAAGCGCATTAATCAATGCGCCCTGGTCCAGAACCTTTCCGCGGGATATATTCGTCAGATACGGCTTCGCGTGTCCGGGGTGTGCATTGGCTGCAAGGAGGGCAAACTCTTCCGCTCCGAGGAAATGCGTCGTCTGCGGGGTAAGCGGTAGGGAGATGACTAGATGATCGAGGCCTATAGAGAGAAAAGCATGGAGGGAGGCTTTATCCGTGCCGTGGTGCCAGGACACTGGGATTGAACCATCCCTGTCTCCCGTGCCGGGGACAATGAATCCGTTGTCGCGCCTTGACGATGGACTGGACCGTGGTGACGCGGTATATGCATAGACAATCATTCCTAGAGCGGAAGCAACTCGTCCAACTAGTTATGCCAATTACTGTTAGTCGTGAGCTACCCAGTATCTTAGGGGGTGTGATCCATACTTTGTCGCCCGATACTCCCGTATCCCAAGATCCCAACTTTCTTGCCGACCTGGTCATGGATATCTTGCATGTAGTCGGTGATTCCGCCCCACAGGTGCTTTTTCTGGTTTTCATATGTATAAGTAAACTTGCGCGAGGCGACGAGCCAGTTCATAAGAGTCCATTCGGCAATTGGGGGCCCATGGACCCCCGAGCTGGTTGTGATGTGAATGGATATTTCTTGCAGTATTGGGTGGTGAAGGGAATGGTCAAGACCGGCAGAGATGAAGTGGATGATTTTGAGGCTGGTGCTATCAGTAAAGCCCATGTACGTAGGATTGAATGGGGGTCGTACTTCTTAGCATCTGTCGGGTTAGGGAGATTCGTAAAGGTAACGAGAAGAGTGGCCTTCCGTGCGGATTCTGCGCAAATTATTCATCAATCAGGGTCGGTGTGAGCTGCTGATTTATCCGCAACACCCACCACTTGGAATCGGGGCTCCCCTGGGCAGAGACAGTACAGATACTTCCGCTGCGGGGAATTTAGATTGAACTACTTCTACTAGCTTTGGGGAAAGGGTTTGGAAGAAGACAATAAGCAGGTGCTCTCTGGGGATGGCAGCATCACCCATGGTGTGCAATGTTATGATGATGGAAGATTGGAAGGTACGCAGCGACCACCAGAGTGAAGTTATACAAGAAAAATGTCGCCATTATTGGCGAGTCTGGCGTTGAGCGGGGTCGCTTTTCGCCGTTATCTTCAGCTGAATAATCGTATACTAACTAGTAGTTACTAGTTAGTTTTTTTACTAGTTAGTTTAGCTACGGTCTGGCTATTAAAGAAATTAGAGGACCTGGTCCATATTAGGTGGCTAGTAAGAGTCGATTGTTTCGCTTCCGATGAGAATATGACGTATTATGCCCCTAGATAATTGTTATAGTATGTTTGGGTACAGGCATATTCAAGTACACCTACCTATCGATATACCGAACTAACCGAAGTAACAATGGTAATACTAACTTACAAGAGCTCACTGGCTGTGAGCGGCAACAAGCAAAGTTTATTTGTAATTTGTACAATAATCCCTTTTATATATCACTTTTGCATTCTGCTAATATCTATGCATGGACTAGCTATTAGATAGCATAATAGAATGTTATGAAGAATACTGAAGAGGAGTGAGAAGTGTACTGTTGTCCACGAGCCCTGAACATTAAAAAAAAAAAAAAAAAAAAAAAAGAATAACATAAAAATACTGGATATTCACCGGCCTTTTTATGTGCAGCCATGCTTATAATTGGTTTCTTAAAATTCCCTTTTTTTGGGACTGCTTTTTTTGGCTACTTTGTGTTAGTTTTTAACAACTCCCCGTCTCTCTCCCATTGACATACGCTTAAACCTTTTATCACCTCTACTCATATCTGCCACTTCGACACTCATTTTTTTTTTTTATTACCATTACTATACTAACTCCTGTGCTTATTAGTCGGTGCTGCATATGATGTATATAAAAAACCGTTTTATCTTATGCCCCTTTTTCTATCCGCCCTTTTTATTTTTTTTGATGGGGGAAAGTGTGAACTTTCCCACTGCCTTTAGCAACCAGATCTACTACTATTTTATTAATACAATTTGTTGCTATTATGCTACACCGACACTCTTGCCGAGATTATAGTCGCTTACTTAGTATATCTACAAGCCTTCGACCTGCTTGCTGTTTAGTATGTCACCGCGTTCTCACAACTCCTGTGTAGACACGCCTATATGCAGATTATAGCATTTCCATTCGCGCAAACAGCATTATATTTGATGGAAGGTTTATTATTAAATATTGTCTTACAAGCTTTACCCTTAATCGTGCAACTCTCCGCCAATACGTTACTGCTCAGATTATACCATTCTTTTACAAGCTCTTCCCATTGCATTCTGTGTTCACGTCGCTACATTGCAAGAATAAGGATTCCTTAGCTGTAAATTACTCCACATCAGTCAGGATTCCTATCTAACTTTAATTCTTTTATAAACTCCTTCTCAGTTTCTATATAACCTTTGTATTAAATTACGGTAGACATATCCTACTATTAGCTCGTTATTATCAATACTTACTCTACCTAGTACCTATGCTAGTACTTTTCGTTAATTCCGCTTCCTCCGCTGTTACCAGCTTTTACTTAAGCCGCACTCCAGGCCTCCGACATCATAAACGTTTTCCAAGGCAATCATCGCAACAAGATTACCCTAATTAACATTCCTCTTATCTGGACCACATTCGCTAAGGATAATTAACCCAGAGAGTGGCCAACTGGCACTCAATCAAGCTTTGCAGTTTTTACAAGATGAATATAAAATACGCATATTGTTATGCGCGCGATTAGATACGTAAACTTAGGGTCTTGATAAAAATATTAACCGTAAAGAAAGCAATTATTTACATCAAGCCTTTGTGGGTAAAATCCTCCGATAAATAGTCGATGTAAAGCCAGTAGGCTGCTAATCTACCTAATACAATGACTGTAATCCTTCTATTTCAAGCGGTCTCTCCCTCCTTCTTTTCCGCCTCTTCTTCTTTCTTTCTGTGGGCGCGCTCCATTACCCTCGGAGCTCTGAGCGTTCGAGGGGTCCCCAGCGCCACCCTTCTTACCATCGACATCAGCCTGCGGCTTCTTAAGGATGCTCTTCCACTCCATACTCACTGTCCCGAGGACAGCAAGACACGACACAATCAAGCCAATTTGGAATACCTTCCGCAACGCCTCATTGTAGGCTGTGAGGACTTTTTCTTTAGCATCGGCAGGTACCGAACGCACCAGGAAGGTCGCACCACCTGCCGTGACCAACTTTTTATTGAAACCTGGGATGTCAGCCAGCCGCTGGAGAAGCTGATTAGCCAATACGTTCTCCCCGACGGAGACGAATACTGCAGCTCCCAAAAGTTGACTAAAGAACATCAGCACCATCCCCATCGGCACCTCCGATTTCGGCAGAACGGTCTGGGTAGCGAGATTCGGGGTTTGGAAACAGAGTCCCATACCATATCCGTACAGGATTTCATACCCGATCCACTTTCCTGCGGTTGTGTTGATCTGTAATGTGGTAAGAAGCCCAGCTCCGATGGACATCATGGAAGCTCCAGCGATTCCTAGCGGCGTGTAGTATCCAATCTTCTGGTTGAGGAAACCCCCTGAGATAGACGCGAGAACGAAGGCGATCATCTGAGGCAGGAGTCTGATTCCGGATTCCACAGCAGCAACGCCCTTGATAGATTTAAACCAGATTGGGAGGTAGTACATTACATATCCTTTATTACTGTTTGGCTCTTAATGTTGTATTAATATTCTTACCGAAGATATATTGGGAAGAGCCGATGAAGATTGTCGACCAGACACTAGCAGCCACGCTCCGATACTTGAGGATGCTTGGAGGGATTGTAGCTGTTTTCGGGAGGAAGATCTGGATAGTAATGAATGCCACCAGCAAGACCGCCATGAGAGTCAGTAATGCGATAATGCGTGCACTACTCCACTGGAAATAGTTAATCCAATATACCAGACTGTCTTAATAAGCTGTAAAAGGAAACTTACAGCGTATGTCTGACCACCCCATTGGAGGGCCAACAGAAGGCAAATCACTCCAGGGACCAGGACAATTGTGCCAGGGATATCAAGTTGCGACAACTTCTGTGTCCAGGGGAGTTTGGTAGTATCTTGCTTGGGGATGTCCAGAAAATAGAAAATAGCGACGAGGGCGACACATCCAAAGGAAGATTGATATAGAAGCACCACCTCCACGAGACGTTTGAGGTTAAGCCACCGCCGATTAATGGACCGACAACTGTTGCCATGCCCATGATGGCGCCCATGAGGCTTTGTACCTTGGGACGCTTTTGCAGGGGCACCGCGTGAACAATGGACATAATCTAACCTTTATTAGCAGCTCCAGCCTTTTGGATTTATGGTTTGTTCACTTACTGTTCCACCGAAGATGCCTGCTGTGCCTACTCCGGTGATTGCTCGGCCGGTAATAAAGGTTGGTGAATTAGAAGCAGCTCCGCAAATCGCCGAGGCTACCTCAAAGACGACAATGCTCGTAATCAAGACCACTTTGACCGAGTAGAAACTGTAGAGTTTTCCAAACAATAGCTGGAACGCGCAACATGTTATGAGATACATGCTTCCGTACCAGCCGATGTCCGAGAGGGAGTTAAATTCGTCGGTGATAACGGGAATTGCCTGACGACGTTAGACGTGGTCTCAAAATCTTCTTGATATGGGTGTCTTACTGTAGAGATGATGGTTCTGTCTACCGCGACGAGAAACATGCTCAAAAAGACGGATGCTATCAGGAGAATTGTCTTATTGGTGAACACCTTCTCGTCAGCGACCCGAGGTTTGTTTTGGCCTAGTCTGGGGGTATTATCTCGAGCTGTCTCAGTGGGCTTTATCTTGTCCGATTCCGCGGAATGTATAGTCATGCATTTGGCGCTTTCGGGTGAGACAGGATGTGGCATAGTGATATATTATTTATACTGAGAAAGAAAGAGAGAAGGCCAGAGAGGCACTGTCGTTCTTTTAACCGCAGTCCTTGGGGTAGAAAATGGTTGATGTAATGAGGATATAATGTTGATGGTTTATAAACTGGAGAATGGAATGGGAGTTTAACATGGAGAACGAGGGGAATTTCTGACGATTATATCCAAGGAAGGGGCCTGCAACTCCGAGAATTAACATTTTGAGCTCAAGGAAGCCGGACATGGAGCTGGGGAGGGTGAGCGGAACATACGGAGGTTATTCGGAGGTTATCCCTTCCACCAAAGCCCACCACCTCATTGATTTGTATATAACAGTGACGGAAGAACTGATCTTAAATTTCAAACTATTGTCTAGCAGTAATATTGTTCTTGGGTCCACTTTATTAAACCAAGAAAGTCCCTTAGGCAATGCTAAATAATACGGGCCACGTCAGAAATTCGTATAATTGGCGTATGGCCTGATAGATAAAGGGGTTATATTAACTTCTGGAGGCTTTGGACCAATGTATTGTTGTTTAGGGAATTGTTAGTAGCAATTGCAAGTACTTAATTAACAATATTATATTGTTGAAGTAGCTTGAATTGACCTTCGCTAAGATAAGCCCCAGAGTGTCTAGTATATAGGGACTTGAATCCTAAGAGGATTTCACGGCAGTTCCAATTTTAATTGATAAAATAGCTAGTAATATGTATGAATACCTGTTAAAGCAGTGAAGTCCAGCAGTTAATTGCGATCAAAATCTTTGCACCTTGTGAAAAACAGAATCTTTCGTTAGTCTTTTGACCTATACTATAAAGGTAACTCCGCGCATCTCGCACACCATGCGTTTAGTGAGCGATTCTTGGAGCTGCAAAAATTGGATATGATTTGGGTTGGACACAATTTTGCACTAACCAGCGTCATACAACTTTTTTTCTCTTTATTTTCTGTTAACGGGGGACACGTTCGCGCACTCGTGTCCCTCCAGGCTTCCTGGAACTCGAATTTCAAGTAACTCTGAGAATAATTTTGCGGGCTCTTCTACTTGGGGTATGGATGCACCAGCTATGTAATGCTCCCTAGAACTGACGACGAGAGAAAAAGAAGGGTAGCTGTTGAACACCCGCTTTACGGCTTTACGGGGCTCCATAACGATAACCATTTAGGAACCCTTTCAGGCCTGTCCGGGACTAAGTAACGCAAAAAAGATCTTCCTAAGTTAACAGTAGGTGCCAAGATAAATTTATCTACAGGATACGCCTTTCGGTATGGCTGCAGCGAAGTCTCGCGTAGTACTCTTGCGTCCGAGCCCATAAGACGGATAATATGTGTCTAGGTGTTTGTCTGACTCATGCCTTCTGACACTCCATTACCGCAAAGTCCGAGTCTGGGCATGGGTAAACCTGGGCAATTTGAAGCCCAGCGCGAGAAAATATTTCCTCAAACCCTTCTAGCGTGCGCTCTTTGCCACCGATGCTCGCCATAATGATGTCCAGAGCACACGCCAGGGGCGGCGGTGGATAGGTCAGAACCTGCTCGACAACCAGTACACGACTGTCACTGGCCATGGCTTGGCAAATCTGCTCCAAGATCCCCACAGCATCGTCGTCTCCGTAGTCGTGTAGACACCGTCGAATGTAGTAGATGAAAGCTCCTGTCATGTCTTAGCTACCGCTTTGCCATGCCATGTCCAGTTTCGCAACATACCCTTGATCGGCTGCTCCGTATGGAAGTTCACAGGGATATACCGGGCTTCCTCTAACCCCCCTGTCGCCGTCTTCCGAGCTTCGTCGACCACTTCCATGAGGTCCTCGACAACGCAACGACTCATCGGCAACCCCGGAGTAGCTTGCACAATGGCGTGGAGCGCATGGCCTCTGCCGCCACCCACGTCGACGACAAGGGGTCTGTCTGGATCGATTCCCATGTTATAAACCACCCAGCGGAAATCATATGACCCAATCATGGGCTGACGGCTTCCCATGGCGGACATGCTGGCCATGAACGTAGCCATTCTCTGGGGCTCTCGCTTCATGATCTCCAACACGGTCAGATTGGGATTGCCATCGGCGAAAGCCGCAATGGTATGGCGCTCTCCGGAAGGCTCCTTGCGGCCGTACTCGTCAAAGTAGCGAGGCATGGAATACAAAATCTTTAGATGCTCATCGAATCTACTCCCACATATCAGAATGATGATACTTGCAACGTGGTACTTGCTATTCACACACTCCATTCGGATGACGGCCGTCAGTGCCCCCTCGGCCGCCAATGCGGCGCTTGTTCGAGTATGCGAAACTCGATCACTCCCCACTTGGTTTAACACTCCAGCGGCAACGAGTGTTCCAGCTAAGCAGGCTATGGGAGGATTGATTTAATTAATCTTCGGGGTGGTGAAGGGGGGCTCCAGTTGTCCACACTTACCTATGAGAGAAACATCGGCACAAGCGATGGCAGCTATTTCTGAATACTGAATCGAACCATTCGTTGGGATCACCTCAAAGACTTGCCAGTCAATAAACAGACGAACGGCCGTCAACTGAACCAAGACTACCAGAGCGTCCAAGGGGTCAGCCGGCTTGATGGCCCTGAGTAGCCCCTCTGCACACTCGGCCAGCTTGCTGAGCTCCCTATCTGTCGCGTTCGCAGATGCAGGGCTCCTGCGAATACTCTCTGCAGCAGCCTGTAGTTGCTGCGAAAGAGAATCGAGTTCGCTTGTCATCGTGGTAAGACCTAAAGCAGCAGTATCTGGAGATATGAGTAGATGGCTGCGTAGTCCGGACATCAGACCTGTACTTTGAATACCGGAAAATATGGATCCGTAGGGACCGTCAGCAACTGTCAGCGAGACGATATTTATATTGTCATCCAGTTCACCGAGTCGGAACCTTTGTCCCTTTTTGGCCGAATTGCCGGCACGAATCCGTAATACCGGAGAATGATGGTTAGAGCCATCATACACATTTCCACCTACCATTCTTGTCCCTTAGGATGAGCTTTGCCTTCCGCTATTAGGATAGGACAGCATATGAGTCCGTCACAAAAGACCGGCGGACATCGGCATTTACCGCCAAGCCCCGGGACGTATCCGAACCGCAAATTAGAATTGCGGGGAAGTTCGAATTCCCCCCACCCTGTCGGCATTTTCGCACTCTCCGGCCGACAAGCTTTCCTCCCCAACCCGAACGACATGCCTGCACTTGTCCGCTCCCTACAGGTCGCGCATAGTATCGCGGAGTTCACTGGCTATGTCTGATTGTGCGCCGCCAGAGGGGCCGAAGAAACGCCGAAGGCCGCCGCGTGCCACCAGTGCCGGAGGCGCAAAGGCAGTCCAAGCTGCACCGATGCCCCTGCGCATCTGCAGTCCCAAGCAAATGGAACCCGGTGATCCACACCTGGAGGACGCGATCGTACCACGCTCCTCACGCAGTCACTGTCGTCCCTCGGGGTGGTGGCTGCGCAGCAACTGAGAGTCCCCTCAATCCACCGACCATCGAGGGGTTCTGCTCCACCTTCTGAGGCAGCCAGTTTCGACTGGCTGGTCGCTAACGTCCAGGAGCTAGAACAGATGCTTCCCACAGCGTCTCTACAGTCTGTGCTGAAGAAGGTCTCCTAGAACAACCGGCACAGGAAGCACCTGTACACACCGCTAGCATAGTGTCCAAGACGCGGTACTTTGGCCGGAGCCATTGGTCCAACTTGATACCTTCGTAAGATTCCAACCCGCTCCCCGGCCATGAGGGGATATTTTAAACATGCGGGAAATTGCTCATGTCGTGTGCACTGCTACCCCTCGAACTTTCTCTTCTCCGACGCTCAGAGCTTGAAAAGAATGAACTGTATCAAGTGCTAGCTAAGATCAAGTCCGTAGCGCGTGAGATCATAAGGAACCTTGTTCGACCGCTGTCACCAACCGATATGCACCGGCATATCGCCGCTTGGGATGTCGCTGATTTTTCCACTACGTGCGGAATTTCGAAGGCGCCATCCGCATCCTGCGTATCCCAACCCTCTAGCATCAGTACAAACAGTACCGGCAAGATCCCAGCTCGGTCAGCGACGGATTCGTCATCCAGTTCCAGCTATGTATGGCCCTCGGATCCATCGTTTATGATGAGGTTTTTAATATGAGACCGCCGCGATACAATAGATCCCATGAAGCTCAGCTGTGGCTCATGCGACCCGAGGCGATGAGGATGACCATCACCGGCATCCAGATAATGTGCCTGCCGGCCCTGACGCAATTTATGCGTGGATTTGGCAGGGAACAAAGCTGGATCATGACGGGTTGCTAGTCCAGACAGCGATGCACATCGGCCTGCACGGAGACCCGAAGCATCTGCCCGCGATGACAACGTACCACGCAGAGATGCGGCAAAGACTTTGCATCTCGATCCTGGAGTTGAACTTACAGTGCTCTTTCGAGGCCGGGGCGTCACCCCTTCTGCTAGCGCCCACTACGACACCGAACCCCCTGCGAATGTGAATGACAGCCAGCTCGGGAGGGGCCAGCGATAGGTCCCCCGCAGCTCAAAAAAGCGCCGACATGTTGACACAGACCCCGTTCCAAATTGGGCTTCAGAAATCGCCCCCTCTGCGGCAAAACTTGCTTGTACACGTCAACAAGCAAGAGAAAGGTAAAAGACTTACCTCTTATATATCGTGACTTGCGACCGATAGGAATGTGGTTTATCAGGTGTAGTGCGTTGATCTATCATGAAATGCTGTATGGACCTATAAATCTCTACACTGATCGGTCAATAATATGGGAATTCCCACGGGAATCTCATTACAAAAACTCTCATTTGGCTGTTAAATTAGTTACACGATTAAGAAACAACATCGAGCTGACAGTAGAGCCTAGTCCAGCTAACGAGTAAAGTTGCCTCTTTTAGGCCCTTGGAAATAATGTGCTGGTGATGTTTAATATTAGCCCACCCTTGCCCACCGCAGCGTGGACGCTCGAAGTTGGAGTGCATGAAGTATCGATTTACGATATGTGCTTCTCCCATAGTCATCCGTCAAAAACAGTAGTAGGTCGATCGTATATCACAACCGCTTCGCCGACAGCTCTGCGATTGCCTCAGTAGAGTATCTTAACGGAGACTCACAAGACTTATGAGCTTTCCAGCGAGCGGAACGAAGGGTACCACCTTTATTCTTCCTAGTGGCAGCTCATAACGAGTAAATTAAAGTTCAGTGTACGCCCAGGTCTGACTTGGAGATAATATTCTTAGAAAGTAATAATAGCTATTGCAAGTTGGTCGAAAATGCAAAAATATCACGACACTCTAGAGAGAAAGTTAGCCAGCGTTCAGTCTGATATTGCCTTTATTATTTCCCACTTCTGCCATGCTCGCTTCTTCCAGTCCTACGTCTCATCCCTAAGTTCAATCAGTTAACAGGCAGCATTGACTTTAAAATGGGAAACATACAAAATCCGCCATGCCAATACTAGGACTTGTAGATGGCCACCGCAAATGATAATAGGACAAAAGTACGGCCAAGTATTTCAGTCACTGATGTTAGAGGCCATTCGTCGTCGATGTCATCCCAGATCGCAAACACGAATCCAATCACGTGGGAATGGTAGTCCCACTATGAATATGAAGGGAGTGCCAATCAGCCCATTAGGCCTAAGAAATAGAACACACAAGCCGAGACTAGTCATTCGAACAGACAGCCCCAGAAAGAGGCCCATTCGGGGTAGGTGGAAGCGACTCTGCTCTGGGAATAGAGATGCATGTGGGTGAAATGGAGGTGGAGATTTGGGGAGAGAAATATACGAATGAAACGCGAAGCGGACGTTTCCAACCCAGGAAAAATGACGCACGCAGGGCTGAAGCCAGGATCGCAACTAAGTTACATAGGTTAAGATCAGCCGGGGAACCGTTCGACCGCCGCACCAAAAAAGAGTGGGCATGTAAGTATCTTGCCTATTTAATCTACTATCCCCTTTCAAATCAAACTTGAATAAATCACGTCTTCAATTATGCTTCTTCCATTTCCTTTCATCGTTCCAGGACCTACAGCATGCGCAGCGCGCGTCTTCCAGTTTTCGTCCTGTGAATGACTTTCGGCTGATGCAAGTACCTTAGCCTAGAATAGGCCTAGCGCGTCCGGCCCGGATGACTGACGGAACAATCCCAAAAGAGTCCCCGAGTCATCGAACGTGGGTGCCTGAAATAGATAGACAGCAGGATTGATGATATGTATCTCTTGACTTTTACCCCCTGACTCACCATGACTCACGCGCAGCAGTCTTCAAGTCCTTCAGAAGGGAGTCTAGGCCCCTAGTCTGCACGATCAAGAATTCCATTAAAGTGGGCCTAGACTTGCAGGTCGAGTTCGCAAAGCTCCCCAGATCAGACGGCAGACGGTAGATATTTACTACAATACCGCCGTCTCCCTGAAGCACTTTTGTTTCTCGTATGGCGCTGGACCTTCCTGCGTGCGCCTCTGGGGCTTGCTTGGCTCTGGTAGTCATTTTGTCAATTCCGCATGCTCTCCAACTGACCACCAAATTCTCGACAGAGTATCGTTATGATCCGCTCGACAGCAACTTGGATGACAATGAAAATATCACTTCATCGAAGCCGCCCGCAGCTCTAGGCCAGCGGATACTACTGGTTATTGCAGCCGTTGCGGGAACCTTCGTGGCTCTTCCACTATCCACCGACAGCAACCCTTCTGCTGACTCACAATCACGAGTTGTACAGATCCTGCAATTCGCATCCTGGGTAAGTAGACGATAGGCTGCTGTATTTTGCAGGTGGTTAACATATATAGGTGTTTGTACTCTGTCAAGAGCTTATCCTCGTCACGCACGACCGCTGTCGATCACGATACGTGCTGGGCTGCTACAGTGCATGGGCCTGTGTGGCTCTTGGTCTTGCAATTACTGGCACTGAGGCATGGAAATGGCAACAGGGGACACTGCGACTGCTTATGTCTCGGGATGGCGCGGCTGTTATCGTGAAAATTGTCGCGACCTGCATCTTAGCTCTGACGAACCTGAGCATGCCCCAAGGTCCCACGCTTTATCGCGACGGCAAGGCGATCGATCGGCGTGATGCAGTCTCCTTTCTTAGTCGATACAGCTATGCATGGGCGCGTCCCATTTTAGCTTTTGCAGCACGGTACAAACGCCTGAACACCGATGATCTGCCGGTCGTGGGGAACGAGGTGCGCGCGCGGACACTCTATGCGCGCTTCACCGCAGCCAGTTCGTCCACGAAGCTGTGGAAAAAATGTCTCCGTATCTATTGGCGGACCATGGTCTTCCAAGTAATCATTCAGGTCCTCTCCTCAGCCTGCCATTTTTTGCCACAATTCTTGCTCTTTCAAATTCTGCAGAAGTTTGAGGAGCGCGACGCTGGTGCTAGCAATCAAATGCAGCTGTGGCTGATGGCCGCCGGACTTGGGGCCTCAATGATGATTTCGTCGTGGCTGACATCACTGTTGGATTGGATTGTCGACTTGCAGTTGTCCCTGCCTATCCATGAGCAACTCTTTGCTGCCATCACCAGGAAGGCGCTGCGCTTGAAAGACGTTGCGGTGCCAGCAGCACGCAGCGATGGTGAAAGTGCCGCGTCGTGTAACGGAGACGAGGATGAGGACGAGGTAGAGGACGGAGTGCCCAGGTCCAAACACTCTATCCTGAATCTCCTTGGGGTCGATGTTGAAAGCATCTCAGAATTCGCCTCTTTTAACTACTTGGTGCTCAACTGTTTCCTCGAACTTACCATCGCCATCCTCTTCCTGGTCCGCTTGATGGGATGGAAGCCCACACTCATGGGCTGTGGCATCCCCGTTCTTCTGATTCCGTTATACTACATTTTGAACGACAGATACACTAAAGGCGAAGAGGCGCTCATGGAGCACCGTGACCGGAAGTCTTCGGTACTTTCTGAAGCTGTCCGTGGGATTCGACAGATTAAATTTAATGCGTTGGAAGGCGAATGGTATAACAAAATCATGAAGCTGCGCGTGAAGGAGCTTAACCTTCAGCGGAATGTCTACTGGCTTGATCTCATCCTCGTCGGTATCTGGTCGTTTGTGCCTATTTGCATGAGTATCATCTCATTGGTTGCCTACATCTATCTGAATGGAGCCATCTCTGCCTCCGTTGCATTTACGGCCATTGCTATTTTTGAGAGCATGCAGTTTACGCTAACAATCCTGCCCGAGATGTTAACCCATTTTCTGGATGCCTCTGTCAGCGCACGGCGTATCGAGCGCTTCTTGGGTCTTGCTGACCATCGAGATGATCGGCAGTCGGGTACAATGATAAGTTTCCAAAATGCCACGGTCGCCTGGCCATCAGACGAGTCCCATGACGCTGAAGGCTTCTTTCGTCTAAGAAACATGCACTGCGACATCCCGACGGGGAGGCTCACTGTCATCTCGGGTCGCAGCGGGTCCGGAAAGAGTCTCCTTTTGCAAACAATCATTGGCGAGGCCGACGTTCTCGAGGGCATCGTTGTGGTACCACAGCCTTCCTCTGCGGAACACAACAATCAACAGCAGTGGATCAGAGAGGGACACATGGCGTACGTGTCTCAAGATCCTTGGATAGAGAACATGACCGTTCGGGAAGCAATCTTATTCGGACTCCCGTGGAACCCTAGCCGTTACCATGAAGTGCTGGAAGCATGCGGGCTCAATCAAGACATCCGGTCCTTTGCTGATGGAGACAAAACGGATATCGGTGCCAACGGTATCAACCTGAGTGGCGGCCAGAAATGGCGCCTGGCCTTCGCGCGGGCGCTGTACAGCCGGGCGAGCATCCTCGTGCTCGACGATATCTTTAGTGCCGTGGACTCGCACGTAGGCCGGCATCTTTACGAACACGCGTTGACGGGGCGGCTGTGTGAAGGGCGGACAAGAATTCTAGCCACACATCATGTCCAGCTATGCTTGGGAGGTACATCGTACAGTATCGCCCTTGAAGGCGGACAGATGGTACATGCAGGTCCCCCTAGGGATAGCTCCTTCGACACTGCATCGGATGAAGTCCCCCATCGACCAAAGCAGGCTGAAGATTCCGCTGCTCCGATCAATTTTTCAGCAGAGTCACCCCGTCATATGCGTCGATTTTCAACTTCCAGTTCAACCAGCTTAGAGAGGGGCCGATCAGGCCATGACATTTCCCATTCGGAGTCCCGGCCAGATCATTATTACGAGGAAGAAAAACGGGAAACTGGTGCCGTGAAGATCCAGGTCTTCAATACCTACATTCAGGCATGCGGGGGCTATCCCCACTGGGGGCTAATCCTGTTTTTCTTTGCCCTAACGCTAGTTATCTATTTGGCAGTTCCTTACTGGCTTTCCATCTGGACGAGAGCATATGACGAGGGTTCCTCGACCCCTGTCCTCATGGTGGAGAATCAATTGGATAGCATATCTATCCAAGACAATGTGACCACCAGGCTACATCGCGATTCCCGGCTAAGCTTCTATGTCAGCATTTACGTGGGACTGTCACTGTCCTCATGGTTGCTGGAGATCATTCGCTACCGATTAGTGATGCAGGGCTCTCTAAGAGCATCCAAAGTACTGTTTGAACGCTTTACCAACGCCATCCTCCGAGCACCCCTATATTTCCTGGATACCACACCAGTGGGACGGATCCTGAACCGATTCACGGCAGACTTTGGCGTGCTGGATTCGGACCTAGCGTCGAACCTGTCCCACCTCCTGCACAGCGGTATATTGGTGATGGCAGCTATTATAGCGGCCCTTGTGAGCTCCTTGGCAATTGTAGCCTTCGGAGCTCTATCTCTCCTCGCCTCCTGGAGTGTGGCATACTTGTACATCACCGGTGCTCGTGAAGCTAAAAGATTAGAGAGCACCGCCCGATCGCCCATTCTTGAGCAGGTCGGATCCTCGCTGTCTGGTCTCGCGACTATTCGTGCATTTGGAAAGGAAGCAGAATTCGTTGACCGGACGTTTGATTTAATCAATACCCATTGTCAGGCCCTGTGGCACCGGCGGCTTTTTAGCTCCTGGATGTCCTTTTGGCTTAGTATGGTGGGAACTTCTGTAAGTCTCTGCTAACCCTTCCCCACCTCTATCGCTGGCAACCGTCGCTGACAGTTGCAGTTTGTTACTGCCGTTGCTATCATGTTTGTGGGCATTCGAAGTTTAGATGCGCCTCTCGCAGGATTTGCACTCAGCTTTACCTTGGACATGTCGGCGGATATCTCCTGGCTGCTGTCGCAGTATGCACAACTCGAACTTGACTTCAACGCTGCCGAACGAGTCTTTGAATATACTCAACTGGAGACAGAGCCTCAGGCTGGTGCTCCTGTCCCTGCTGCGTGGCCCACCAAGGGCGAAATTGAAGTCACCGACCTGTTTGTGCGCTATGCACCTAACTTGCCCCCAGTGTTGAAGGGGCTCAGCTTCTCGGTGCGAGCAGGAGAACGCATCGGCATTGTCGGCCGGACGGGAGCCGGGAAATCATCGCTTTCCCTAGCCCTGCTGCGGTTCCTCGAGCCTCAATCTGGATCAATCCAGATTGACGGCGTGGATCTGGCAAAGATGCAACTACATGACGTCCGCTCGCGAGTGGGTATTATCCCACAGGATCCGGTAGTTTTCGCAGGGACCGTACGCGAAGTGCTGGATCCATTCAACCGACACGATGATGACGAGCTACGAGACGCATTGCAGAACGTGGTAGGCGGCGACGACGACAACGACCACGGGAATTCACCAACCCAATTCGAATCAACAAACGACATCTTCTCCTTATCGTCTTTTATAGCCGAAGGAGGTCGGAACCTCTCGCAAGGCCAACGACAACTGCTGTGTCTGGCGCGCGCCATTGTGTCCCGCCCTAAGATCCTGATTATGGACGAGGCGACTGCATCGGTGGATATGGAGTCGGATGCTCGCATCCAGCGGTCGATCCGGCAGGATATCCGTGACTGCACATTGCTGGTCATTGCGCACAGACTGTCGACTATTGCCGACTTTGATCGCATCCTGGTACTAGACCAAGGGACTGTGGCCGAGTTCGATCGCCCGGCGGCGCTGATGACCAAGGAGGGCGGGATATTTAAGGCGATGGTGGAGCAGAGTGGGGATAGGACTGCGATTGAGCAGATAATTTTTGGACAAATTTCTGATGCTGAGTCTACTTGATCTGCCTGGTTAATTTTGTAATTTTGTATTATATTATGTTATAAGGATAAAAAGTTATTTAGAGGGTGTCCGGGCTGGATACATGATACATTGGGATTAAGTCTTAATGGTAATATACTGCACAATAGACATCATGAATCTATTCGGATTTGAACGTACTGTTTTTGTATTCTACAGTTTTGGGTCTATGCTGGTGATTGTAGATTTTCTTCAGATAAAGGCGGCCATGTGTATCAAGTCCTATATCCATTTATATCTCTCTACGGAGGCGTGAAATACCATGAATAAATACCCCATCACGTACAAAACAATTACAAAGTCACTAGGTGATGCATCAGTTTGACCCTTCTCAATCAAGCACTGCTCTGTCTTCTGGGTTGGGATATAGTTGTTGCGTGAAAGCACCAGTCTCCTGCTCCAGCTAGTCGTCCGAGACACCCAGTCCGGGTCTTCATGCAGGTTTAGGCTGATAAACATGGCGACGCCTATGGGTATCATAATACACTGACTCTAGCTTCGATTGGAGGCGTATATCGACACGGAGTGGCAACGTCCTTTGCGACGGCAACCTAAAATGATAGGCCAGACTACTGCAGAGCTTACCGAGCTCTAGACCCGGCGTGAGACTCAGGAACAGCCACTGCAGGGCGGAGCTGTGAGTCCTACATATAGCAGACACATGACTAGCACGGATAGCGGACGCCCAGGGCATATAGCTCAGTGAAAGCGACCGTTACGAGCATATCAACGACGACGGATGTCGCCTTGGTAAAAGCTGCAGGGAAGGCGGCGACCATGGCGCTGTAGCCATGCTCGTACTCATAGAGGACCACGGTCGGAGTAGTCAGTTCATCCCGAGAAAGCGCCCAGCATTGGCATCTAGGAAGCATTATGAAGCCTTCCTATCAAATTTAGAGACTCCCCGGCTTCAATACATTTCTCTTGAGAAGTTAAAAAGAAAAGTTCCTTGCATGACGCAGGCTATAAAAGAAAGTCCTAGGTCATATCGGCCGGCATTAGCCGAATTGTATGGGAAGCAAGAATGCTGTATATTCTGATCTTTTCCTGCATGGTTGTGGTTGAATAGATGCTTATACATCTAACTCCCGACCACGAACTCCGCTAGGTACAAAAATGGCTGGAAAGCTAGTATGCCCACATGTTGAGGAAGGCAGCAGAGTGACCTATAACGCCCACATCAGTAAGGGATCCTGCTCAAAGAGTCATCGTACAGTCCGTCCCCTCTTGAGAGGTAGATACAACGACGCTACTGCGGCCCCATGTCAATCCCTTCCGGCCTTCCGGGCGCCAACAGGACACGACGTAGCAGACTTTTTACGTAATTAGTGAATGCGCCTTGAGGATCAATAGACATAATACTATCAACCTCCACTTATAGATTCACTGCAGAGTAGATTCGATCTGAACTATCGATTTTTTTTTTTTTTTGGTCGTGTATCTAGGTCTTCAGTTTCTACTCCGTACTTTCGTCGTTGCCGATGGTAATCTGTCACATGACTAGCCCCTTTTTGCCGACTCGTATCGTCATGATCTTTGTGTGGATGGGAATCGGTGATTTGACGACTCGCCCGCCTCACCCCCCAGGCACTCAATCTGCAGTTGAACCCCAGTAATCTTCTCATGCCGTGATTCATTTGTGATCCATCCCCCTGCATATTTATTCCCTAGAGTTTGGCCGTTGGCCGGCTGGGTTGGCCTCCTTATCCAGCAATAATATGGCTCTTACTGTCACGACAAACAATACTGCTGCCTAAAATCCTCTTGATCTTTCAAGTATCAATGGACGTCTTCTGGAAATCAGACCCCAAAAGTCTTATTTCGAGTGGCTTCTCCTGGGCAAAAGCTTAGGTTCAGGAGCCAAGGAATGATGGCTCCACGGGATCCACAGCATACGTAAAGTTGGAGGGCTTATTAGAAATTGTGCCGACTAGATGGCCCTGACAGTCCAATAGTGGCGCATCGGAGTTCCCACCATCCTCAGCGTGGTTTGGTCCAACACGCAAACACTTGCTAGGTTTTTGCTGGCACAAAACCCACGAGGAAGTAATGCACCAATCACCGATCACCTGTCTTGCCTAATTAAAGAACCAGAAGGGTTTTGGACTTGGTACCTAGCCGCATGCCGGCTGGCCTGAGTGGTGCTGCGGACCTTTTGCTTTTCATCCTCTACCGCACTCCAAAACCTCCCTCACTTGTTCGCCAGATCCGCATCCCTCTGTACAGCAGCAACACTTTGCCAGGATGCCCCGACTATGGCATCACTGGGGCCTTCTTCTGGTAGCCAGTTATGTCACACAGGCCATAGGCCTACACATTAGCATTGGTGATGACCGTATGTCAAATCATGACCGTCTTGTTGCAGTGGACATGCTAACTTCTCTTACCATTGAAAAATAGAGTCAATCAAAGATGCAGCCAGTAAGACTGCTTACGGATCGATGACATGGTATTCCGGCAACGAAACTGGTGGGATTCCCGGAGCGTTTCCTACAAAGTGGTGGGAAGGCAGCGCCCTGTTTCTGAGTCTACTGCTCTACTGGCATTACACTGGAGATACGACCTACAACGCTGAAGTGAGCCAGGGTATGCAGCATCAGGCCGGGAATGGGGACTATATGCCGTCAAACTACAGCTCCTACTTGGTAGGTCGGAATGCTTCCCCTGTTAAATCCTCCGACTCATTGGTTGCAGGGAAACGACGACCAAATGTTCTGGGGTGTGGCCGCAATGACTGCTGCTGAGCTTAAATTTCCTGAGGTTCACGATGGGTTTTCTTGGTTGTCCCTCGCGCAGGGAGTTTTCAACAGTCAGGCTGCGCGATGGGACACAACTACCTGCGGTGGTGGGCTTCGGTGGCAGATATTTCCATATCTGAATGGCTATGCTATGAAGAACGCTATCTCCAACGGAGGATTTTTCCAGCTGGCGGCCCGTCTCGCCCGCTACACTCAGAACCAGACATATACCGAGTGGGCAGAGAAGGTGTGGGATTGGAGTGTCAGCTCTCCTCTGGTGAACAACAAGACCTGGAATGTTGCAGATTCCACGAATATTGATAACGGGTGTAAGGACAGCGGTGATAATCAATGGTCGTACAACTATGGAGCATACATAATGGGCGCTGCCTATATGTACAATTACGTACGCCTCTGGTATTTCTTCGCGAATAGAAACCAATGCTGACATACGCCTGCAGACTGAACAGCCAAAGTGGAAGGAGGCGGTGGATGGCCTCTTGGGAGTCACATTTGGAACCTTCTTCCCTAAACAATTTAACAACATCATGTCGGAGGTTCTGTGCGAGCCCAACGAAGTCTGCAACGACAATGAGATCCTCTTTAAGGGGCTTGTTGTCCATTGGCTAGCCTTTACAAGCAACTTGGTCCCCTCGACGTACGACCAAATTCTTCCCAAGCTGCAGGCGTCCGCGCAGGGGGCCGCCAACTCTTGCAGCGGCATGAACAACAACACCTGTGGAGTTCGTTGGTATCAAAACAAGTGGGATGGATGGGTTGGCATGGAGGAGCAGATTATCGCCACTGAGGCCTTAGTATCAGCGCTCATCACCGAGGACAAAGCAGGCCCCGTGACAGCCAAAACCGGCGGAGACAGTAAGAGCGACCCAAGCGCCGGTACGGGTGGGGATGAGGACCCCGAGGATAAGGCAAAATTGAAACCAATAACTACCGCAGACAAAGCCGGTGCGAGTATTCTGACCATCCTATTCGTAGGAGTGTGGCTCAGCATGGTTGCTTGGATGTTCGTGGCCTGATTTAAGTTGGATTTTGTGGCGACTGTACATATAAGCGCGGATATACATATCGGATATTAATTCGAAGGTTATGCACATAAGAGTTATGGATCTGTGTACGTTGATTATGTTGAGGAAACCCATGTCTATACGACTCGGCCAAAAGGCTATGCATAGCTTTGGCAGATCCTTCTTCGATTTATAATCTCAACAGATTATATCTCTTGTCGCTGACGAGAGGGCCAAGCTGACAGTTTATCTTAATGTGGAGAAGGCAGGCTAATTTCCTTGTCTGTATCATTAACCGGTTTCCTATCCAAATGATAGGATTCTATATACTATATTAAACACTATAAACAAAATAAATAACAAAAGTCACTAAGTCTGTATCATACTCCGTAAAATTTATCAGGTTTAACTCCATTTAACGTTGTGACGGTTAGCAGGCGGCCGAAAATGGCGACTTCTCACGCTGTTTTATGAGTCTTTCTAACCAACATCTACCTTGGCGTCACGTGAGCCAATTCACACGGTCAAGGGCTTCTCTCCACGCAGGGCCACAGTTTTTATGTAGTTCCTGACACTAGTTCAGCTTGTCATGCATCCACGTATTCTTCCTATGTAAACTCCCGCGCTGAGGGAGGGGAGCCGTTTTTGGCTCCCCCTCGACTATCATGTTCTTTTTAATTCGAAGTCCTATTATGCCGACTGTGTCCTTTCCTGCTCCTATCCTCCTGGCAGTATCTCTTGCGACATATCTTGTCTATTCCAATCCCGCCCTTATCCACACAAGCGCTGTTATCATTATACTTTCTGTATCTTCCTTCAGATTGCAAGTTCCCCGTGGACTATCTCGACTATGGTGCTTTGCTCCCGACCGGTCAGGCCTGACGAGAAGAGTCAGAGCAAAAGCGATGCCAGCTCCTCCGTGAGTGAGATTTTCTTGGATAACAGATCTAATAGTGACTCCAGCGACCTGGAACTTGATAGTAAAAACTCGGACTCGGAAGACGCTCTAAGCAATAATTTTTTTAATAATAAGGGCCAGCTGCCTCATGAACACTACTTGGCCGAAGCAGAGAGCCTGGATGTCTCTCAACTTCGACAGAAGCAGTACAGCGGAAAAACTTGATGAGACCCGCATATACTGGAATAGGTATGTAACCCCTATTGACTCTTGGGCTATTTAGAAGCTTATTAATGGCTTTCTGGAAGGTATTGTTAACACATCGGTGTTTACCCGGTACAGCATTGGTAATAGATCCTGGACTCTAATAAGACTATCTGTTTCCTGTATGGATTTTTTGGCTGGCGATATGACATTCGACGTGGCAAGAACAGTTAATACTGCCCGGGGATTAGATATAAAAGCTTGCTCGAGTTGTTTTGGAAGTGGTGACACCTTATTTTTAAGCAGGAAGTGGTGTCAGGTCTGAGCAAGGATATAATTATTAAGGTGCAAGATATAAACAACCTATCCACCTTCTACCCTGGCTAAAAAAGGAGCAACCGCTAATTTTCCGTAGGTTATTACTATTGTAGCTAAGCGGAAAAGCCTGGAACTCACGCGGCGACCAAAGAAAAACATGTATATCAAAAACGTGGCCGAGTTCGTACGTATCCTCTTGACCACTACCGAGATAATATTTAACTGCGGATAGCTGCGGATTTAGTTACTCTTTATTACTAGCTAGCAGCCATTACTGCAAGCCGTCCGGGGGCGCTCCTGGACCGTCACTACCGGGACATTGTGCTAACCCTGATCCGAGATCCTAAAAGAGAGCGCCCGCGACTGTTTATTTTTTTAAAGCCGGAGTTTACAAAGAAGTTTCTCGGCAAAAAGGCGCCGTAGGTGTTCCTTTTTTTTTTTTTTTTTTTTAAATAGGGGGTAAGAGGGGGCTTTTTAGGAGCTACTCAGTTAACTAGATTAGATAGGAACAAGTTCAAGATTCCGGATATTATTTTTAATCCAACCCTGGTTCTTAGTCCGCATGTTTGTTAGCTAGGCATGCTTTTTTATATTAAAAGCTTTAATGTTGGAAATCAGGATGCCTAAGGCACCTTCGTATATCCTAGTCCCGTAGCGATCTGATATATCACACGCAAGGGGCTAAAGGACACGTAGACATGAGGAAGCGTTTGTCTACGCTCTCTTAGATAGAAGAACATACTCCCCACGCGATACTAGATCGCACCGATAGTTTTAATATACTATCCAGTCACCGCTATCCTAGCACCTCACGACATAGCTTCTTCCTCGAGATTCTCAACATTTAAAACAATTTCTACAAGCAGGCCAGTACTGGACTGCCCGGAGAATCTCTATAACCTCCGGGTTCTGAACGGCCTTGGACAGCAGGAGCTGAAATTAAAGGACGAAACCCTGGATAAATTTAATTTATATTTTGCCAGGCTGTCCAGGAAACTACAGGATGTTAAATTGCCTTGGAGAAGCAATTAACAGTATTAATACGCTTAATACTCTGTCATTCCCGTCACTTTTGAATAGACATGGTTTGAATCACTACGAGAATATAGATTCTGCTAATAATACGACGGATAGGGAAAATAAGAGAGATTGGGGAAATAGGGGAGATTAGGAAAATAGTGGATATTGGGGAAATAGAGGGGATTGGGGAAGTAGCAGGTAAAGCTTGGGCCAAGAACAGACGAACTTGGGATGTACTTAGTCATACATAAAGAATGTGTCGGTCAGCTGAATACGCGTATGAGCTAGTATCACCGATTATATAAGAATATGGATATGCATTGAAGAAATTGAGGTCTCTAAGGTCTCTAACTATCTGAATCTATCTGGGAGAGCTGGATGAAAAAAGGTGAAAACAAAGGAATAAAGTCGGACCGAGCGGATGCTGAATAATGGGTAATATTGGCCCACTTTGGTCGACAGAATGTTAACTTGTTAACTCCTCTTTCTTGAACTCATCGAGTCTACAGCTGAACTGAAAGTGGAGTTTCTTTTATTTGGGTTGATAGTGACGGCATATGTATGACCATTCTTGTGTGTCTCTGGGTATTCAGGTAGGGTTAATACAACCTCTTTACCTTGGAGGTTTGTAAAAATTCCCCGTGAGAGTTACCACACGTTAACTTGATTGGACCCTCATGCTGAAACTAGTTCCAAACTGGTTAATAACTAGTTAAGTAGTTGTTATTATATCTTACCAAAGTTTCGTCCGTGTTTGTGAATTTTCTCGATCAATAACTGCTTGATGTTGTTCTTCTGTATAATGCCAGGGATTTAGCTCTGTCATGGTGGAGAGTATGTAAAACTGGTTGTCGGAAGTTTGGGGAATATTTAACAACCCACTCTCTACAAGTTTGAAGTGATGTGCTATCAGCCGAAGCCCCACTTTCAGCTCAACTGAAACCTACTTTGGTCAACTCGTCTCCGACATACCCTACATGAGTTGGCCTCGGGTTGGGTTAAATTTTTGCCCGATTTACCCCTCCACCTGTCCTATACCCCTCCTTCCGTTCCCTCGCAAAATGGAAGGCCTATCTTTAAAATTACCTTGGAATAGGAGTTCACTTCTTTAAGAGACCTGCCTGTAAAATTAATGAGAAAATTTTTATCTTTTATCCTACTATTTAGTTGTCACTTCGATTTGACTCTGGAAGAGAAGTTCAGTGTGAAATGACGGAAACTTTGACCGCAGAAAATCTGGTAAGTGTATCTTGTAACTTATATTTAACCACCACTAAATGTAAATCACCAGAGCGCCCGTTGGAAACCTCTGACCGTGCCTACGAGCTTTTTCAACAATTGCAATAAACACCCAGTAAATTATATTTTACCGGAGAATTACGAGAGGAAGCTGTATTGCTTTGACTGCGAGAGCATTGAATTTCAAAATGAAAAAGGCGAACGGATTTGGTGTACACAGGGAGAAGGAGAAATGGACAGTCTGCCATCGAAAGTTGGTGTTTACATTGTTCGAGGAAAGTCGAGGTTCGCATAAAACCATCAGGACCCATTAAGCTGGCTAGCTATATATGTACCGTCGAGGAAACCAACGCGTACACAGAATGTACTATAACAAGGTTGCTGCTGATGCATTTCGATGGAGACGCACTCTGTCGAGTCCTTGGATAGATTATTTTTTTCCCATTCCCGCAACTGACTCTTTTCAATTGCATCCCATATCCGAAGGCCGAAGACAGAAGGGATAGCTGAGACTGATGCCTCTTAAAGTATATGTAATACGTTATCTTCTAGTTCTTGCAAGCGAGTGTATGAACTTACGGGTGTGTACAGAAGAGGAGATCTCCTGATGCTCAAGTGTCATGATATCGGGCATGCTTCCCATACCTGAAGCCGGAGGGGCATTTTCGGGTGTGGATGGAAAGAGAACCTTAATCATACTTACATCAAGACAAACTTCTAGTGAAATAATTGCATCCTGATAGTTCTGTTTAGGGATTTTCATACAGACACACTCTGTTGTGTCAACTTGGGCCTCACTTATTCGTCTAGGAGACTTTTCAATGGCACTGCAAATTTGTTTGCTGAAGATATTGCGGAGAGCATTTACATCAGCAGCATGAAAAGCCCAACAGTCGCTTGTCTCTGCACCAGTAATTGGTTTTGATATTCGACAAGAAACTTACTACAGTTAGCAACATTAAAAATTGCTTGTTGGCAATCTGAACAGACCTTGAGGAAAGAGTGATTGGATAAATTGTTGATAGAGCGGATTTTGGTTAAACCCCCGTTTCTTAGCAATATTGTCGAAGATTGGTCGAGAATTATCGTTAAGGTCAGTTCTCCCCGTGAGCTCGCACTTGCCGCGAAATTCTCCTAGATCAAAATATTCGCAAGATCTTGGCGAGACAGATAATATAAATGGAATGTAAATATGAGGATAGTCTTCAAGAATCTCTAAGTAGACTTTCTGGGCCTTTCTTTCTGTGTAACGCAACGTATATTCTCTTTTTGAACGAGGGGCATTCCTGCGTTTCAGACGGCCCTCTAATGGTTTGAAAGTGATGATAAGGCGTTCTTCGAGAGCTATCAAATATGTTTTAGGTATACAGCGCCGCCTGTTAATTTCTTGAAGAATATTGAAGACACGGAGAGAGGGTGATACCATTTTGTAAGTTGCTAACTGGGGAAATTGAGGAAATAGGGGAAATATGCGAAAATAAATACGTACCCGTCTCCTCCAGCTCACCGCCCGGCAGACCCCCTGTAGAGCTGGAGGAGACGGGTAGACAGAAGTACAGAAAGTGGGGTATGCAACAGTGTCCAATAATATCTGTACCACGTGTGATGTATCACGCCGCCTTTCTGGTCACACAAGCAAGCCATAGTGAGGGGGAAATAATATGGGTTACGAACCCAACAGAAGTGTTACTGAACTTAACTACAACATACTAAAATGCTCTAGCGAAGATTCGATTTGGTTTTTGAAAAAGTTTTTGTATAGTTCAGCTCTTAAGAAAAAGTAGTATTCCATGTTCTAATGAGCTTACAAGCTGTCGACCATAAAAAACGCGTATTCGCAAGTATCGATCCTTCATTGAATTAGGTCTCTGATTTAACTAAACTACTAAAACTCTCGCTTTTATAAAGCGGAGGTAAACAACGAAGAATGTAAACTAACTAATATAGGAAACATAAGCGATCCGATGATGTTGTATCATCAAGACATCAACATTTGACCGAGAAAGGTGCTGAATAATCGATACTACCATACTTGTCGACACAAGCCAACTCCTGAGCGTCACTATGTCTCAATATTAAGCCAAAGACCAATTGTCGTCTTCAGCGACCAGCATGCCAAGATACCAGAGTCCTAGCAACACGGACGGCTGCCCGATACCACCACCTGTCCATGGGATTGGGGTGGCAACAGCCAAGCGACCATTAGTGTCCAGTCGTTTCACGGCAACAAACTCGACATTTGAAAGAATAAATCCATATCGGGCCTTGTGCTGATCCATGTAAAAGTTTACCTGGGACAGGACCTGCTTGTATTCGTTCTGGTCTGCTAGAGCTTCCGAGAATCTCATCGAAGTATTCCATTTCCATGACACTTTTAAATCTCCAGGGCCTCTGTTGGTACTTGTGGCGTAGCTTCCATCAACAACCACATACGCTGTGTCGGGCTTGAATTGGTCGATAAACTCAGCCACGCTCCCGCCGTCGAAAGTAATTGCTGACAGTCTCCTGGCAGGAAGCTCTGGAGCAAGCTGTTCAAAGCCTGCACGAAGCGCGCGCCTAACGCGAGGCAAAACTAATTCCGTAAAGCGGAGATGGAATAGGGGCTCATCTCTGATTGCTGCAGGTGGAGACATAAATGGGTCGGGCCGAATTTGTTTTGCATTCAATATTGCCCCGTACCGTTGAAGAATAATTCCATAGTTAAACTCCAGCCAGGGAGTAATATCTGTAATGTCATCAGCGCCGTAGCGAGGGTTTGATGTGTTTTTGGAACGAGTAGTATCTCGAGTTGGAATTGCTGGGAGAGCGACAGAGAGGTACTGAAGAAGTGACTGGGTTGCCATTGTTTAAAATTTATTTTAGCTCCAAGAGGTGCATCAGAATCTATGTTCTGTAATTGTCGTATGAAGGGGTTTTATATTAGCTGGTAGCGTAGAGTAAGGCACAAATATTTAATTTCCTTGACTTCCACAATTTCCTCAATTCCCCCATTTCCCACCGCCTCTTATTTCTATTTGCGATTGAGGCATACGCTCCAGGTGTACAGCACCTTGTTCCATGTTTGTGCCTATCGTTTGAGGAAGTTGAGGAAGTTGGGGAAGTTGGGGAAGTTGGGGACGGAACTGTGGGTCACATGGAAGTGGCGCATAGCTGTACCCGAATTATCCATTCACTTGTTTTTCCCTCACTTCACCCGAGCTCCCCTAATTTGTACAGCTTCGCACATAGGAGTCCAAGCAGCTTTATTGAAGATACCATCACCACCACCATCCCTAGTTACGGGTTTCTGCATAGTCATTATTTGTCAATTTTTTATCTTATGAACGTTAATATTCCGCTCTTATTACCATATTAATCGTACGGCAACAATGTCGAGAGATCATTCTGACGCTCTGGATTTTGACCTTAGTTTTTTGCATATAGGCAAAGAACTTAAACAATCGGAGGCTTCCTCGATATTTGAAGTGGAAATTCATGGTAGTAGCTACGCAATGAAGGTGGTGAGTAATAGCAGGTTTGTATTAGGATATAGCTAACTTTACAGTTTCATAACAACGGTGATCCAGGTTTTACAAAAAAGGGCCGTGACTTGAACCGTTTTCGCTGCGAACTAAACGCTTACAGAAACCTTTATTCGTTTGGTGTATGTGAGCGTGGTTTGGTTCCATATTACTATGGCTATATTGATAGGCTAGATCCAGCCAAGTACCAACCACATCTTAATCATTTTGCAGGCGACACGCACTTTCCAAGTGCGATTTTACTCGAATATTTGAGAGATACAGAAGAGCTTAATTGTGTGAATTACACAGACCGTCGCCTCCAAACCGCAATCTACGGGCTTAGACAAATTCATAACGCTCTAATTCACCACCATGATATCTACCCGAAGAATATCCTCATTGTCCAGGGACACCCAGAAAGAGTCGTTTGGATAGACTTCGATGTTGCAGTAACTTTCCCGAGTAAAGAAGCGATGAACTGCCAAGCGGAGAAATATTGCCAGCACGAAATTGAACTTTTTGCAAGCTTCGGACAGCTTTTAGTATGTTGTTTAACCCCGTTCATAGCCTATAATAGAATCTAACAGAGCTTTAGCAAGAGGACCAAAAACAAGGTCTTCCACCAAATACGAAATACTACTAGCTGGGCCTCTGTATTTACGAGATTGGATCCTTGGCCTGCTATATTTAGCTTTAGTGCACTTTGCTTTCCACACCCTATGGTCGTATGTGTCAAACGTAGCTATTATAGTTATCCATAATTTACTACCACTAGCAGATAATGATGGCTCCTAAGCCAAGTGCTATCTTGGGCTCGCCGGAAACACCCAGTAATTCTCTGTATAGCTTTATCGAGGCCAACATCCACTTACTGCTCGCCCGAAGGAATTTATTGCCAACACTCTAATAGAGCCAAGCTGTATCTCCTGTTCCTCGTCGTTTGTGATCAACGATAAGGTGAGAAAAGACGAGGGGGCACTTTACAAGGTGGCTGCCTGGCTCGGCTTGCGAGCTGCAAAGTTAAGAGGGGCCGCAAGGATGGGATGAGGAGAGGTTGCATGATGACCGCTAACAAGGCTGCCTTCGGGGTTGCGCGACTCGAAGCTTGCTGATAGAAAGTAAATTGATGGAAAGATTAAAAACCCTCTTGAAGTGAGCGTGTATCGTATTTAAACCCTATCTTCCCAGGGTCCATCGTCGGCGAGGATCACTGGGTCAATGGGAGTGTTATTCTGCACACCTGGTAACCTAAAGAACTCTTCCAAGCTGTTGTCTAAGCTTGGTATACTGGGCGATGACGGATCATCCCCTGGGGTGTCTCCCCAAAAAAAGGGCACTCAGTCGGAACATTACTAATATCTTGAAAATCACGGGGTGGAATTGGACCCCAATTTGAGGTGCGATGTGCTGGATTATGTGGGGAAGTTGCTCCTTGCTTCGAGTTCTCCGGATGTAGTATATTAGGCGGTAGTATAGATACCTCCCGTGGTTAAGATTAGGGGCTTAATAGTGTATATAGCCGAGTATTCGTTTTGGTATGCACACACGCTTCGGGCGGTGGCCGCGCAGGGAGGCGATGCTTAGGAAATGGTAAAGAAGGCAAAGTACTTGGGAGGGAATCATGCAGAGGTTTAGGGGGAGAAGGGGTGTTGGACGCTTTACTGCAAGAATTTAGGGATTTGTAAGGTGGAAATGAGCCAGTGGAAGGGGGGATCCATGGCTTGAAGTTGTTTAGGTGAAATGTAGGGAACATCTTGCAGGAAATAGTGTCCTTGAGGTTATACTTAACGGAGAGGTGATTGGGAAACAGGAACGGGAAGTGCAAGAGGAAGCAGAAAGGTGTAGATAATAAGATACCCCTAATATTACAGGTTTGATTAGCCTTTTTATACCTTTCCTTAACGCGTCGACTCCATGTTTTTGCCTTCTCGGAAGCGAAGCAAATTTTTCTTGTTCTTAACCTTATATCTAGGCTGTTAACGCGTCCACCTGCATCTAAAAACATCCAGTATTTGCAGCTCCAAGCCTCACATGTCGAACATTTTGGCCCGATCCGCAGAGATAGACCGGGGTTAAAAGAAATGCGGCAATTTTGCTATTGGATGATAAACAAGGCAAGAGCCCAGAAGCGGATGGATCTGGTGGAACAGGGGATGGCTCCAGAGGGGAGGGGGCCAACCCCAGCCATTAAAACTGAGCAGACACTATAAATGCAGTCTCTAGTAGCTGGATAACAAGCAATCCCCCCAAAATCTCCATGAGGCCTCACAGAGGCCCTGCGCATGAATCCATTATGCAGGTAGAGGCAAAATATAAGAGTCAGTGAGAAAAGAAACCAGAGAGTATGAGAGATGTAAAAAAATCAATTAAGTAGTGCACTCCGGGAACAACCATCCTTACTGACATTGCAGCGGCCCAAGTCCTACCATAGGCAAGAGCGCGCCATCAGGCGGCATACTGGATAGCTAAAAGCCAATAAAGCGACAGTAAAAATATCGAGATCCACTAGATAGGTTGCCGGTGACTCCGTAGCTGAAGAGCGAAAACAGGGGGTTGGGCGGCGCCATACGGGAAAAAGGTAATGGTCGGATAACACGGCATCTTCTAAAGGGGGGAAGGGGCCAGTGCACCGGGTGAAGGAGACGGGAGGGGGGAAGAAAGGAAGGAGAAAATGCGTCGTCGTTTGAAAGAGAGAAGTCGGCCTTATATAGATGCAGTGGGACGGATGAGGCGGCAGGGTAAAAGGGCAAAAGCGGCGAGAGTCAGCACTATTCCCAAAGCGGGAGGTACCATACCACAACGGGCAGTGGATACCCATGAGTGGCAGGCGGTGTCAGGCAGCAGAAGAGCGGTTCAATGGGAGCCGTTTCGGGCGCCCCGCTAACCGGCACAACGTATACCCAATGAAAATATCATTTAGATTAAGCTAATTCGCCGATATGTAGACGCCCTAGGACATCAAACTATTTAAGTCCATAACTAGCTTGCACCTCTTGTCCACCAGTCAATCTTATATAAGTGTCCGCATCTAGTTGGCTTAACAAATATCTCCCAAGACATATAAGAGGTTGCTCTCCGTTGTTGTTAAGTGTCCTCTCCTTTGTTACAAATCTTAAAGAGGTTTATCTTGCATAAAGTAACAAAAAAAGACAGGCTGGAGCGTGCATACCATTCAGGGAGCAACCCAGTTGGGAAAGCCTGACTGGTTGCACCCTCTTTCATTGCGTGTCATGTGACTGGATTACATAAATGTCACGTGATTTGAAGCGGTGTTCTCCAGACGATGTTTGGCCTACCCGTGACTAAAGCATTTATGTGCGGCTCCAGGCTAATTGCCAGGGTATCAGGACGGTTGACCAAGATACGGCCGTGGACGCATCAAACCTCTGTTCATATAAGCTGACTAGAGGCGGGCTACGTGACCAGAACACCTGGATCATGTCATCCTCGGAACAATGGGGGACGTTCCTCCATCAGTGCCTAATGCATCGAATTGATGCGGCCGAGTTTAAGAATCTATCAAAATTATTGTTTCAACGGAGTCCCATAGTCGAGACAGCTCTACTCAATGTGCTTCTTGAGACAAGACTCGCGACGGGCATTAAGTGGGATCCGTTGCTCCCGCTGTATATGGACTGTCTTTGCAAAATGGGCAAGGTGCAAATATCCACAGTGCTGCATACATTATTAAAGTACTCATCTATCCAAGACAGTCTGTCGTCAATTGACTCGGGTGCCGATCAAAAGAAGCCTCCGAAGTGCTATACATTGATGACGGACATCAGAGTCATCCAGGATGCCATGCTGTCTGTCTCAACAGGACATGCCCCAAAGAGTCTTACCGAGTCTCTCGGTATCTTTTCTGCCATTGTGGACTGGATCCAAGCCGTTGTGTCCTGGCACCATAATCATGTGGATACGAACCAGCAAACAGGCGGGCTGATTAGCTCTCCAGATGCTGTTTCATTGTTTGAGTCGCTCGGAATCCTTTTTGCTGCTTTGTCGGGAACTTCAAAGGGGCTAGATGTGCTGTCATCAGAATCCCATGAAGGTAGCTAGCTATGCTAAAGCCCGTTTTTGTTTACTGCTTATATGCTGACGCCCAGTAGCATTAAAGCTCAAGCTTGGCCAAGCACTATCTGCATATCTTCCCCTTTGCGTGGAAGTGTCACTGCCACTGCGGAACAGACTAGACGGCTTGCAAAAAGAATTCAATCTCTATGGAGATCTGCCCTCCAAGTCCTTGGAGGTTTCCGTGATGGATAATTTAAACGTCAGCGCGCTTCAATTTGAGGCTTCTGTGATGGACGGGCCTGTTATAAACTCAAGAGCTGGTCTCTATATTTATATAAATTCAATGGTATTCCTGACCCTTTAGTCTGCCGTTATATTGATAATCAAACAATGCTGACCTTATAGCTGGTGGGCCGTCCCATGCTCGATGATGGTATGTTGCTTAATTATTTAACAAATCGATACGGGGTAAGTGTTACTCTCTAACTTTATGCCTATCCATCGCAACTAACGTAAACAGGGTCATTACGAGATAATGATCGAGGAAGTTATAACGGCTACGTTCGACGTATTATCGAATGCGATGTATCGCAATGAGTCAAGCCAAGTCATGTTTCTCTTCCGTTCGTTCTTGGTTAACAAACTTCCCGCCTTCTTTGCTTCCATGTTATCGGCATCCATGGCTTCTCTGTCTATGGATGTGTGCATTAGCCATGCGTTGAGCCGTCTAGACCCGAATACTTTTCCATCATTCTCGCAGATGTTTTCTATGCAGGGAAACACTGTTTTGTCAGATGTCCGACAAGAATTTCTGTTCGCCTGTGCCTCTCATAAATTGATACCCGAGTCCAGTATTGAAAGACTACTAGGCGAAAACCCTATGCAGACGGTCCCTGTTGGGTACATCAAGGACGAACTTGTAATGCAAATCAACATGCACCCAGAGCGTGCGGAGCAACTGATCAGTGAGATTGAATCTACGGAGGGAAATGCAGGTGCGATTGTCAGTGCCATCACTGAGGTATGTGCTATAATGACAAAGATAACGACGACATCGTAGCTAATTGAGAAATAGGTCATGATAAATCTCTGCAATCAAAAAGAAACAATGACATTGAAAAATATTTGCAACGCTCTCTCTCGCCGTCCTCAGGCTCTGGATGTGATTTTGCTCTTCCAAAGCTCAAGGCATGTATTACAACCTCTGTGTGCTCTGCTGGATTCCTGGCACTGGGATGAGGACCACGGCGAGAGCCAGCCTGTATATGATGAATTCGGAAGCATTCTGCTACTGGTGCTAGCATTTAAGTACCGGTATAAATTGCAACCGTACGACCTCGGGATTACGAGAAGTGACTCCTTCGTCTTAGGATTGCTAGAGCGTGGGTCCTGCACCCAGAAGCTGGATGATCTGAATGAAAAACAGAACAAAAATCTTGGGTCATGGATCGCTGCCTTGTTCATTGCGGAGGGTATTAGCGAAGAGACAATGTCCGCTTGTAGCCCGCAGGAGTTTTATCTTCTTGTGGCAACGCTATTTAATCAAAGCCTGGGCGCGTGCGAAGCAGGGAAGTTGGGGTTTGAGACACTTAAAGGGGGATTTGAATGTGAGATTGCCTTGACGCTGGTTCACTACAGGACTAACATAAACAAGATTTGCTCGAGCCATTCCTTCTCCCATCGCTGGTCTTTTCTTTGACCTGGCTAGGAAATCACATCTGGGAAAGCGAGGGTGATCCATCGATCCCATTGAAGGCACTGCAGTGTCTGGTGAACCCCAGCTCAATCTCTAGAGAGGCAAAAGAGATTCATCGAACTGTGATAAATATCACTGCACGTTCTTTAGAAGAGCAGCTTAACGATGTTCAGACACGCCAGCCAACCTCCAGTACTAGCATTAAACCTATTTTAGATGCTCTTGAGCCATGCCTCTCTTTCCAGAGGACGGGTAGTAGTCACCGGTCAGAGCTGGAAACCTGGACGACACATACCCCTGGCGCCCTACTGGGCAGCATCCGAAGCACTTTCCAGGGTCTTGTACTCTGGAGCACCAGTGCAGACATGAACATAGCGCCGCAACTGTACACCCATCGTCAGATCATCGCCGGTATCCAAATGCTGGGTTCTGTGCGCGTTCTTGGGGTGCTTGTTGAAGAGCTGAAGCTGCAGACCGAGGCGGGCAACGGCCCTCTTGCATTAGACATTGCAGCAGCATTAATTTGCTCACCAATGGCAGAGTCATTTGCTGTCAATCAGAGCCACTACCACACTGTGGATCCAAGCAAAGAGCCGCTCCCTCAATGTCCTATCCTAACACTTCGCGATGCGCTTATGATCCAACATGAGAATATCCCCAAGATCAAGGAGAAGGACCCGCTGCGCGCGGAAGTTATTGTCCGATTATACCGACAAGTAAACGCACTGGTAGCGCCGACTACGCAGGTGACAAACCTAGACATGAGCAACATTATCCAGAACATGCAATTAGGTGTTGAGGATGCTTGCCTGGAGTCCCCGGGGGCAAGGGTTGGAAACCATGGTGTGGGCGAGGATAACTCAAATCAAATGTTGGACAATGTCGCGGGCGTTGACCAGAATATGAGCGGAGGTGGTTTGGACACCAGTATCGATGACGTTTTGAATGCAGCTGACATGGCGGTTGGAAATCCGGAATTCCTGGATTTAGATATGGAAGGGATGTTTTGATGGTTAATGGGATGAGATAATATTTTTAGGCTCAAACTAGGACGTCGTATATACGATTATTGCCATAGTACTTCGAGGACATTCCGATCGACTCCCAGCTGCCAGGTATGCGATAGATTCCACGTATATACGGGGCGTTGATTGCCCTCACCGATGGGATGCAAAATCCGGGATTAAGAGGGTGTCGCACAGCGCTGCGGATCGGCGGACGCAGTACAATAATATGGTCAGTCAAATGAAAAGAATTTACTGTAGCATATCTACGTGTCTTAGGGATAGTTGTAGATGTAATGCAAATTGCATTAGACCAGAAGCTACCTAGTCCCCTAAACCACCGTCCTATTAGGGATTCTTCTTCAGCCACAAGGTCTGCGAGTTACAGTATGATTTCAAGCCATCCACACCCCATTCAATCCCAATTCCACTGGCCTTGTGGCCACCATATGGAATTGAAGGTGATACGTCAAAGTGCGAGTTCACCCAAATATTGCCCGCCTCCAGCCGATTAGCCATGCGCTGCGCTCGCTCCAAGTCCTTGCTCCAGACTGACGCCCCCAATCCCATGGCAGTGTCGTTGGCGCACGAAATCACCTCGCTCTCTGAGCTCCACTTCAGGAGGGGTAGGATTGGGGCGAAGGGCTCCTCCTGTACTACGCGTGAGGTATGGGGAGGATTGTCAATGATGGTCGGCGGCACGAAGTAACCAGCCGAGTCCGGGATGGTGCCACCCAGGGCGGGTTTCAACCCCTCGGTGGTGATGCTGTCGAAGAGGTTTTGGGCCTTCCCGAATTGCATGCTGTTTTGTATCGGACCGATGAAGACGGCTGATTCTGTCCCTTCTCCCATCTTCAATGACTGGACAAATTGCACCAGTTTGTCGCGGAACTCATCATAGATGTTCTCGTGTATGTAGAGGCGCTTGATCATCATGCAGATTTGGCTAGAGCACAGGAAGGAAAGGATTCCCACCTATTGAATGCACGAGGAGATTAGTTGGAACTAAACAGTAGAGTCAATTACTTCTCGCTGACCTTGGGGACCACGACATCTACGTCGACATCGTCACAGATGATTGCCGGATCATTGCCACCCAGCTCGAGAGTGAGTCTCTTCAGTGTTTTCGCGCAGCTGGCCATGACGCGACGGCCTGTCACGCTCGACCCCGTGAAGCTGATCTTGTCGATGCCCGAATGCTCCGTCATCATGGGACCCAGGTCATCACCACCGCTAAGAGCTTGCACGACGCCGGGCGGGAAGCAGTGGATTCCCAGTTCGGCCAGCTTCAGATCGCAGTACGGGGTGAAAGGCGACGGCTTGACAATGACGGCATTTCCGGTGTAAACGGCAGGAACGATCTTGCCAACGGCCAAAACGATGGGGTAATTCCAGGGCACGATGGCCCCAACGACGCCGAGAGGCACATACCGGTGGATAACCTTTCGTTCCTCCGTCTCCTCGGCGACGGTCTCGGGAAGGGTGAGGGTACTGAGCGCGCGCGTCCACTGCACCGCCATGCCGACCTCCGCTGCCGCCTGATCCAGGGGTTTCCCCTGTTCGCGGGTCAGCAGCGCGGCGAAGACATCCGTATTTTCCTCCAGAAGATCAGCAAAAGCGCTTAATGCCGTCCGACGTTCTTCCAACGATGTCCTCGACCATTTCTGAAACGCCGCGCGGGCGGCTGTGACTGCACGGTCTAGATCGGCGGCGGTCGACACCGGTACGGGCGGGTTGGGCTGACGGTTGGCGGGATTGACGCCATGGCGCGTGTTGGCGGTAGTGGTCAGCTCGTTATTGATGACATTATGGAAGGTCTTCAATAGGTTAGTCGGCTAGTGCTAGTGCAAGAGACATGGGTTAGTATCGAGCACCTACCGTGGTATCCATGGCTATAATGAAAGAAGATAGCAAAACCGCTTACTACCGGGCAAACAGACGGCAGAAGGGAGGAGGGGCGGGGTTGGTTTCATCTGATATATCCCCTCCCACTTGTCCACTGGCGAAGAGCTTTCACACCTCCATGTCTCGACTGGAAATGCGGGGTTCCGATGGTAATGCGTGTGTACTACCACAGGAGCCAATGCCCATTCCCCGAGCAGTCACCCCTCCATGGAGACGAAATTTCGGGTGAGAGGTCGTTCATGATAGACACGAGTACTGCATCCATAACTTGAGGTCTTTGATGCTCTCTCCAAGAGCAAAGTCGAAGCTATTCTGGTCTTCCCCACTCGGCCAGGATTTAGCCTCCGACCTAGTCACGTGATATCCATCGGGGTGCAGTTCTGGCGCCGAGTGATCTACATTTATGACTATTATGGACTCCTCGCTGGTTGGAGCTGCTCCAGCCCACTTCTACCTCTCCTCTGGCTTACTGTAACAATGTCGAAATTATCGAATGGCCTCAGGTCGCTGATTAATTCCCCCGCAGCGCGTCCGAACACCATCCCTGCCCCTCCACATATCCAGTCAGTCTATCGGAAGATCCAGCAGGTGGCACAATCAAAACATCTCTTGGAGCCATCATGGCTAGCTCTCTCGGTATGTGGCGAAAGAAAAGAACAAACTGAAAAATAATAGGCGAAATAAAATAAAAAGGCGCTAACGATTAACACCAGACTGCCGCAACCATGACGATGAACTCGCCGGAGTCCCTCTTATCCCTCTTCCAACTAGCAACTAAATCCCAAACTCCCGCCGAAAGTGTCGCCACGGCCGAACTAATGCGTGAGATTGGTTTGAAATGTATCAGTTTCAACGGTATTCCGCGCACAATCAACTGCCTGAACGCCTTTAAAGCCGGCTTACCTACTTCGATTAGCTCTCAGCTGTCGCAAACGCCAACGCGCGCCCCATCTCCCGAAAACATCACCGAGATAAGCGCCCGCGGCCAAGCCCTGTGGGACTCCATCTACCGTCCCTTCGAAGTGAAACTCTACGACAAATTGGCGGATTCACATCCTGACCTCCCGGTCCACATCCTCCACAACAACTACGGTGCCCTCTTGTCGAACCCGCATCGTACGACAGGAGCGAACACCGGCCGCTTGGCGACATCGATCATTGCGATCGCGTGCCTGCGTGCGCAGACCGGCGTTGGCCCGCAGGTCATATCTCATGTGTTTGGGCTACGGAAGGCGTTGGAAGATGGAACGTGGGTCCAGGATGTCGAGAGCGAAGAGAATGCCCGATGGCTGGCAAGCGATGATGGTAATACCTGGATTTTGAATAGTGTGGATGAGATTGTGGAGGCCATTGGACAGGGATTGGGGTCAACTTTTGCACCTGCAAGAAACTCCAAGTTGTAAATACGGTAAGAGGTGGGGGTTCAGACGGGGTGAACTGGCCCCGAAATCCCGATTGTACATACATATGTATTGTGTCTATACAGGTATAGGCGGTAGACGAGTTATGTGAATGGATTGGGTTCAGATGACTCGTGTCACCAGTGAAACGCATTGTTTAGATTACAATTTATTTTGCTCACGTAAACCTCGTAATCCATGTGGCCAGCCCCTTGCAAGGATCCGCCGGTATGCGACACCGTTGGGGATCAACGGGAATACCGGGAATAAATTTTCCTAGGCTCTTCAATGGCAGCACCATGATCACCCATGGATCAGAGGAAAAAGAAAAGGGAAAAGAAAAAAACAAGCATCTTAAATGAACCAGCTGCTTGAAAGACTTCCCGTTGGTTAGGAAAGTCTATGCATCCACACTCAATACGTATGCATCATTCATTATATTAGTGAATAGAAATCTATCGTCATATGCCAGCTAAATCGTCACGTCGTTCCCTGTTTAACCCATGCATTGAACTTCTCCACCTGTAACCGATCCGTCGCCCATGAGGTAACAATGCGAACTACTGCCCTCTCCTCGTCCAATGGATCCCAGACATAAAACCGGAAACGCTCCTCCAGCGACCGAATCAGCCGAGTTGGTAGAATGACAAACACTTGATTCGTTTCGGTGGGAGCCGCCAACTCGTACCCTAGAGCCTCAAAGTTCGCAGAGATAGTCTGTGCCATCTCCGTTGCATGCCGCGCCAGCTCAAAGAAGAGATCGTTCCGGAAAAGCTCCGCAAATTGCACGCCCATAATGCGAGTCTTGGCCAGCAAGGCTCCATGCTGCTTAAGATGGAAGATAAAATCCTCAGCGAGGTGACTGCGGACCACTATGGCCTCGCCCAGCAAGGCCCCCATTTTGGTTCCCCCGATCCAGAAAATATCCGTCAAATCAATGAGGTCCCGTAAAGTAAGATCATTGGAAGGTGCACTCAGTGCCACCCCAATGCGCGCTCCATCCATCAACAACAGCAAGCCTAGCCGTCGACACGTGGCTGAGATCCCCTGGAGCTCTGCTTTGGTGTATATTGTCCCCAACTCAGTTGCATTGGAGATATACACCAGGCGGGGTTTCGCGGAGTGCGGAAAGAACTGGTTCTGACGCACAACCCGCTCTAGATTCTGCGGTGTCATTTTGCCCCTGCTCCCGGGGACAATAATTGTCTTATGCCCAGTTGCCTCTATTGCACCGGCCTCCTTGCTGACAATGTGACCAGAGTCAACCGTTAAAACGGCCTCGTATGGCCGCAGACAGCTTGCAATGCAAATGAGGTTGGCAGAGGTTCCACTGGGAACAAAGTGAATGGAGACTTCGTCATCGGTAGCATTGAGCTTGGATTGAATCAATTGGCGTGCCTCATTGCTGTATGCGTCATTCCCGTAGGAGATTTGCTGGGTGGTATTTGTGCGCAGTAGAGCTTCTAAAAGTTGAGGATGGGCTCCTTCACTGTAGTCGTCTAGAAAGCTATACGGAGGAATTATCTCCGTGTCGGAGAGCCAGGTGGACGGCATTGTCAAAGTGTTTATAGACAATGATTGATAACCAGATATGAAAAACTCTGGACCGAACCAAATTTCAGCGGAGGAAAAAAAGGAACCGATATATAGTACTGTGTGCTAGCATATCGGGAATAAACGTGCTCGGGAATGAGTCAAACAGTGGGTCTTATTCCCGCTCGGGAATACCCCAACAGTTTTTGATCCTTCTGGAAAAGTCGACGATCCAGACTCTACACCTTGCAGAACACCGTTACACACCTGTACTCTCGCTGTTCTCGGGGTTCTGTCGGAAGCATCGTGAATGCTACGTGATGAAGCCTTTGATGTCCCAAGCTCTTTGAAGCATGTGTTATAGCATCCCATGCGGTTATTGTCGGCTTTCTCTAGCCAACACCATCATCGAAGAGATGAAATGCATACATTCAATGTGAATCTCATAATTCCCACATGGATTCTCCTGTTCCGCATGATCGTCCCTATGGACCTAGTTTGATCCCTCTACCTTCAAGCCTGTATTCCAGGGCCATGAGCAGGTTTCTGGGAGCATGGTATATGACAATAGTGCCTCAGAGTGTTAGAGACCCACCTTATTCGGTATGGCCACTTAGCTTCTCTTAGTCACCCATCTAGATAGACAGCCCGCTTGAGCCCTTGAATTGAAGAGAATCGTGCCTCGCGAATGCAGAAGTCTATCCACGCGTTATAAGATATGTACGACGAACCATGGAGTATCCTGATGAGATACAGCCCACTTTGAGAAAGATTTTGAAACCCTTCATTTGAGCTTTCCAACATGTAGCCTTAGCAATAACAACAAAGCCCGACGCCTTCAACAAAAGCCTTTACTATATATAAGATAAACATGATCCACGTCACATGTTGAATTCCTGATCCCAGCCATGTAAAGAGGCATTTTTGAAGATAACACGTCAACACTGAATACGCTAGAGAGCAAGGAAACCTACCGTCAACCGATAATCCTTGGTTGGGATTACGAATGATATCCATTGGCGGAGGGGTGAGTTGTCTCTCACAGGCGATCTGGTCTTGTCCCTCGTTGATCGATGGGGGGCCTGTCCAGATATCAATATGCCAGATGCTCGACTCTCAGTTCCTATTGCACTGCTGACAGTAATCCTCGTTCCGCAGGTGCTTGCGAAGATGTGGATCGCAGATAATTTCGCACTCTTCACCCGAGGCCGTAGCAAAGTTCAGAGGATCCCTGTGGGTAACGATTCCCCAGCAGTGTTCCCACGACCGCAGTTACACACAGTTTCCGAATCAGGAGGGTCATTGTCGGGGTATCCGTAAAAGGTATGTGTGCGAGACCTCGCTGATAAGTTTACATGCGTTGGACACACCCACTAAGCCTAAAAATAACATGATTCTAAAGAAAAGGAAATTATGTCAGCTGTTGTCTCGCACAATAAGAGCTCGTTCATGAACAGTTATTTGTGGCGTGAGAAACTGGAAGTTGCGATGATGGACAGAATGTCGAATTTATGAAGACATTCTCGAGCTTTTGTTCTCTAGGTCATCATGATTGTTGCGTTTCTTACTTTGCTGTCATTCCATGATTTCGTCGTCATTAATAATGTCAGCGAAAAGTGTTAAATTTTGATTAAAGGTGCACTTTACACTTTACCATATCTTATAGTCATTTAAGTTGTCATCTTGAACCAACAGGTCAACAAACGCACAGAATTGAGGGATCCTCGGGAACACTGACTGCCTATATAAAAAAATACATGTCTCTCCCAGTGCCCTTAGGTTTTTTGGTGGCCGAATGATATTTTTCATGTTCACAACTATGTGTCGATATTTATTCTAAACACTGATTGTTATCAAGGTTCCTATATTCCTTTGCTTTCTGTCTAATTAACGCGATCTACATAGCCAAAACAAAGGGGTGGGGGGGAATTAATAACTAACCGACTGGCTAGGCGATAAACCATACTTTCCCAAAAAATTACAGTGACATTCACTACGAGTAGGTGGAGTTTTGTATTTTACTACCATATGAATTTAAATCCAAATATAGGACTATAAATTGACACTTTAGGCTTACGCATTCCTATAGGTGAGCAGATATAAGGAATGAATATTCAATCAAACAACCTCACTAATGAGATCTATCTATGGAAGAAAACATTAGTAGAACAGCCGAGCCAGGTCCAAAATACATATCCTGGAAAATCTCAAACAACAAATCAAGTCCTATGCTATCCCAAAGCCATCCGTTCAATCTCGGACCGTATCACCATCTCGTATTCTAAAATATTCCTGAGTCGCGCTTCCTTTCCCAGCCCACCTCGCATCTGATGAACAACAGATTCAGGTACCTTATTGGCACCCTTCCAATTTGGGTGATTGTGACCACTGCTGCCGCCTCGGAGCCATACACATAGCAACAGCAGTAGGATAGCCACAATAATAAACCACCAGAGATGATAGGAACTGTGTTGAGGAGCACTCTCCTCAGTGGAGTCAGGTTTCTCTGGGATGGCAGCCGGCGCCGGCTCTGCTGGCCTTTTATACTTCTCCGGAGGGATTGGATTCATCCAGCTCGCCTTGGGAATTTCCATGCGTGTATTGCCCACGCCATACGGTTTAGGAAGATACACTGGACCTGTGTAGCTATCTCTTACTGAGCGTGTCAGTTGGATAGGCTCTTCCGGCGACTTTTTCTCTCCCTTTTTCATGGACGTCCCCGAACGTGTCGGTTCATCTATATCTAAATTTTCCGTGTCATTCAGCTGCAGTTGTCCCAGCCCACGCACCACTATTCCGAACGGGTCGTACTCCTCCACCAATTCCTCATCCTTGAATGAACTAATCCGTACCCGCTTCCGTGGGCCGTTCTGTTCAACACAATCCAGGCGCAAGAATGGGTTCGCGTTTGACGGGGCATTCTGCAAACTCGGCCCGAAGATCTCTGAGATCTTTTGAGAGGTACTCGGTCTGGGATTCGAGGTCCCTGAAGTACGTACAGACACCGAAGATCGAGTTCTAACGTCTTCTTCCGAGTCGCTGCCGCCTACTATTCCCCATTTTCTGGCCGTGCGGCTAGACGTAGCCGATATTGCAGTTGCAGTAGGTGATTCTGGGGAGTCAGGTCTCGGCACCGAACGGTATATATTGATGTCAAACCCCTTGTCGGATGCAGAAACAGACAGCCCTGTTGGGGCACGTTCTAGTCCGTGGGCCAGCAACAGGCCTTCTCCTTCGCCGTCAAGTCCGGACGACAAGTCTCCGATCTCATCATCTAGCGTGGCAAGTCCTGGCCACGCAGGGGTATTGTCTGGGTCGCTGTCAGTCATGGAGTTGCCCTGAGGACAGAGTAACTTCGGGTATACCTTGATCCCCAGGATCTTAGCCCGTTGCTCCATGTACGAAGCATAGGTTGCTTCCGTATTCTGGGCCAGTTCTTGGAGCCTTGCCATCCTAGAATGCAGTACATTTTGCACAGTTTTCTGTCTTTTTAGTAAATTTTCTACTCCATCTTCCAATCTCTCGTTTCCTTTCTCAAATAACTCTACCTGTTGTTTGTATCCATCCGACAAGGTTTGCGCATCTTCCAGGGTTTTCTGTATGCCTGCTATTTCCAGTTCGCGACTCGCTAGTAAGACCTTCAAGTGATCAGACTTTTCCTGAACTTGAGTCATCTGGGCCGTTTGCTTTTTGTTGTGCTCTCGCAGCTCGTGGTTCGCTTCCTCCGCCGTCCGGATGTGAACCTCGTGTGCGTCGCATTTGCCCTGTGATTCTCGCAACTCTTCCGTTACCTGGAGCAACTGGGCGTTATGCTTTTCTATTTCCCTCTGGCAGTGCTGGTATTGCTCACCCAGTATGTGTATTTGAGAGTGGAGGAACTGGTTCTCAGCATCTAGGTCCTCATTTTGTTGTTTGCTGTCTGCCAGTGCTTTTTTCTGTTCTACTACCACGTTCTCGAGCCATTGAGATCGAGACTGACCAGTAGGCGGTTCATTGCTCCCGCCGGCGTGTTGATCGTCTTTGGGGCCGCTTCCAGACATAGACAATTAGATTAGGAGGATAGGTTTCGACAGATTTTTTCTTAGTATGTTGTTAACTGTAGATAAAGTAAAAGACAGGTTTGCTCTAAAGGAGCTGGGCAAGCAGACTTTCGATAGTTGTCGAGTCAAAATGGACCCCCAGTGCATGGGGTTGGACGTCGGCACCATTTATACCGTATGAGCTTTGTTGGTGCTTTGATGGGGACATGCAATACACAATAGTCATTCAGAAGTCTGTTGACAGTGTCAAATGAGGATAATACGAGATGGCAATCTCCCCAGCACTCGTAAGATCTATTGGTTTGTCTTTATCAGGGTTACCATTTTACTTGAATTCTTTGTTGCCACCGGTGCATTCCACCACCAGAAACAATGTCTTTGCTCTATAATCTTTATCCCTCGCTATCCGCACCCACAAAGAAAAAGAAAAAGAGAAGAGAAGAACAAAGTGGAGGACCCGAGCTATAGCCCACGGGTTCATCAAAGAACAGGATATCGAGAGAAACGAATAACGCTAACCAGCCACTCACAACTTCGACTTTTTCTGTCCCGTAACATTGGGAACGGCCTCTCCCGAAAGAAGGAAATCCGGGTACCCCAGCTTTCCATATGCTGCACCTGGTGCAGACATGCGCCAGGATGCTCCATCCACTACAGCAAAGTCAGCTGCGACCCGCAAAGAAAGGGGATAAGGATGCTCACCAACAAGAGTCTGTCCGGACACATAACTGCCCGTGTCTGCGAAGAGATACACAGTAGCATCCGCAATATCACGGACGGATCCAAACCGGCCAAGTGGCTGGGACCTGGTGTAGCTTTCAAGGGCGTCCGAGGGAAGAAGACGCTCCATGCCCTGGTCGCCGTTAGTATGACCAGGCAACGACTCAATATGTAGATAAATATTAACGCCGATGACTTACCTCTGTTGAAGCAATAGGGCCCGGGGCAATGATGTTGGAAGTCACTCCCAATGGGCCAAACTCAAGCGCAACGCTGTGCGACAAAGCATCGACACCGGCTTTAGCCACCGACACATGCGTCTGGAAGGGCATCGTTCTATAATGGAGGGTTGCACTGACAAAGATGATGCGACCTCCAGTTCCGGCGGGAGACGGTTTGACTGGTCGGCGAAGGTTAGTATTTCCTAGTTTCCCGGGCTGAAATGAAGAGACAACGACTGACGAGATTCTTTATCCACTTTGTGCTTGTTGGCAGACTCAACCAAATACGGGAGGGTTGTCTTGAGCGTGTTGTAAGACCCTAGGACATCAATATCCATGACGGACTTGAAGGCATTGGGCGACAATTGGTTGATTGAGGCGAGGAAATTGCCCGCCGCTCCAGCGCTGCACAAAGGTCATCAGCACACTTTTTTTAATTTAATTTGTTTTGTTCTTTTTAAGGGTAACCACATAGCGCAGCGTACATGACAAAATCAATACCACCGAGCTTCTGAACGCAGCGATCCACAGCATTCTGGAGGCTCTCGATCTGGCGAACGTCAACGGCCCCGATGCCAATAACTTTGGACCCCGAACGAGCCGTGGCAATGTCACGGGCGGCTGCTTCGGTCTTCTCGACATTTCTCCCCACGATACAGGCGTTGGCCCCTAGGTGGACCAGGGCGCGGACCTGAGCACTGCAAATCGTACCCGCTCCACCGGTACAGAATACCACCTTATTTGCTATGGCAGGGGTCAGAGCCAATGGCTGAGAAGAAGGGGGCTCGGAATCGCTGGACATACTAAACAAGCCATCCTTCCAGGTATCACTTAGATAATCCACCTTGGGGAGAGACATGATAGCGTAAACTGAGGGAAAGACAAGATGCTGGAAAAGGGACGATAGAAGGCAGATAGATGAATGAATAACAGATAGCAGATAAATAACAGGAGTAATTGGAGATCCCCACAATTTGGCCTGGAGCTCAACCTCGGCAAGCTCGGCCCCGTTAATTGATTACTCATCTCCCCAGTGACGTTTACAGTGTTTGATCTGGGGATTGTCGATTGTTCCATGGCAAGGTCAGACTAACTCCGGTAGTAGCCTCCTCACGTCAGTGATGAAAGGTTGTGGGGACACGCTTCGCTTATACTCCTGATACTGGTTTGGCAATTTTTTTTCTTTTGACTTTTTCCTTTTTCCTATATCGATCCGGGCATCATGCATAGCCCCATCTTTACGATACCTGCGAAGCTCAATCAACTTGGATATGATCTCATCTCCAACAATGCCTTGTAGGTGGCTGGAGATGCTTGTAGATTAGGGCCTATGTCGTTTGCCGGTTATCTAAAGTTCAGATCTGACGGCTATCTATAATAACAGAATTACACATATGATGGATCTGTGGGTCTAGCTAAAATAGAGAATATCAATGTCAAAATGCGCGTCTGTGGAATGTTATTGACATTGAAAGTGGGTATTATAACATTGAGGGTGTCGTGCAAGCACTGGACGCACTCGGGCATCAACAGACAACACGACATATTTGGAGACTATTAAGGCTGAGGAGAATTACTGATGCATTATGCTTGCCATATTAATTTCCTAACTAATCCTACTCCCTAGTTAAATAATTACGGAAAAGACTTCCTATTCCTTTTTGTATGCTTTCCGCTGGTGCTATAGTCTTACACCATCCAGGAGCATTTTATAGGAGGAAATTCCACGCAGCAACTACAGCATGGGCCAAGCCTCCATATCGGGTGGCAGGTGGCATTCCATGTTGACACAATTCAATCGCCAACCACCAACTAGGCAAGAAGCCAAGTGTTACACCACAACATAGACCTCAAGTTGGTGTCAATACAAAGTATAAATTTGCATGACGAGAGCCTCTTTCGATGGGGTACAGTCGTGAAACTTGCATCCCTTGCTCAGCTAGTTATCCAAGGCGGATTACGTCAGCCAGCCGAGTTAACTAGTTAAGCGATTCCGATATCGCGGTATTTTTTTGACCGATGAGAAGACGGTCTCTTGTCCTCTTCACGCGCTCTCCTTTGTTTTGGCCTGTAACCCCTGAAAAACAGGCCAATTCGATTTTGCTCACCTCTCCCATTTCTCCTCGGGAGCCAGTCCTTCTCAACTTCTCTGCATGTCGCTGATCCGTGTTGTATCGCGGCGACTGCCACTCGCAAGGAAACTTGCGATTGAGTCACCGCTCCGATTTGCGTCAAGCTCGGCAACCGTTTCTCAAGATGTGAAGGCTCAAGCTAAGGTATGCCCCGCGGTATATACATTTTATCTTAAAATACTAAACTTATGGTAGCGGGGGGCATCTCTGCCTAATCCTGATCCTGCTGTAGATTCACCGACAATCGCCCTTATCCAAGAACGGACTCCCTATATGGTCCCTACCTATGTTCGACCGGCTCCGATGATGGTGAAGGGACAAGGATGCTATCTGTGGGACATAGAGAATCGGCGGTATCTGGATCTCACAGCGGGAATTGCTGTCAACTCTCTCGGTCACTGTGATCCCGAGGTTTCGAAAATCATTGCCGAGCAGGTGTGTATATCTTGCGTCCGGCTTAAATGAGGGAGAATTCTTCTAATGCAGACTATATCTATAGGCTGATACCCTTATCCATGCCTCAAATCTCTACCACAATGCCTGGACTGGTGCTCTGAGCAAGCTCCTAGTTTCAGTCACCCGCGAGTCGGGTGCCATGCGGGATGCGTCTCAAGTGTTCATCTCCAACTCCGGCACCGAAGCCAATGAAGCGGCAATTAAATTCGCCCGCAAGGTTGGCCACTCCCTCGATCCATCGGGCGCAAAACATGAAGTTGTCTCCTTCCACAATTCTTTCCACGGTCGTACAATGGGCGCTCTCTCTGCGACGCCTAACCCCAAGTACCAGGCCCCATTCTCCCCTATGCTGCCAGGATTCAAGTATGGGGACTACAATAATGTGGAGCAGTTGCAAAGCCTTATCACAGAGAAGACATGTGGTGTGATCGTGGAGCCTATTCAAGGAGAGGGTGGTGTAAATGCCGCCACTCCAGAATTCTTCACGGCCCTGCGAAAACGCTGCGATGAAGTGGGCGCTATCCTTGTCTTCGACGAAATCCAATGTGGTCTCTCTCGTACCGGTACTTTATGGGCTCACGCACACCCATCGTTGGCGCCTTCGTCTGGTGAAGCGGCGCACCCAGATATCCTAACTTCTGCAAAGGCACTTGGAAATGGCATTCCCATTGGTGCCACAATTGTCTCAGGAAAAACGGTGGCGCCGCACATCAAAGCTGGAGATCATGGAACCACGTTTGGTGGCAATCCCCTGGCCTGCCGCGTTGCGCACCACATTGTGGAGCGACTGGCATCGTCAGAGTTGCAAAATGGCGTCGAAACAAAATCGGCGCAGCTTGTCTCCGGACTGCAAGCGCTGCAGAAAAAGCATAACAGTGTAATCGCGGAGGTCCGCGGCCGTGGTTTGATTCTTGGCCTTCAGCTGTCTCCTGACTTCACAGCCAAAGCATCGGAATTGATCACTGCTGCACGGGAACGAGGCTTGTTGGTCATCACAGCTGGCGAAGGATGTATCAGATTTGTTCCCCCTTTGACTATTAGCGAGGATCAAATCAAAACAGCCTTGAATATCCTGGATCAAGCCTTAGACACAGTTGTGGCCAAGGTATAGAGTGATTATATGACAGGCCAAGGTTAGACAAACAAATAGTTCAATTAATCTAGTTGTATAATCGATAGTATACTTATTTCGTATCTATATTTCTTCATATACCAGATTACGCGTTCGGGGCCCTTTTAACTTAATGGTCATAATGCTGTACAATGTTCCATATAGGCAACACTCTCCTCGCTGGTTTATTAAGCTTCTGTTCCGGGCCATCCTGGCCTTCAGCCATGCCATAAGCCGGACAAATTCCGATTACGCAGCCCCCTCATATAGACACACTGCTTTGTGGACATATCCCGAATTAGATATGTTGGTAGAACCTCCATCATTTGTCTAATAGCGCAGAATATCATGACCATGATCGCAGTCCAAGGGATACTAAAGCCTACAATTAGGGCTCCTGTTCGCATCATTGTTGTCGTTCCTCTTGGCCAAGTTGGAAGGAGTGCTCTATGTACTAAAGAGTAGACGTAGGTACTAGCTCTGGGTATAGAAATAAATACCTTCTATGAATAATCGCAAGCAGCACAATCTAAAATAGTAGCAGTAGTGACAGACGTTGGGGAAATAGACTAGTACGTATGAAAAACTTGCAATCTTCTATTCCAGTACAAACGACTTCCTTGATATATAAAAAAGATCAAGTTCAGTGTCAATGTTGCCCAGAATAATTGACATTGATAGTTTATTGGAGGGGATGGACAATAAAAGTATGGACTGTAGTGTGCTTCTCCCATCAGTTTGTTTTCCTCTTTATATATCCTACCCTAAAATATTGAATCTCCTTGACTGTGGTACGTCGAGCCCTAATACAAACGGCAGGCACATGCTGTGACGTCGGTCCAAAGCTGCGAATTCGGGGCCCAACCTAGTGTAGTGCTGCTTCCATTCCGTATAGCCCAGTGAGGTCATATAGGACGGTGAAAACTAAGCCAATTAAATGCTCGTAATACATAAGAAGCTTAATTTCTATTAATGTATAGTATGCTGGCCTTCCAAATTATTGACAGGGGGCCTGCATGGATCACACAACTATGAAATACTGAGCTTGGAAGTCCCTCCCAGGCCTCCTGCACCATCTTATCCGTCTTCATCTGTGGGATAATAATCTCAAATCCAATTCTGTATCCTCTCATATAGACTCTATGGGCTTATATCGAGTGAGTGGAAGGCAATGCACAAGTAGCATTCCACGTTCCCCCAAATCTTGAGCTGTATCTTTGATTCGGTAGCCATGAGGTCCATCCCGCATTAAAAGGGAGATCTGTTTTAATTTCGCGTTTAAATAGGCAAATACGGTCAAGCTGCAAGCTGCAAGCGTATGCAGTAAATGCATAATTTAGTGCAATATTGCTCGGCATTTATAAAACCCCTTGTCTTCCTTCATAAGAAATAAGATTCTTCAGTAGAACTATAAAAGAGTTCCTAAAATATTCAGCCTTGATGAAGTGCTGGATGGGTACAAAGGCAAGTCTCATCAAGCTCCTCGATGGCCTTGTACGTCACGTAGATTCGTCCGGAGTCTTATCCAAGTCATGCTCATCCACGGGGTTTATTTCAACTGCAGTATTGCTTTTAACTGCTCCATTGTCCGATTCACGTGTTGGAAGACCCGGGCAGGACGTAGGTGTTTTCCTTGATTTGGAAGAGGGGGCTTTCGAAGAACGTTGATAGCCTCGTTTGCGCAAGGCACGCGATAAAGCGTCATTAGAGACATTAAGATTGAGCTTTTTAATAACCTTCCCATACGGCATACGGCGATTCTCTTCCGACGACGAGATAAACGCAAGAACACCGTTTACATCACTATCGGACAGCTTAGGCGGCTTGCCGCGAGCTTTTCGAGGTGTATAGACTTGAGCCTGACACGTATATTGGACTTGTCTATGTGTAACATTAGGCAACGCTTCGACAATTCTTTGATAGGTAAAACCAGCATCTCGAAGAGTCAATATACGTATTCGATCATCGCGATCAAGTCGAGCTGAATATCCGTGCGGAGGCGTCGCTGGGGGTGTCGTTGGAGGCGCCGATGGGGCAGTTGGTCGGGCCGCGCTATGCGTGGGTTCCTCCATAGCCTCACTTCATTGACCCCTCAAGCACTTCGATCGAGGTTTCAGGGGCACTGTGTATGCACACAGACTGTAGTTGGGGTGTAGAACCTATTGCACAGCGGAACCTTTCGTGCTTTCGTGACGCGCTTGTTGATTCCACACCGCCATCTGGTTCTGTCATACTCTTCCTAATTTGGATTAGCCTATTCAATGTCAAATAAATCACGTGACTCCCACTAAAGTTCTATTCGATATTAGACTAATACCGAATAGGGAAGTAGACACTATTCTTGAAAAGGTGCTTAAAATGATTGTTTTAGATGGTTTCTTGATTGTATTGATCAACATATGATCATTCTTGTGATTATTATTATGGATTATTAGGTTGCTTCTTCTGTTAGGTGTAGGGGAGTTTGTTTTACCCCTCTTTTATGACCTTGTTTACGTCACTATTACCACCAACTTATTTGACAAGTTCTCATTGATGCCTGAGGCAGAAAATAATAGTCTGTTGGCCCGCTCAGTATCTGCAGCCCGACCGTTACATACTAACGATCATCGGCCTGCAGGCCAATGATCAGCACTCTTGAAATCCTTGGCATCAATATGACGGATTTTACATATAGATGAGATGGGTTCAGCTCCATATAGGATAGCCATTTAATATTACAATGAGAATTGCAGCCCGAACTTGCGGGATACAAGGGCTTAAAAGATTTGCGGACTGGATTAAACCGCCTACCCAACCCATGCGGACTATCCAAAACTGTTGCGTATTGACCAATCCGAATCTGCAACTGCGGGTTTGGGTTGGGTTTGGAGCGAATTTTGCAGGTCGAATATGCAACTCTAATGTGTCGTTCCAATATTGTAGCGCCACATTCTGTGCCTTGCTTTATAGGTGCTTTACCATGCTTTACATGCTTTACCATGCTATACTATGTGCTTTAGAGACACGCTTTAGGACGTGCTTTAAGCTATATTTTTTGCCTTTACTCCGCGAAGAGCCATACGTCCGGAGCAGGATATAAATATAGCATTCTATATTATATATTTATTGTTGTTTTCTGCCTTGTCAAGCCTAGTGGGCGAAGCGTAGGTATAAGGCTTGTCATGTATATATAAAATAAAACCGTCTATTACAGAGAATGCATTAGCACAAAACCTATAGAATGACCAAGCAGTGTGGAAGTTGTTGGTATAGGATAGATATATTGCGTTCAAAACATGCTGTTAGCAAACCGCACCCGCTTCCTTCTCCTTCTCCCCCACAAACGTATGCTCCGTCTGGCTCTCCACGCTGATATCGCCTGTCACTGGCGCGAGTGTCACATTGGGTGCGGATATCGGCTCTGGTGCATTGCGTGTTGCAGCCGGCAGGATGGGGTTGAAAAACCGCGGAAGGACCAGGCCCACGATGGCAATGACCATGATGATGTGTGCAATGGAAAACGCGAAGATATGGAGCGGGTCATCCCGCTTCTTGTAGAACGCTGGGTAAGAGAAGGATACAATGATGGCGAGGATGGGAGCCGAGATATATCGGACAACGGGGCCCCAATAGATGGGAATACTCCAGTTCTTCCCGGTGGCAATGACAACATTGAGGTCACGCATCAATTGGTTGCCCTGTGGGAGGGTACATGTGTTAGCTCTTAAATCAAGGAAAGGAAAGGAGACAGCATACGGAGTAGAAGGCCAACCACCAGAAACGGTTCATCCAGATATTCTTGCCCCAAAAGCGCGGCGCGGCAGAGTCGGGCGTCTTTGCAACCAACGTGGAGATGACGACACCCGCCACGTACAGACCAAAACCAACCCCTGCACCAGCCTCCGGGCTCACTGAATGAGCGACAGCAAGGCCGAAGATCGTGCCGCCAAAATAGCCAGCATTATAGACAAGATAGGAGGGCAGCCCGACCTGGCTGAGGATATCCGGGTAGCGGTATAGGGTGGTCGTGGCAATGCATTCGCTCCACACGATAAATAGAAGGGAGAGATTGTTCAGCCATGTGTCAACCGCGTCCAGTAAGTAGAGACCGAATCTGGAGCAGTACATAAGTGACAACAGGAACGACACCGTGATGATGGCACTGCAGATGACAGTGCGAGGAACCTTTTTTCCCCAGTCGGTGTCGGCAATGAGTGTGACCAGCGACTCCACGAGGGCAAATGAAGAACTAATTCCAACGAGGAGTAGGGTAAGGAAGAAGAGTATAGACCAGAAGTTGGCCCCCGGCATTTCAGTAATGGCCGATGGATACGTCAGGAACCCGACAGTGAACGTGCTTAGTTCCACGTCTCCCGGCTTGAGGCCCAGGTAACCGATGATACCAAAGACTGCGAATGCGGCAATGACCTCGAAGAGGGAGTTGCTCACAGCAACGATGACGGCGTCCTGGACGGCATTGGAGAACTTGGTGTTGTATGACGCAAACGTGGTGAAATAACCAAAGCCAGCCCCAGTGGAGAAGAAGATTTGACCTGCTGCTGCCTGCCAAATGGTACCACTGGCCAGTTTGGAGCTGTCCCAGTGGCCCATGTACATTTTCACACCATCCACCGCGTTTTCGAGCGACACTGAGCGGCCCAGGAGGATAATAATAATAATAATAGGAAGGCCCATGGTAATATAAACCACCCGACCAGTAAGACCCACGCCCCGGAACATGCACAGAAAAACGATGAACCAGACAAAGGCACACCAACCAGCAGTCTCACCAATGATTCCGGTCCCTGGGTATTGCGTGTAGTTCGTCACGGTCTTGCCGTTGGCACTGTAGTTGCCTGGAATCGGATCCACATTGGCAATCACGTCGTTCAAATAAAATTCCTCCCCTCGGCCGGTCCAAGGCAGCGGACTGGTGAAAGAGTTGCGAAAGTAGATCATGGCCCAGCTGAGGATGGGCACGTAGTATGTGGACACCATATAACCCGTCACAATAGTGCCCAGGCCGACTCCCTTGGCTCGCTTGTTGACGTGGTGGAAGGCAACCACTCCTCCGCCCCGTGCAGCTTGGCCGAGGCAGATTTCAAGGACAAGGAGCGGAACAGCGAGAAAGATGAGGGCGATCAGGTACGGAATGAACCACTGGAGGCCATTGTTTGGGAAGACGACAGAAGGGTAGCGCAGGATATTCCCTAGGCCGACTGCACCGCCCATAGCAGCGAGAACAAATGCCATTCGTGACGGCCATACATCGCGTCCATCTTCCTTCTCGGCCTTTGGGGCAAGGAAATTGAAAATATTTTTGAGCTTATCCATAACGGCCAACCACTGGGCGACTGTAGGTGTAGGCAAGAGGCTGGATGGTAAGGAAGACTTTTAGTTCTATGGTATCGGTACGCTGTACCTGATGGGAGGAGATAGTGATAATCAGATACTTTCGTTTAAGATTCAGGCCATTAGGGTTGGAGATGTGGGTTGAAAGAGAAACAGGTGGAAATAGGGCAGAAGGACATATATATAAGTAGTTCCTGTGCATGTGTATAAGTGGTTGGTCTCTCTAAACTTTCCTAAAGTGAGGTCAGCTAAGTTGTTATGGCATTCTAATTGCCTATGGCTCAGCCACCAGAGTCCGGGGTTGTCTCTGAGATATGCACAGGGTTAGCATGAACAATTAGCCTCTGGTATTACGTACAAGGTTGCACTATGGTCCCCGGTATAGAGCCATGTGTGGCTCTCTCGCAACCTGCCGAGTTCTTGGACAGAGTACTCCTACGTCCAATGGTGGCCATCCTCCACTGTGGGGTTTCCCCCGCGGAATGCTATACACTCTGGGGTAAATGTCTCCACATGGGTTATTCCGTATCTGCTTGAACTATATTACTACTACTAAGAACCTCTGACATCTGTAGAAGCTACCATTCCTTGCAGGCCCCAAGAAAATGTTACAGGATTGTTCTCTGCGACCGGTCCGGAATATATGATCGCAACCCGGACCGGTCATTAGCCTTTGGCTGGTGTTTCCCCAAGTCTAGGAATCTTGGCCTCTTATCTCATTGGAGCGCGGCGACTTATACGAAACTGCCCAGCGGCACCACTAGCGCAGGAGAGTTAGACCAAAGGAACGAAGGAGGTTCTGTCTTGGCGCTCTGGGCTGTGACCAGAAATCCCTCCTTCTTGGCCTCCGTTCTTATTGGAGCATGTATGAGCCCTAGCGAATTAGCGACTTCGTTCGAGGCTTAGCGACTGCCATGAAATCGTGCCAAGGTCCGTATGACGCCTCATGCCAAAAAAAAAAAAAAAAGGACTAAATAGACTCCAGAACGAACGTGGAATTTACCGGGACTATAATGACGGTTTTCACCTAGAGTATACCATTCAATTAGGGAGGGTCCCATCCATTTTAAAGGAGGCTAAGCTAATCACTACAGCTCCTATGTTCGAGAAATGTTTTCCGTTCGAGATATTAGATATTAGAGGTAGGGGAGGGATGCACAAGTCTAGTTCTTGTGACAGATGAACAGCACTTGGAATACTCCGGAGTAAACCGTCATCACATGATGGCGAAGGTCAATCCGCTGTGGAGCTACTGACGTTGCAAACCACAAGTAATCTGAGTGGGCAGTCACCGTCAAATCAGAGCAGACTTATATATACTAGTATGGAACCGTTCAATTTCCACGTTGTAGTTTCACACGGTGAACTCTACTCTTTACCCATATAATAAGACAAGACTCCACATATCCTTAACTTTATTAAATGAATCGCTTTTGTTAAACGTATGAATGATGTAGCATAGACGTAGAAGGTTGTTCTACGTCCGAGTCCGAGTCCGTCGCGTTTGATTCGGACAATGCAGCCAAAGAATCAGAGCAATAAGTTGCTGAGCTCTATTTATGCGTACCAACTTCGGCTTTTTGAATGGCTCTTCAGCTTTGACAGCAGTAGATAGCTTGTTATCTGGCTTTTTTAGGCTGGACTGCGTATCTGGATGCTTTGAAAGCTCAACAGAGGGTGGAGATGGTAAGATTGCAGAGGTGATATCTATAGTTGGCATGCGAGAGATAGTGGATAGTGGATAAGTTACGGAGTAGTTGACTTTGCCAAGTTTAATTTCGAATAAAGTAAGTGGTCATTTTAGACCAATCATATCAATAGTTGAAAAACCGCACTAAAAAACATATTTGGTACTAGTGGGGAGTAAAAGCGGCGGGACTCGTGATAGAAAATTCAAAGCGGCATTGGAATCCTGTTAAAAATTCACCCTATCACCGGGGATTAGATTCTTCCGCTCCGCTTTCAGAACGCGTCCTCGTCCCGAGGACGCGTTTCTGTGTTGGGTTGGGTCAGACAAATCGCAGCACGAACACCGCTTGTCCTAATTATGTTCACAGCATATTGTCCTTGCCATGAACCGCTTAACCCAGGACCCAGAATGTACTGTAGAAGATGTAAGTATGCGATTCCAGTCCAGTGTGGTGATTGGGAATGTAGAATCGAAACGGATGCCTAACTTAATTCCTCAGTGCCAAATGGCACTTAGAACAGCGCACTTTGAAAAAGAACACCAGAACACTCTTGCGAAAACAGCACAGATTCTAAACGCCGAGGACACCCGCTTAAAACGTGTGGAGTACCTATTGGTGCAGTTCGAGAATGAAAACCTGCGATGGCAGCTGGATCAGGTCAACTTGGACTTGGCTAAAGCTTTAAACGGTGAATCTGAGGCCCGTCGCGACTTCGGTATAGCTTGTGATGAGATTGATAATCTGCGAGCTACATCGCGTGGTTTATCTAATGAAATAAAGAGCCTTCAGGTATGCAATCCTTGATTCTGAGACTTAGGACAGTTGTTTTAATTAATAGGCTGCCAGTATGAACTTTCCTCACTGAGTAACGCCTCTGTTGACGCAAAAGCTAGCTGCGGATAATGTTCGCCTTTCGAAAGAGCTGAGGAGTATGCAGTCAGAGATGGAAAATCTCAAAGCCCAAAACTCTTCTTCTCAAGCCTTCTTTCTGGAGAAAAAATCTCTTGAGCGGCAATTCCATTCGCTCGAGCTGGAATTGGAGAGTGAAAAAAGTGCGCACAAACGTACGCTTGCTCGAGAATCGCAGCAGGGCAAAGAGATTGGAGCACTTAATTCACTGCTCGAGGAAGAACGCAAGAGACGTGCAGAAGAGGAGCGGACGCAAAGTCACCGGAAGCTTAATATCCACCAACAGGGCCCTGAACGGGCAGCACAGGAGCCTGTGCTGGAGGAGAAGGGGGTTCTAGGCAGGAATCAAGCCTCAGCAAAAGGCCGCCCCAAAGCAACTTTGAATGGCAACCAGTGGCCGCGTCACAGCTCGAATGCAAAGGATTCTGGTAATCATACCACTCAGTCACGAATGAACTTTGCTCAGCAAGCAGCCTCACATTTCAACCCTGAGCTTACAATCGCCACACCTGGGGCATTCAATAGTCGAGACAAGAAAAAGAAAGCATCCGCATTACCCGGAGATAAATCGTCCTTTTCAATCACGCCCTTTCTTAACCGTACAAATGGACCCCAAGAATCGCCAATTAGTTCCGATGGTACGGATGAGCTTTATACGGGGCAAGCTGATGAGGGAACAGATGGTTCCTCTTTTAATACCGGTTTGGTTAATAACAACATGGATTCTCAACCTGAAGATCAGATTGCACCCGAGAAACTCGGTCCCCAGCCCATGGTAAAACAACCTTTCGAACCGAGCACGCCCACCGCCGGTATCAGCCGAAAAGGCAACCATAAACTGTTTAGCAAGACGGCTCAAGAGGATCGAACCAAAGCAGCTGGTGCTGTAGTCAATAATTTACTCACCCAGGGGCAGTGGAAATCGAAAAAGCGTAAATTAGGCGCTCAGCGTGAAAAGAGTTTATTTGATGGAGAGGACGAAGACGATGAGCTACATGATGTGAGAAAGCCAGGTCGTAGGATTGATTCTGGTAGCACTATCCGCGGTCTTGCTTCCAGTGGGTTTAGGGAATTCTCTCCGTTGAAACGGGATAGAAAAAGACTATAACAACACAGTCTTGAAATTATAAAATCTACATCAGGGAAGGTTAATCAGAAGCCTCAAGCTGCCCTTTCCAATACTACATCTCGCTAAACTGTCCCTTAGTACTTGTGTTTGGTCTCTATGGCCTTGGTGGTATTCGATATCAAGCACTATGTGGAGTGTGACAGCTTTTTTTTTTTTTTTTTTTTTTTTTTTTGAGGGGGCCTGATTTAAGCCGCATTTTCTGCCGTCTTTTAGGCAATCTAATATTTGTAAATCAATCTAAATTACCAGCCCTTCCATGGTAGCCATGCCTCCCTCACCACATCCTCTTCATCGACTACGTAATATACATGGTGCGCTGCAGCAGTAATACAAGCATGCTGGCAATATAACATTACTCTCTGTCCTACCCTGAAAGTCTCTGCAACTTTCTCCTGGGATGCGTCTGTCGTACCCAGAATGCCATGTTCTTGCGCCATACGAAGAACCGACCACTGAGACTGTGCGACTATACGGCCAAATCCTGGTGAGTCACTGGTTTCCTTGGACAATGCAACAGTTCCCGCATTGATAAGTGCCTCATTACGCTCTGGGTATACACTACAGATCTCAGCAAGAATGCGGATTGCCTGTTGTGACTCCGAGATGAGGCTGGTGCAGACTTGTTGGAGGTCGTTTGCGGGGTAATTTCCTTGACATAATTAGCTTACCCCAACAAACCAATCGGGGGGGAACAAGAAATACCGGCATGTAACTCCAAGTCTATCGTATCCGGTAGGCCCTTCCTTAGTGTGTTAACTACATGAGCCGTGGGGGTTGATCCAACAGAAACAATGACTCTGCGGTCCCTGGAAAGGTGCACGTTTTTGGAAGCGCGCACCACACCCTCAATCTCTGTCTGTAGCACAGCTGCGGCAGCCTCCGGTGTGCGACACCCGTAAGAATGACCAGCATGGCAGTAGAATCCCTCAATAGAAGCAGCCGTGGAAGTTTCAACTCGCTGAACCAGTCTAGGTAGAAAAGGGGAGGAATTCTCTAGTCCTGCGCGATGGGATCCAACATCCACTTTAATAAAAACAGGCCACGGCGCTGCATTTCCCGAGATGTTAATGTATTGTTCAAGCACATCTATATGCTGCTCATTGTCGATCATGAGGACAATCCTAATTGACTTGGAAAGCTCTTCGAGATGGGGGAGAGCACTGGGATAGATGGGAAGGCCGTACAGACACTATGATTCCCATTAGATATACTGCACCCCGTACCTGCAAATGCTTAGGTACATCGCAAAACATACCTCATCCAGAATCCCCTCCTTAACTAAGGGAATTGCTCCGCGGATTTCGCATAAGGTTGATGCAACGATCTTGCGGTGCAGGCCATTCCCTAGCATCATTCGCGTGACTTCAATGGACTATTCTAATTAGTCTTTGCATCTGACAGACATGGAAACGTATACATACATACCTTGAGTGTTTTTACATGGGGTCTAAATGTAATGTCGAGGTCCTTGACATCTTGCAGCAGCTGGTTGATATTTTTTTCCAAGATTGGCCTGCTCAAGACTAGGGAGGGCGTTGGAAGCTCTGTGACGGGACGGCCGATGAAAGACTGATAGGACTGAAGGGAATAATCCATTGCGACAGGTAACTGTATACAAAGGGGGAAATATGTCCTCGGTCTCCTGTAGAAAAAGTAGAGGCAAGGTAGATAGAGATGGATAGTTTTGTAGTCAGCGGAGACGTGGGGGTTCTTGTACTATGCGCATACGAACATGGCCGTGGGGGAGTTAATAATACACTACATCGCGCGGATCGGATGAAAGGGACACTAAGTCATCATCGATGGTCTACTCATCCCACAAACCGAGTAGAATAATAAACCCAAACTATTTATTTTTTTTCGTTGCTAACACCATACTGGCAACATATTAATATTTCATATGAATTATTGAAATGTACTTTCCTGCGCCTTGAATGCAGTGCCGAGCTTAAGCACGGCTAAGAGACTCGCCTTCCTCGGCCTTCTGGAGGCCGTACTTCTTAAGGCTGTTCATGGTTAGCTATCTTTCCGTGTTTGAGTAGGGCTATGCATACCGGATCGACTGGATGGCAACGAAGCCTGTAGTGTCGGTGGGCTCGAAATCTTCCAAGGAGTCCATGGAGGCTTCCTCGGCGTCGTAGAGCTTCTCAGTGCTGCTGGAGCGTCCGAGAATGTAGGCATTGCCCTTGTAGCAGCGCAGGCGGACCTGGCCGTTGACACGCTGTGGTTCGTTAGTACGAGCGCTAGAACTGAGAGGAAATACACTTGCCTTCTGACTAAATGTGAGACTATTCTCAATGAACTCCCGCTCGGGGCTAAAGTAGCTGCATGATATTACTAACTAATTGAGCGAACCAAACTGACTGTACTCACTAGCCGTTGTAGAGCAGGGTGGACCAATTGTGGGTAACAAATTGGTCACGCAGAGCGCGAACCTGGCCATCAAGCACAAGACCTATCATGGTTAATCGCTTATGTCCCTAGTAGGACGAATATTGAGTCAGGCACTTACCCTCAAGGTCAAGATGCGCATCACGAAGGATGGTCATAGCAGGGGCTAGGAAGTCAGTTCAGATGAACTACATACAAAGTAGACCGAGACCTACAGTCGTAGCATCCACGGCTCTTCAGGCCAATGAATCGGTTCTCAACGATGTCAATGCGGCCAATACCATGGGTAAATCCAATCTTATTAAGCGTGTTAAAGAGCTCAACGGGGTCGGTGTACTCCTTCTCAGGGGTTGTCAGCTTAGTAGGGATACCCTTCTCGAACTGAATAGTGATGTCGGTGGGCTGGTTGGGAGCGGTCAGGGGGTCGGCGGTCATGGTCCACATATCGGAAGGGGGAGTGTGGTCAGGATCCTCAAGAACACCTGTACATGTTAGAATGCCATAAAAATCTCATAAGGCAAGGAAAGACCTACCCGCCTCGTAACTGCAATGCGCAGAGTTGGAGTCTAGCGGAATTAGTATCTTTTCAATATCTATGGACGGAGTTACACACCCATTGACCAGGGCTTGGCCTACAAATGTATTAGCAGCAGTTCTGTATATGGATTATCTAGAAAATACCTTGGTGGACGTCACCGGAATGCCGGTCTGAGCAGCGTAGTCAAGGAGATCATTGCGGCCGGCAAAGCGGTTGAAAAATTTGGGATCGCGCCAAGGAGCGATGATCTTGATCGACGGCTGAATGGCGTAGAAAGCCAATTCAAATCGGACCTGGTCATTTCCCTTGCCAGTCGCACCGTGGCTGACATACTGGCAGCCTTCACGCTGGGCTGCGCGCATCTGCGCCCGAGCGATAACAGGACGAGCCAAGCTGGTGCCAAGAAGATAACGACCCTCATAGATGGCATTGCACTCTGCTACAGGTTATTCCAAATCCATACAGCGGGGCCTGTGAAGATCGTACGGATGGCGGGGAAGCAGAGCTCGGTGATGAACTCTTCACGAAGGTCTTCAATGATCATCTTCTTTGCGCCAATCTTCAGAGCCTTCTGCTCGACGGCCGCCCAATCTTCTTCCTGACCGACATTGGCGAGGAAGCAGACAACGTCATAGCCCTCCTCTTTCTCAATTGGTTAGCGGGAGATGTATCGAGGGCAAAAGATAGGTATACCGATCAACCAGCGGAGAATACAGCTGGTATCAAGACCGCCTGTAGAGCGCCAGTTAGTCACGAGTCCATATCAGGAGTGCGGGGCAGAGAGTAGACGTACCCGAGTAGGCAAGACAAACACGAGGCTTTGCATCCATTGTGATGGGGAATTGAGGGGAGGATAAGGTAGTTGAGAATTATAGAAGTTGGTAAGGGTCAAGTTGATATCAATTAACCAAAGAACGGTCAACAGGATTCACAGAGGTGGACGATAATAATTAGCGGTGGAACTAAAGCGGTATCGGCTGACTGAGTCATGGGATCGTGACTCATCTGGGATGACACGTGACATACATATATCCCTTGCAGAAATGCACTTCGGTTGGGATTAATTAGATTGTTGTGTCCTACAGTCTTGGCAATAATATTCGATATACAATACGCTCAACTGCATCCCGCCAAAAAATGGCTAAGCGACATCATTCATAGGTAGTGCAAATACTGGGGCGTGATCCTAGGGTAGAAAGACGGGGTGCTGAAGCATTGGGTGATATCCCACAAGTTTAGTGTAGCTAATTGTTAGGAGCTCGAAGTATACTCCCCGATATGTGTTGGCTCTGTCTCCAGGCGTTGTCGAGACACGAAACACTAACTACGCTCTCCGCACTAAATCCTAGTAATGTTTTCTTTCGTGATGACTAGATGGCATTCCAATCCGTGGATAAACCCATGTCTATTCAGTATATTCTTGCACAACTATCGGAAATAACTCTTAAGTTTTCAACACGGGCTGAGATAGGAAAAAGCAAAAGATATGTATGTACATTATATTCATCAAACAGTCTCGATGTACCGTTTAAATTCCCTGCGCCAGTTAGTCACTATTTATTACAGCAAAGAAAAAGAACTCACCAATCAGTCACAGCCTCCCTCCATACTCGCAACTCGTGTTGGCGCGTTGCTGTAAAGAAGTCCACAAACTCGCCGTCGAGGATCTCTCTTGAAATGCTGTTGGCTGCATCGAATCGCTCCAGAGCCTCTTCCAAATTATTCGGCAACAGCTCTGGACGGGAATCGCCCTGAGCCGACACAGGAGGGATCTGGATCTTGAGCTGCTTCTGCACACCCCGCCACCCAGCGGCGAGAATGGCACTTAGTGCATAATGGGGGTGTAGGTCCGCCCCAGGAATCCGCACCTCGAATCGCGTTGCACTGGGCTTGCACACTGGAGGGGTAATAATGCGAATGGATGCCATGCGGTCCTCGAGTCCCCAGCTGATATTCACAGGAGCCCAGAAATTTTCCACCATGCGTTTGTATGAGTTAATCGTCGGGGCAAATAGCGGCATAATGCCTGGCAATGCTTCGAGAATGCCGGCGAGGAATTGGCGACCCATATCCGAGAGTCCAGCTGCATCTGGCCATGGGGCGTCGGTGTCTAGTGTTTCTCGAGCGAAAAGATTTCTCCCCTCAAGGTCGCAGAGGGATATGTGAATATGGCCGGAACTGCCAGGCTGGCCTTGGATCGGCTTCGCCATAAAACAAGGCGTGATTCCGTGCTCTATTCCTATGGATTTTGCCAGAAATCTGAGTCGTCAGTTGCTGTTTTATTCTCACCTGTACTTTGGAAGGGACGTACTTAAAGAGAGACACTCTATCCGCCATCTCACTAATGTCGCATACCTTGAGGGCCTACCTAATTAGCCACATGCTATAGTTTATCATAAGCCAAACTCACCGCTTCATATACTCCCGGTCCACCTTCGGTGTGCCATCCTTCGATCCTGCAATCAAACTGTTCACTTGTGTTGAAAATATCATAGAAATATCGTTTATAAGCGACTGGTCGCGTCGCACTGTATGAGAAACTGCCGGCGGTCAATGGGCGTAGGGCACCTGGTGAATTTTTCTCAAGAAAAGCGGCTATGTCGCGCGCACCAACTCCATCGGTACCACCATATCCATCTTGTGAAGGGGTTTGGAAATTCATAAACTCCAATTCAACTACAAAGCGCATCAGAAAGATCGTGTTGGAGCATCGCTGTTAACTCAAAGCCTACCTCCAGCCATGGCCTTGCAATTAGATGCAGCAAGTTTGTCGCATACGTCCTTCAACATGCTCCTCCCGTCTGCGGACACGGGCTTGCCATTCTGAACAAACCGCACCAAGAAAAAGGGAATATCATCTTCCCACGGTATGCGCCGGAACGTGTTTAGATCGGGGACAGCTATAAAATCTACATACCCCGATTCTGGAGGTGCGATCTTAGCATTGGTTGTGTAGAGCACGTCTTGCATATCCCAGCCAAACACTGCCGAACTAAACCCGAAACCCTTTTGCGCAATGCCCAGGAATTTTTCTTTAGACATCACTTTGCCGCGGAGAATGCCATCACAGTCAATGCCAGCGACCTTCACCTTGAGGTCATTGACAAGGAGTTTGGGGAGGTCCTCAACTGAGATCTTTTGGATGGTCATGGTCATCGAAATACACTTGGGGATCATCAATCGTGAATGTATCGGAAGTTGGAAATGCCCAAACCACAGCTTTAAAGATGTCAATGTGGACCCCACCAAGCTGAAATTCCAGAGTGGATTCCATCGCGGCACCGGGGTTTTCGCCGTTGTCGCTCATGAATTCGACTCTGCGAAGCTCGCGATGCTCCTCGGCACAGCACTTACCGCGCGGAGAGCGGACCGCGGTGGGGGATGGGAAGACCGCGCTTATCGATAAGCTCGATAAGTGGCTCCTCCGTCACGTCATAGGGGAATTGTCTACATTCTACAGAGTAGTTAATATGCATATTTTAAAACAAGCTGTAGCTCTGAAGCACGATAAAATTCCTGTAAAATTTTGCGATGATACGTATGATGATTTATATGGTGCCACTTTTCAAGTTCAGATAGATACTAAATACTAATAATAGTCTACTACATACAGGATGACAAGAAGTTGCATGGAGCTTCTAGTATAATAAAGAGAGGACTAAATGAGAGGCCTAAAGTATAAACTAGACACGATTCGAAACATCCTGGTCGCCGCTTTAAGTCTCGTCGGAAGAATATAATCCAACAAGGATCTCTGTGATTTGCTCCTAACATCATAATCCAATGCGGCAGAGGTCCGCGCAGTCTGAGAGCCCAGCATAGTATCCCAGGGTCCACGAAGTATTTGTTTAATTTTGTGAGCTGGGTGTCACTTTGGTTTGAAATTATACCTTCTTCCCACTCCGCTAGATATTGGAGACGGCCAGAATAGATGCTCCATGTCAAGAAATGGCCAATTTTCCATTGTACACACAACGATCAGATACCTGGAATTTTGGACCCCTCTCAGCTGTGGGACATTTGCTGCGGCGCGAAAGCTTGTACAAATAGAGGTTATCTGCCAGGCAGGTACTTGGTGGAGCTGTCGAGTGCTACTGGCTTTCTCAACTGTTTTGAAATTGCCTACCATCTGGAGCCAAGTGTCTCATCTAATCAGGTAGTACCCTAAAAGCAGCCATACTTCGTCACCTGAGGCAGATTCGACCATCCATCGGCACTAGTCTGTCTGCCCTTTCTGATATTTCTGGGCTTCTTTAAATCTACTTGTCGCAGATACACTTATTTCATCGACTGAGTTCGTTCGTTCAACTATCAACTCTCATTTTATCTGTGCCCATACATAAATCGTTTTATCAACGGTCCTACTCGAGGGGTTCGAGGGTTTTAGACAGCGGTTATTTGGATGGATAAGCTAGATGCTAACGGAGTCGTAGTTAATCGGGGAGGCGTCTCGGCTTAATTTTTTGATGAAGGGTCTGGGCTACATGTTAGCACGTTAGCTTTTTGTTTCAGCCAAATAGCACCACAGAACTTGTTTCGAGGCTTGAACATAAATAAAGGCCATCCGTCGCGCACACAATTGGGCCTGGTATGTGGAGGTATTGTAAATATGCTTGCGATATTCTGAGTACCCTCTTTGGCATAGGAGAGGCACTAGCTGTCTACGGAATAAAGAATGGGACATCAGATCCCTGAGAGTGACCGCCTCGTCGGTGAGAGCACACTGCCGGCAGAATACCCAGATTTTGCGGCCTCCAAAGACATTACACCATTCTAATCCCACCCGGAGCATGGATGAGCTTGAAAAATGTCGCTAAACCTGCTGAAGAGCCGGTTATCTCATAGTGTGACTATTGCAAGGTATTCATGTGAATTTAGCCGCTCTTCTGCATCAATAAACAAAGCCAGCTCTTACCCTATAACTTGTTATAAGAAACATTCATTATTTTCATCTCTTCGGACCGTGTCACTAAGATTTCTAAGTAGCGAGTCGAATGTGGGAGACCCTAAAAATGGAATATTTTACTGCAAAATTAACTAATATATGTTTTAATCAGGATTCATCTACTACGCACGACCAGCCCAGGGCATCATGGGCGATAGAGGATGTTCGTCTTAAAACCGAATTCGAGGAGAACAGAGATATACGGGATTACCTACGGAAATGGCAAGAAAGCCATCCAAGTGTTTTAGACCCTGTGCGAGGGCCGGGGACATCGAATCAAGCGGAAGCATCGGCGCCTTGGGTCGGAAATATGTTGGGCGATGGCCAGGAATCTGTTGCGGCCGACAGCGAGACTTTCCGGAAGGTAGATGATGATGCCGCAGATTTTGATAACCTTGCGGATGATGGGGATAGCATGCATGACTTGCTGGAGCCGGGTGATCTGGTAGCACTATCTTCGTGAGTCTCGTTTTGTCTTTCATCATTGGAAGGTGCTGACTCATGATTGCCAACCATGCAGCTCCGAAGGCGTGCTAAGTCTTGCCGTGTATGTTCGATCGGTATGCAAACAGCAGCAGTTCTATACAGATAGAGGAAAGTGGCGAATTGATTTTGAAAAAGACCTTGACTACGTTGTGAAGGGGTTTGCGCCTCCAGAACTAGTGGCCCCGTTGCACCCATATTTTCCCGATAGTCTTGCCCAACCGGGCAAAGTAACGCAGTCCACTATTGAAGGCGGGGTACCAAGACCTGTCGGCGCGACTCTGCTGCAGATGATCAATACATTTGGGGAGCAGGTGCAAGAAATCTTTTTGGCAAATGCGCATCGACTGGATAATATCCATGATTTGGTAGCTGATGAGACTGACAAATTAGAGTTTACGCTTGAAGAGCTAGCGTGCAGAGCCTTGAATGTTGAGAAGGGAGAGTTCGATAATGCGATGCTATTTGCCGTCCATCAGGCTGTCCGCCGAAATCCGTTTGTTATCGAAAATGATCGAAGTTCGCTATTTACCAATCACTACCTAGTGCAGCCAAAACGGATTGCCAATATTCTTGAAACGGTCATCAAATGGGTACATGAGCATCAAGATCACCTCGTTCGCTCCGTGATGGGCAAGGAGGCGGTTCCTATGCAAAATCATCCTCTGCAACAATTTATCCAGAAGGCACAGCGTCTTATAAGGTTGAGCAGGAACGTTCGCTCCCCTACAATGATGGGCTGCGTTGGCCCGACTGCAAATCGATTTCAGCCTGGCCAGGATGGAATGGCTTCAGTTTACCGCGAAGTTCCGACGGAGCAGTTTAATTCCAATGATCGCATGATCATTGAATTTCTCCAGTTGTGGTGTATCCCTCCTAGTGGTATGAAATCTGGGACTCTACGATCTGCTGGTTCGCATATTATGCGTGCCACTGGAATGTATAGTACTCTGGAGTTAACAGCATCTACCGCTCCATTACTCTTGCAAGAAATAGGAGTATTATCCCCGTGGGAAAATTTACGGTTATTAGACCAAAGCCTAGCTCTCCCTGGACATGGCGTTTCACCTCGCTCTGATACTGAATGGGCGCGTGTTCAACAGGCGTGCGAAACCCTCAATTCCGAAGGTCTTGCAGACACTATGCAGAGTATACGAACCGATTGGGGTGATTTGCCAGTGTATTGTGTGGACAATGCAGATGCCCAAGAAATTGATGATGGTGTCTCTCTCGAGCGCGTACCAGGGTCTGATGATACATTCTGGATCCGTGTTCATATTGCTAATCCATCAGCATTCATCAACCCAAACAATTTGATCATGGAGTACGCTGCTTCGCGTGTCCAGACACTTTATGCTCCAGAACGCACCTATCCCATGTTTCCCGAATCACTAACCCAGACCCACTTTAGTTTGTCTCCTAACCGTCCAACCCTCACCTTTAGCGCCAAGATGAACCTTGATGGCGTGGTCTTAGACACAAATGTCTCAAATGGCATAGTAAGGAATGTAGTTTACATTACCCATGACAAGCTGCGCAGCCTGTTTGAGCCTAGCACTGAACGCCACTTGGAGCCATTGACAGTCGGGGGAGAGTTTGACAAGAGACATCTGCGCAAAGGCCTGCAGGAAACTCTATCTCTCGAGGACAAGAGCTCTTTCCACATATTGAGGAAACTCATGCTTGCATTTCGAGAACACCGGCGCAAAAATGGAGCCATGGAATGGCCTTCGCCAATTGACACGCCCATTTCAATGACCACTGGCGCCCAGAATCCGAACCCATACAACATGTATGTCACTGAAGGGCACTACATTCTTGGTGACCCTATCATTCAGTTGCACCAACGGGATTTAGATCCCCATGAAGTGCCTGACCTTACTAAACGCAACCTGGTCTCCCTCTTAATGAACCTAGCTTGCTGGGTCTCCGCGAAGTGGTGCTCCGAGCGCAATATTCCAGTCGTTTATGATGGAACATACTATCACCCAGAATACACCAGCCTGACAAACGAGAACCTTACACGTTATGGCGGACAGAACTGGTTACACCTGGCCGCGCCTAAGGGCATGTCCTCGTCTAACCCAGTTCATCATGTGCCTTTAGGGCTTGACGCATATGTGAAATCCACAAGTCCGCTACGACGATATGCTGATGTTTTAGCGCACTATCAGATAGAAGCTGCTATACGGTTTGAGCATGAGAATGGTCGTCGCTTCGATGCGAAGTCGGATGGCCATTCGCTTCCTTTCTCGAGGGACTATGTGGATAGGTATATCATACAATCCCGCTGGAAGCGTAACCGACTCCGGGATGTCGATCGAGCATCCAAGCAGTTTTGGGCCTGCATGCTCCTGTTTCGCGCTTTCTACTTCGCGGAATGCACTTTGCCAGAGACCTTTAAGTGCCTAGTTCACAAGCCCTACAGCAGTAGTTCGCTTGTAGAGGCACAGTTGGGGCGGAGGTTTTCTGGTATGATAACATCGCTCGGGGTTCGTTGTCAGATCATTACTCCTCCTGGGTTGACTGATGTCGATATCCTTAGTGTGGTGGAAGCTAAGATCTTATCTGTGGATATCTCCCGCTTGATGGTGGTCATGGAAGCTACTCGGGTGATCAAACCATTTGAGCGGGTGGGTGAATGGTGTTGAGAACCCCCATTTAATCCCTGGTCTCAAAAATCAACGGGAAATCTGCGACTGATGCGGCTATGGAGGCGCTTCGCTGGTCGAAGCAAGCTGCATTTTACAGATCACGCCCATCGGATAAAAGAGTTATAAGACTATAGAATATGTACAATATATTCCCCCCCCCAACACACACATCTAAGAACAAAGTCTTTCTTCTTTTGTTTACCTCATATTGTATCTTCGCTTATATATGTACTAATGCCCACCTTTGTGGGTCACTTCATCGAAGAATCAGCCCTATGCAGGTGCCTCCAATCTTGGTGCCTGAAATCGCTGGGGTTAGTGGTGACGTCACCCTGCACTCCAGGCTTTCCCTATGAACACCTAATCTACCGAATTTTACTTGTTCAACCACTCATCTGGAGATGCCACACCAGCAGTTCCCATCCCATGAGAGAACCCCTCTACTTCACCATAACCGCCCACCGGCCACTGTCAAACTTCGACAATATCTGCGTACAGAAATCACCACCCAATGGACAGACCTAATCCTCCTGTTTTCTTATATGATCACGGGGCTTCTCGACAGCTCCGCAGTCTTTATCTGGGGCTCTTTCGTAAGCATGCAAACGGGTAACACGGTGTACCTTGGCCTTGGCCTCACCGGGCTCGACTCTGGGGACCGATGGATAAAATCCGCTATTTCAATCGGGTCGTTCTGCTTGGGGTCGTTCTGTTTTGGGACCTTTTACCGGTTGTGCTATCCGCGTTCTCGATGGGCCCTCTCTTTGTCATTTACGCTGCAGCTGATCTGCGTTGCGATTGCAGCGAGCATTGCCACGGTTAAACAACACCACAAGGCAGATAACCTTACTTGGACTACCGCCGTGCCATTGGCATTGGTGGCATTCCAGAGCAGTGGCCAAGCAGTGACTAGTCGGGTGCTGAATATGAGTGGACTGAATACTGTGGTGCTCACCAGTGTGTACTGTGATTTATTCTCGGCACCGGCGATGCTGGCACTGCCTCGCATGGAGGGATGGAGGAGACTGGGGGCTGTGGGAGGCCTACTAGTGGGAACGATGCTGGGTGGATTGTGGGCAAAGAGTGATATTGGGCTGCCGGGAGCGTTGTGGATGGCAGCAGCGTGCAAAGGGATAATTGTTGTTACTTGGCTAGCATGGAAAGGCAAATGAGGGACATATTATACTTAGTAATATGTGATTTGTTTAGATCAAGGCGGTAGTTATAGTATCAAATGTGTCCATAAATGTGTTGTATCCATAGGTATATTGCGTTTATACATGCTCACGACTCGCAATACACACTCCCAAGAGGCACAGGGATTTCCGTAGAGTGTTCCCCCTTCCCAAGCAGTGTTTGACGTCCATTACACACAGTGCCCCTGAAATGGTCAGGTCAGTCCGAACTAAAGCCCCACGCCATCTAGGCAGACTTACACGAAGACGCGGCAGTAACGTGAAGTAAAGACAGTGTACACCTCGCTAAATGCAGTTAGAATCGTATACTAGCATGCCGTCATATACACGTACTCCTCATCAATGAGGTGACAAGTGTCCAGCGGCACACTCACCGACCGACTACCTTTGGCAGTTTGCAGACCGATCTGGTATCATGAATTAGCACAAGCGCAATGAAGATATTATGATCATACCGTCGTCGACTTGGCAAAGCTGCCCGATGAAAAGAGGGTCAAAGCGAGAAGAGGCAAGTGCTTGAGACCATACATTATGGGTCACTTCTTCAGCTCCTTGGAGAAAAAGAGATACACAGCACATGCAGGCACAGTCGGGGTTTAAATGCTCATCCCTTGCAATAAAAACCACTTGTTATTTGCCCTGGAATTGTCCATACATCCCTTGCGCCGATCTGGGAATTTGACCTGGTACCATACGTGCTAGAAACACTAAATCTACCATTACGATAGACTCTCTACTCTCTCTATATAAATAGACAATCAGCTCTCGATACATAAGAAACCCACCCGTTTCATCGCATAACGGGTACTCCTCGACGCTTTGTCGTCTACAAGGCTCAGATTCTGCCGCAGTTTACCGCTGCAGACTGAGAGAGAGCAAACAGTACAAACACACTAAGCACCTACAGCCAAACGAAGCAAACTAAGGATAAAGTTGAGGCCAGCTTGCTTCGAAATCACAACTCTTCGCCACGGTGGATGCGTCACGTCTCTCGTTAATATTCTCCAGCTCCCCTGCATTCATTCCTTCAGTTTATTTCTATTATTCCATTTATCTTCCTGCAGAAGATTAATTAGCAGCGGAACTTGAATATTTAGCATGCAGCACGGACAGCGGTGAAAGCCAACAGAGATCGGTACCTTAACTAACTTGTTGAAACGACCGACCACTATAATCCCTGCCCATCATCTCTAGATCATTGAACACCAACTGAACTCCGCCCACGACGTCCTCTATTACCGTGGCCGCAGTTCACAGATGAAGCGCAAGGTCCGGACGGTCTCTAAACGTCCCTCAAAGCCGGCTTTAAAGGTTGAAACCGACCAAAACGGCCATGCGGACGGCAAGATGAATGCCAACATCGAAATGCGTAAGAGGGACTCCTCTGTGGAGTCCTCGAACTCCCGTGTGTCCCGCCTCATGCAACAACCTAGCTTCTCCCTGGACCATGATCCCCCAATAACCCCGCAAACCCCGGCCCTGACTACGACCAGTTTCGCGAATCTGCCTAGCAGCGACCGACGGAACTTTCTGTTGCTATGTGTACTATATTTCCTTCAGGGTGTGCCTATGGGGTTGGCGACAGGGTCGGTGCCATTCCTATTAAAACCGTATCTATCCTACGGTCAAATTGGTGTCTTCTCACTCGCGTCCTATCCCTACTCGCTGAAACTTCTGTGGAGTCCAATTGTCGACGCGGTATGGAGTCGAAGATTTGGTCGCCGAAAGAGTTGGATTACCCCGATCCAAGTCATTGCGGGACTGGCGATGATCTATCTAGGTGGACGTATCGGGACTATGATGGAGGACGCGGGCGCCAATGGTGGCGCAGGTGTCTGGAATTTCACAAACTGGTGGTTTTTGCTTGTGTTTTTCTGCGCTACGCAGGATATTGCAGTCGACGGATGGGCTATTACGCTCATGTCACCGCCAAATATCTCATATGCGTCCACCGCGCAGACGGTCGGGTTGACAGCTGGACATTTCTTATCATACACAGTGTTCCTGGCATTCAATTCTAAGGATTTCGCAAACCGCTGGTTTCGATCGATTCCCGCGGAAGAGGGTCTTTTGTCACTGGGTTCGTATCTGAAGTTCTGGGGCTGGGCATATCTGGTCGTGACTATTTGTCTGGCTGTTATGAAAAAGGAAGACAAGACTCATGAGCGGGACAGTATCATGGACGTGTACCGAAGCATGTGGAATGTGCTGAAACTGAAGAATATCCAAACCATAATATTAGTTCACCTGATCGCCAAGATTGGCTTCCAGGCCAACGACGGCGTGACTAGCTTGAAGCTCTTGGACAAGGGCTTCGGTCAGGATAACATGGCCCTTGTGGTCCTCATCGACTTCCCATTCGAAATCTGCCTGGGTTACTACGCCGGCAAGTGGTCCACCGAGTATACCCCAATGCGCCTGTGGTGCTGGGCATTTGTGGGCCGCTTGGCGGCCGCGGTGTTGGCTCAGGCCACCGTGATGATCTTCCCTTCAGGAACCGAGGTTCCCTTTTGGTATCTGTTGGCAGTGATTGGAGAGCATGTTGTCTCGACGTTCATGAACACTGTCATGTTTGTCGCTGTTTCTGCTTTCCACGCCCGCATTGCCGACCCCACCATTGGGGGAACCTACATGACTATGTTGGCAACGTAAGTTCTAATCCTCCCTCCATACATTATGGTATTCGCATCTAACTCGATCTCTCCCCAGGGTATCGAATCTTGGCGGTACATTTCCTCGATATTTTATCTTGAAACTCGTGGACATGTTCACGGAGGCAAACTGTGTACCTCCCTCTGCACCACCACCAACCCATGAACTGAAAGGTGATCTGGTCACGTCGTCGTTCTCTTGTGCCTTGGAACCAGACAAGGTACGCTGCGTCAACGGTGGTGGCACATGCAATACCATCCGGGATGGCTACTATACTACGAACGTTATATGTGTGCTAATCGGCACCATCACTTTCATACTGTTTATTAAACCGGCAGTTTTGAAGCTGCAAAACCTACCTCTCCGGGCGTGGCGCGTATCCCCTACTAGCCGCTAGTAAGGACTTTAGAAAATACACGAGTTGCAGTAGACATGCGGATCTGGATATTCATACCTTGTACCTACAGTCACTGGCTCCATCACATAGTGGCAGTGTATTAATAAAGAGTCTAAAAGTTACAAACCATGAAAGTGGAAACGAAAGTTATTCTTGGTAGACTGCTTGTATACACTGTCCAAAATCTCTGGCCCCATGCTCTCAGGTAAGTAGATCGAGGGATCATTTAGTGTGCACTCGGCACGATGTAGCAGGCGGATATATATCCCACACTATTTTCTAAACGCTATGGCTACTCACCACCACTACCACTAACTCTGCGCCAGATCATTACCGCCGCCGCTCCAGCACACACCACAGCGCCCAACGCAATTCCCCATGCCATCCATTTCCCTTCGACATCCTCCTCGCTCCGCGGGAATGCCGAGCTAGGCTCCATCGCTGCTTCCGCAATGTGCACGAATACCTCCTGGATTGAGCTCCATGTGGCACTGACGTGAAGTGGCGGGCCTGTCATTTTCAGCATTGCAGTGTATTCATGAGGTTGATACTCTGCTCTTTGGGTTGTCCGATCTAAATCCGCCTTCAGAGCAATGAAGACACTTGGAAGTTCCTCAAGGTGTGGATATTTGGATCGCAGAGCGGGGATGTACGCAAAAGAATCAGGATCGGACGAATCGTAGGTGTACACAATCACATCGCACTGATCAAGCAGTTTGGATTGATTCTCCAGGATGGCGGGCTCTAGTTCCCCGAGTTCATCTAGAATCAGATAGCATTGTTTCCCGCCGGGAAGTTCAACTGTATTAACTGCTGTCCGTGGTTGGATGGTGGGACGGTACGTAGGGCTGAAACCACGGGAGAGAAATGCATCAAGAAGTGCTGATTTCCCCGAGCCTGATGCCCCAAGAATGTGACCCAGGACAACATTACGGCCCACGCGCCCAGGGCGTCTTCGCCGTTTTCGCGGGCGAGTAACTTTGAGGGCGGCCGTGGTGGAAGGATTACCTCTATCGGATGATTCAAATCCTAGATAGGCTAGGTACTCCAGAGTAGTCTTGGGTGATGTGAAGGTGGTCATACTCCATTGAGCAAGCCAGCCCTGCAAAGTAACATGACCTGCTTCATTCCGAACAGTCGAAGATGGGAATGAGCCGTCGACCCACGAGGCAGGCAAGCCGGGGGTCGGGGCAAATAGCGATGACAACTCAGCATCGTTTAGCCCTCCATCATTGTCTTTGTCCGAGAGGAGAAAGAGGTTTACGAAGAACCGGTACCCCTCTGGCGATAACTCCGCAGATGCGTACGGAGGAACTTCGAATCGTGGATGAAGGAAGCTCTCCTGTAACGAGAGATTATCCGTGTATTGAAACGCTCGGAGGATGATCCACACAGTCTCATGACGTCCTTTCTCGGCATACATTTTGTTAAGATGGAGAAAGCCACGGCAATCAATACCGGAAGGAGTCACTGAGTTGGGGTGGGTCTTCTGAATGGTCTCCTTGATGTGTACCAGATCCTCCTCACTCAAAGGCTTCTCAAAACATCTCATCTGAAAATCCCCAATCTCTTTATCGGAAAGAAAGCCATCTCGGTCCTTGTCACTCAAGTAGAAAATACGTTGCAACGCAGAGATCGCTGCTGGCTTCAGGGAAGACTCCTTCGAGTCAAACAGCGGCGCAATAGGGTGTGTGACCGCTTTTTGGCAGAGAAAGAATGCTTCATTCACATTCCGGTGTTCACGGGCGCTTGTGCGGATACAAGAGTCTATCTCTTTGAATTCTGACATCACAGGTAGCATCTCCTCCTCAATGACTTGGGCCTCACTGTGGCCCGCCGCAAGGTCGGACTTGTTGGCGCACAGCACCACCGGGACATTGACGCCTAGGGACCGGAAATGCGGAAGCCAGAATAGAGCAACTCTCTCGTAGCTGTAGTGATCTGAGTATACTAGTAATATCACATTTGCCTTTCGAATCTCCCTCGCTAGATTGCTTCGTTCCTGCGGGAGCGCAGACGTATCCACTACCGTTGTTGTGGTGACATTCTCGGGGGTACCGATCGTAGGAGGGATGGTAATTTGAGGTAGTATCGGTTGGATCTTGTTTGTCACGAAAACGCCCTTTACAAGCGAGGTGATGAGGCTGGATTTCCCCGTACCCTCATCACCACAAACGCAAATCCGCACTGAGTAAGTCAGTACACAAACAGGGGCGCCGCCTGGCGTCATGTAGCCAATCGCACCTGTAGCCATTTGCAACAGAGGAGGCAATCAACTGTGCCTTGTTCAAATCATCACCTAAATCATACTTTCTCAACCGTCACCGTGCCTGGGGATCCAAAGAATGTGAAGATCCACCAGGCACTTGTTATCTTGCGACTACCCCAGCCGGAGTTTCGGGGGAGGTTGTGCCGGCTCTTGCAGCCTGAGGCCGCCACTTCCCTCCAAGGTGCGAAACCCTCCTATTTACGTGAGACAGTGTTGTCTCTTGGCGGAACTTATGAGATAATTTAACAGATAAATTGGTATCGGAGAGGATGATTAATACTGTACATAAGATAGTTAGCTAGTTTTTCTTCATGAGAATTTCCATCCTTCGCAGTGCCGGTGGAAACTCCCTCATGGCAGATCAGCTCTGGCATAGCAGCAGGTTCAGTTCCACTAAATAAGCTCCTTGGTTATCGCTAGCATATAGAGTAAAGCATCAATTGTTGAGAGATCACTATGAGCGAGCTATCTGTGCCAGTACAGCCAAATTAGTATCTATATTCCGAAGAACGGAGGTGCATGGATCGTGGCCCAATCAATTGACTGGCTGTACCTGATGGGGTTCGCCTGGAGACTGGAGACTTTAATATTCTCAATGCATCTACAGAGTCTACAGCATATGGCAGTTCTCTATGAAAGGATTGCTACATAATGGAGTACGTATATTCATTCTGACTTTGGATGTTAAAATCTGGACAAGAGATCCACACCCAAGTCCGGCTTACACGATCGTTTCCTCTTTCTATCCTCTCAGTTTCCCAATTTTCATCACATAATAACTCCTCCAGAGAAACTTTTAGTCGACAGCGCTATAGTATAACCCCTCCCAATTAAATGATATATTGTAACCACTGGGAATCACCAGGAGTGAGTACAATACGTGATGAAATAACTTGGCCAAGCATCAACATCAATCACTCTCTTACAAACCTCTGGATCAAACTCCGGGTTCGCAAAGGCCGCTAAACAAGCCTTCACGTCATCATCTACCCAACTAAATGGATAGATCTGCTTCTCAGGCAACAGGATCAACGAATCCTTGATGTCGGTGTTACAAAACAGCATCCAACTTGGCTGTATCTGCTGCACACCAGCACAATATTCGCGTCGTACCGACCCGTGCTGTGAGTCTTCGAAATACTTCTTGATCATTCTCCCCAAGGCCCCGGGACCCGTAAGGTCTTCCACAGAGCCGTCGCCTCCGCCACCGGCTCGCTCGAGTACATGCAGCACAGGAAGAAGCCAGAAGGGGTGACCCGGTGGAGACGCCATCCAGCCGTTGGGGACGGCAGCGTTGCTTGTAAGGTCATAGTTGTGGCCCATGCGGCCGAGGAAGGCGCGCTGGGCTTGAGGGACCAACTGTGGTGAAGAGAGGCTGGATTGATGAGAGGCAAGAGAGATGTCGTGAGCTGCGAATAAGGGTGCGACGGGACGCAAGGCTTCAGTGTCTACATCAGCATACATCCTGTTTCACGTCAGTATGCGACATTTATCTTATTCTCTAACCAAGGCATAGGGTTGTGGAATAGAAAATATACCCTCCAAAAAGATACATATAGAAATTCCGCGCAACATCGGCGCGAAGAATCTCTTGTGGAAGTTTGAGGTACGTTTCCAGGAACCAAGGGAAATGCTGCTCGACAAGCATGCGGTTCGTCTCATCGTCCCATAGTACGTACTCCCAATCAGGATTCTGCGCACGCATCGTCTTCACCCATGTTTGGGCACGCTCGGACATGTTGCTCCCCACCGGGAACCATGTCTGGTGAATTATTTTGGGGAGGGTGGTGAGGTCGTTGGAGGTGGGACGTGAGAGGAGAGTGCGCGCAGAAAGGGAACTGGCTAACAATGGCGTATCGGTGGGATGTACTTGTGATATAGAGGGAATGAAGATTGAGTGGAACTCATAGAATAGAGCAACGACGATGCAGACGGCGAGGAAGTAGAAGCACCTGCGTCGGGAGGCCAGCATGCCTAGCCAGCTGGAAGGGAGAGAGCCAGCTGTCATCGATTCTAATGACTCCTGCTATTTGGACAGTGGTCTGTATGGAGCGCTAGGGGAAGAAACAGCTAGAATATACAGTGTGCTCTAGGGTATTCGGTTCATTTTGAAATTGAACACATCTGTGGATGGCTCGGCGGATATGGGAAGTGGCTAGGCATGATACATTGGATTCGGTACATGAGAACGCCGTTCCCAGCAGGATGCAAGGCCATCTCTGAATAGAATCTGGACCAGCAGAGAGTCTAATCGCGCTGAAGAGTAGAACACAGCCAATGAGGATGAATTTGGAGTATTGGAATGGTCCTAAAACGGAAGTGAAGAATGAAGAGATCGCCGCAACCGGAAGCAAGACCTAGCCGCTGGTTAGGGGGCACGTGTGCTAGTATAACCAGGGTAATTGAGCCAGTTAAGGGAGTGAAAACTGAAAGTAACCTCATCGTTTACCTTGGTGGACTGCAACTTCAATGCAATGCCCTTGTGTGGGGATTATCCTGATCAGGAAGGATATAATAAATGTGGGTCTATAAAACAGGAAGTGGAGCAAATATCTAATAAGGGTGGGGACAATAGATAGAATGTTCTACATAGCCAACAAAAAGAAGAAATCGAATGCAGATGATGAGACAAGGGATTTCGTCCTCGCAAAAAGGCCTACCATCTTTAGCAGTTTATGCAAAAGATTATGCTGGAGTCACAGTATTTCTGCGCCTATCTAGGGGTTAGTGGCTACTATCCATCATAGGGAGCTTCGCAAGCAGATTCTTTTCCTGCCTTTTAGTAATTGTCAATTTTTTTACCGGCCCCGAACAATGCTGAATAATTTCAGGCATGATCGCTTAAGCGAAATAGGGAGATGTACAGTATATTTATGTACTGTAGCGAGACCTTTTCAAGGGGCACATGACCCGTATCCTTGATTTATGTAGCCGCCAAGACTTCATAAGGGCTTTGTCATCATTACTTGTGATTGTTCGGAGTTTAAGCGCAAGCGGCGATAAGCAACAAACACGTGATGCTGAATAAGTGATGCTTTTTTTTTTGTTGGTTGATACTTTGAGGGAGACTTGTGTACTCAACCACAGCACACTCTTTTGTCGCCATCCATCATGATGGCCTTTCGGTCATGGTTAATAGTACCTCTCTCGCGGGGTTACATTGTCCGCCCTCGGTTTCGGAGCACTATTCGTGGTCTGGCCACCGCCACTAGCAGCTCTCAGTATGTTGGCCCCCCCTTCAGGCTAACTCGTTTACCTGTGATACTAATAGCGTTCCGGTAGATCATACGATGTTGTCGTTATTGGAGGTGGACATGCTGGTTCGGAGGCCTGTGCTGCGGCGGCTCGCTCTGGTGCTCGCACAGCACTGATCACCCCATCACTCTCCAACATTGGTGTATGTTCATGTAACCCGAGTTTTGGAGGAATTGGAAAGGGCACAATGATCCGTGAAGTCGATGCCATGGATGGGGTTGCTGGACGTATAATCGACAAAGCTGGTGTCATGTTCCGGGTTCTCAACAAATCAAAAGGTCCAGCTGTCTGGGGTCCGCGCGCCCAAATCGACCGTGACTTGTACAAACGATACATGCAGGAAGAATTGCTTCACACGGAAGGACTGAGCATCTTGGAAGGAAAGGTTGCAGACATAGTTGTTTCAAGTGAAGGGATGGAAAATACTTCGGGGCCCACTAAAAGCAAGATCGTTGGAGTCAGGCTTGAATCAGGAGAAGTCATCCCTACCGGCCATGTTGTTATCACAACAGGGACGTTTTTGGGTGGAGAGATCCACATAGGCCTCAAAGCGTTCCCCTCAGGCCGCATGGGTGAGGCACCTACCTACGGACTAAGTAAATCCCTCCGCGATGCTGGCTTCCAGCTCGGCCGTCTGAAAACCGGGACTCCTCCACGACTGGATATGAAGACGATAGACTTCGCACCCCTGGAGATGCAGAGAGGCGATTCACCCCCGCGCCCATTTTCGTACCTGAATAAAACAGTCCAAATTGGTGACGAAGAGCAGCTAAACTGCTGGATGACCTATACAAATGAAGCTGCACATGACATTGTCCGTGCGAATTTGGACAAGTCGGTGCACATACGGGAAACCGTAAAAGGGCCGCGGTACTGTCCTTCTCTAGAGTCGAAAATAATCCGTTTTCATGACAAAAAGCGCCATTTGATCTGGCTGGAACCAGAAGGTTTCGCGCCCAACGAGGTTATATATCCGAATGGGATCTCCATGACCATTCCGGAGGATGCCCAGCTTGCCATGTTACGGACGATTCGCGGCCTCGAGAATGTACATATGCTTCAACCTGGGTATGGGGTGGAGTATGACTACATCGACCCCCGCAACCTCTGGCCCACGCTTGAGACGAAACTGATAGGTGGTCTCTACCTTGCTGGGCAAATAAATGGTACCACCGGATATGAAGAAGCAACAGGACAAGGGATTATCGCCGGCACAAATGCTAGTCTGTCAGCCCAAGGTCGACCACCGCTTACACTTAGCCGGTCGGATGGGTTCATTGGGATCATGATAGACGACCTTATTACAAAAGGAGTATCCGAGCCTTATCGCATGTTCACGGCTCGGAGCGAATTCCGCATGACCACTCGATCAGATAACGCTGATTTCCGTCTAACACGTTTGGCGCACAAGGCTGGTATTGTTACAGAGAAGCGCTGGCGTCATTTCAGCGATATCGAAGCACAAATCGGAGAACTTCGGAGCCTTCTCTCCAGTACAAAGATGTCATCCAACGCCTGGAGCCGGAATGGTTTTAAAGTTCGAGCCGATACCTCAATCCGTTCTGCTGCAGAGATACTCTCCGTCGACGGAGTCGATATTGATACTTTGATTCCTCTCATTGAATCCCCTTCCGGAGTCGCCTATACACCCTCATCCTTCGACCCTGAAATTCGAGCCCGTTTAACTATCGAACGCCGATATGCCCCATTGATCACACAGCAGCAGTCAAGAGCAAGGAAATTCTTGCAGGATGAAAATCTGCGCCTCCCTGCTGATCTAGATTATTCGAAGGTTAAGGGCATTAGTAACGAAGAAAAGCAAGCCCTTGAGCGTGTCAGACCAGTCAGCGTGGGGATGGCTCGACGGATTGAAGGAGTCACTCCAACGGGCGCCCTGCTATTACTTTCACATGTGCGCAGGAATGCTGCTCTCACGTCGGATGATGCTCTTGGAGAGGCACCAGTGGAGGTATTGTCCCAATCAAGAACACCGTGAAGCAACTATATTTCCCTTTCATTTCATTCCTTTTACATCCATTCTGCCTTCGTCGGATATGTATAGACGTCGATCGCATCCGTCATTTGGTATTCAGCGAGAAAAGCAACCGGTGGTGCTTGAGGAGTTCAATTGCACATGTGGAGCAGGTTTTAAAGCTATTAATAGTTTCGAGGGGAACGTGGGGCGGCTTTATTTATGTATTCTAGATATATATATTTACATATTGTACATAGTACTTTGTAGGATATACTTGGTATATGTGTTATGCTCAATCTCCTGAGCTACCATGTCAATGCAAATTTGTCAACCTAATACTTAAGGGCTGGCACCGAGTGCTTCACTATGTGAATGTCTGAGAGCTCCACCCAATGAAACTGGCACTGGAGCCGTCATGACACCCAAACATGACAAACAGAACAAACATTGCAAATACTTGGAGCTTCCGTGAACGACTTCACGACAATCCAAACACTGCTCCTACTTCAACCTCAAAGTCACTGATGTTTTTGGCATGGCTACCTCTCACCTCCCTTATCTTAGTCATATGACCGCTGTCTAGGAGTTTTGTACCGAAGGTACTGCCCATTAACCCCAGCTGTATACCCAGTACTCGAGCGCTTTGACCGTCGACGGACCCTACTAGGACACCGATATCTAAGGCCTCCCCAATTTCAGCCAGTCTACAAATTCAACTGGCCCTCTATGATCTGGCCTTTCGGAGTTCATCAACGTTGCGCCATACAAGAGCTTCATAACGCGGACTTCTCAGTTTAGCCGAATGTGTTTCTCGAAGTGTCAAATACAGCGGAATAGAAGGAAAGTGATCTAGCAATGGCGACGCCTACATCAAGTAGCCTGTCCACCTCAGCCTCTCAAAAGGGGTACAAGTGCACCCTACCCTCAGAAAGGGTATTTTCCATCCAGATCGGAACGGAACTCTTTCGTCTTTCAGGAGCCTCGATTGCATCCGATGGTCAGTTGGCCCACCATGGACGCTTTCCGAACTGAGTAGGTGCTAAGTGTTTGGAGCCCCGTCGTATTTCTCCCAGTTCTTCGAGGAGCAGCTTCGCCAGAACGGAGACGGAGCGAACATTCGCACGCTATATATAGACCGAGATCCAGCCACCTTCCGGGAAATCGCAAGGCATTTACAAGGTATGATATCTGGTTTCGGCGGTAGTTTATGGTATACCTAAAGCTAATACATACGACTGCGGCAGGGTATCACATACGGCCCAGAGATGGCTCCGAGTTTGTGAAGTTGTTCGCAGATGCCCAATTCTACAGCTGTACGGTTCTCGCATAGACTCCAATCCAATACGTCAAGCAGCTAACAATGAATCGTAATTATAGTACCTCGGTTGAATTCTCAGCTGTTTGAATCCGCAATCACCATAGAGATCGGCGGTCGCGATTTCCAAATACCCCGCGACATCTTTTCGGGACCGGGCGATTCCCCGAATTTTTTTTCCTTGGGCTTTGGTGCTTTCTTCGCTTCACCGTCCCAGACCTTCCCCGGACTCGACCGCGTTGGGCTTCTACGCCCTCCCGCTATCGTAGCCCCCAGCATCCCCAACCGATCAGGCGATGTCTTTGCAGAACTCCTCCATCTCTTGCGAGGATATCCGTTACAGATTAAGAACGAGACTCATCGAGAGGAACTTCTCCGTGACTGCCGTTACTTCCACCTCCGTGGATTAGAACAGAAGTTAATCCCTCATCATATTAGCTACAATCCCGTCCGGCAAAGGTCTGAGATTGTCATTCGTTTAGAGGATGTCCGTCGATCCGGAGTCAGTTTCGCACCCGATGAAAATCATTCACCATCCACTGGCTGGGTGTTGTATTCGCGCCCATTCGTTGATGAAGAGCCCCTAGACTTGATTGTGGAAATTGGAGATGAATGCAGCATTGTTGATCTTGTGCGCATGCGCGTAGAGTTCCTGCACCTTACCAAGACCCGTTTCTCATGTCTACACCAAGTGATTACCAACAAAGTCACGAACACCCAATCACCAAGCGGAACTCCTCCAGCCCATGAGGGTGCTGCTATTCGTATCGAGCGCGATACAGATTTGACCGTTGATGGCCAGTCAACTTTATATGACGCCATATTTAGTGCAGGTACTGAGCATACAGAGGGCGTCACAGAATCATCTCGCCCCGTTAAACGGAGGCGAATCGACGGATCATCAAGTGGAAGCGCTAAATGGATTGTACGAAATGGGCAATGGCGTATGCGCGCCGAGCCCTCTGCTACGGGCGGAGGGGTGGATATTATATTGGTTGCAGTCAAATTGGACGTGTATAGTGAGCAGAGGATGCGGAATGAGGCTAGAGCGTTCCTATCCTCATAATATCAGACTGCCAGTTCGAGGAGTGTTAAGTATGGTGCCTGCTGGTTTCTCGCATACATTTAGATTTATATATACGCCTAATCTGAGAACACCTAGCTAATGTCAATTACTTAACTGATTAATCAAAGTTCTATTTTCTCGATATTGCGACATACTACAGAGTAGCTAAGGTGAAGGTGTGGGTGGTAGTAATTCCCAGGCTGGTGTTACAATAAGTCTTCCTCATTAACTAGCGGGGGAGAATCACATCCTATTATGAGATGCTTTTCCAGTGCAAAAAAATTTATATGACTTTAACTGCATAGAAGAAGTTGCTCTCGTTGACTTGAAGAATGGATGGAACGGAAACCGTGCAAATTGGGGTATACGTACCCTTGATGCAGTTTGTCTTGTTTGTTTCCTTTACCTAGCCTCCGTTAGGTATTTGGTTGTGATCTCCCACCAGTTCTCATCATTCTTCTTCACCCCTGCACCAATTCCTCATATTCTGTGGAATTTATCGGTCAAAATACCGACTCTCCCTCACAAGCAACATGTCAGCCGCCTCCCCTACGGACCCCCTGCGCAACCACCTTGTCTATACGCCACAGCCCCTGAAATTCGGCACCAGCGGTCGCCGTGGCGAAGTGATCCATCTGACGCAGCTCGAGATCTACACCAATGTGCTTGCTGAAGTTCGGTATCTGCAGTCTCTCCCCATTTCCGAAGGGGGGATCCAGCCCGGAGACAACTTTTATTATGCACATGACTTGCGTCCCAGCTCTACCCAGTATGTCGAGAACAACCGAGGCGGTCTTTGCCAGGCCGTCGAGCAGGCTGTGAGAGATGGAGGCATGCGTCCCATCAACTTGGGCGCCATACCCACGCCCGCCCTCACATACCACGCCCTCCAGCATGGCAAAGGTAGCATTATGGTCACCGGTAGCCACATTCCCTTCAATCGTAACGGCTATAAACTCAATACGTCGAAAGGAGAGCTATTGAAGAAGGACGAACAGCCGATCAACCGTGCGGTTGAACGCACACGCGAGGAGCTCCTCTCACAGCCCTTCGCTGATTCCCTATTCAATCAACATGGCATGCTCCGCAACGCGCCTCCCGATCTGCTTCCCGCCATTGCGGACGGCAAAACGGCCTACCTTCAACGCTACCAGGACTTCTTCCGAGGAGAGTCGCTCCAAGGCATGAAGATCCTCGCCTACCAACACTCAGCCGTCGGCCGCGATCTCCTGGTAGAGCTCTTCCAACTGCTTGGAGCAGAAGTTACACCGGCCGGCCGTAGCGACACTTTTGTTCCCATCGACACAGAAGCAATTGATCAGGCCCAGCTCGACACTGTCCAGCAATTCTACGACAGCACCGCCCAGTCATTTGACGCTGTTATTTCCACAGACGGCGATAGCGATCGCCCACTCCTCTTGGCACCCAAAGGGGGCCAGCTGCGCTTTTTTGGAGGCGACTTGTTGGGCATGATCGTCGCCGAATTCTTGGGTGCTGATGCCGTTGTCGTCCCCATCAGCAGCAACGATGCCATTGATCAGGGACCGCTGGCCCAGGTGACCGAGCCGAAAACGAAAATCGGCAGTCCCTACGTGATTGCAGGGATGCAGAGCGCTGCATCCAAAGGCCACCATCGCGTCTGTGGATGGGAGGCTAATGGGGGATTTCTCACTGGCTCTGACATCACCCGCAATGGAAACCTGCTAACGGCCCTTCCTACCCGTGACGCCATGTTGCCGCTGCTCTGCGTCTTGTTTGCGGCGAGGAAGCGCCAGATGCCCTTGCCTGAGCTCTTCGCTACGCTGCCGCACCGCTTCAGCAAGGCCGCGTTAATTCGCAATTTCCCGCGACCAACTAGCATGAAGGTTATTGAGCGCCTCTCCCCCGGGGACTCTGCCATGCAAGAGGTCACGTATCATTCCACCAGTATCACTGCGCACGATTCGCATCGTGCAGCCCTGGATGTCACTGAGTCACAGGCCCAGCGTCTGCAAGAGATCCGTCAAGAACTCCAGAAGGTGTTCTCTGCTGAACACGGGTTTAGCTCCGTGGCTCGTCTGAATTACACCGACGGCGTTCGTATTATCTTTGCCAATGGCGAGGTCGCGCACGTCCGTCCCTCCGGTAACGCTGATGAGCTGCGGATCTATGCGGTGGCGGACTCGCAGGCTCGGGCCGATGCTATCACCGCACAGGGTGTCGCGGAGCCAGATGGACTTCTTCGGCGTCTGGAGCGCCTGGTATAAGTGGTGTGGCTCTTGAGCCATTGCTGCGCGTGCTTTCAACCATCTGGGGATCGTACCTGGGGCCACAATTGACTCCTATAATTCAGTAAATGTGTTTTGAGAATCTTAATTACCATACCCAAGCCTTCAAAGCGCATGGCATTATACAATTTGCATCGATATTCTATTATATAATTAGTGTGGAATTCTCCCGTACAGTTGAATCAGCCCACCAGAGCCTCATGGTGGTATAAAGGCATCCTTCTACAGTTCAATGACTGCGTCCAGGAAGGGCTGGAACATGCCCTTTGGCGGGCCGTGTGAGCCTGCTCCATCCTGGACTGCTTTTAGCTCTAAGACGACAGTTCAGAAGGCGTTCGTATGTGCATATATGTTTTCGTGGCGTTGCTTGCTTAATGGGCCTTATGGATTTGGGCCCACGTAGCCTTTCCGCCCGCCGAATGACGACGGAGAACGGGAGGGAGGCTCGTTTTGAGGATGATCACGAGGTTATTTGATAAGTTAGGTGTAGTTTAACGTAAAATTAAACGGTTGCGTACTTTGTTGTGGTCCTGGAGCTTTTTTTTGTCGTGAATAAGCAGCCTTGGTGCCTCAGGCAGGGTTCGACCTCGGCCCTAACAAAAGGCCTCACTAGCAATCGACGTCCTCTAAGTCAGGTCAATGACAAGCGAGCAGTCTAATGCTTTCTAAATATTGCTCTTGATAAGACTATTATATGCAATTTCCACCTGGCTTTAGTTAAAGGAATACCTTCCCCTTCTAGTTCAATCGTTCATCACTTCAATACATATTAGGGGCGGGGATGGTAGCCAGCTCTGTGCCGTCTCTATGCATATTTCGAATAGGAACACCTATGCCTCTGCGTGTTTTTCGCCATTGGTAAAAAGAGTTAGCTCTCTGCATATTATAGAACAAGGGACTGTGCAGACGGCATCAAGCAATTTAAAAAATCTCTCATACAACCTCAAATAGTTCCCATCCACTGAAACGGATGGAGTGGAATTTTATTGGAGTTGCCATTCTATGTGCTACTGATGCGTTATGCAAATATGAGGTAACAGAATTCAGATGGTCTAGGTTGGGATTGTTACTCTTTATAGCATAATTCCAGATATGTTTTTGCTTGTGCCAGTGAAGAAATAGAGCTGGCTCTAAGCTTCTGATTTTTTGGTTATGCAATAAGCCCGCAATATGCCTTGCGATGAGAATAATGCGGGTCTGCGGCAAGGCATTCCTGCCTCCCACAGACAGGGGTTGTCATGGTTATCTACTGTATGTGGGAGTATTTTTGTCCAAACGTTTCAATTTAATCGTGTACCACTGAGAGATGAATGAGAGTTGAGATATATTAGTTAGTTAGCTGGTGGATGTATTATAGCATTGCTTGCAGAGATGTGACACTCCGCAGCTATGTACATATCTGAATGTCCGATGCTTTAGAGAAACTATTGGGATGCTAAAGCCACTCTCCTAGACAGTAGTCCGAACATTATTAATACCTCTTAGTTTACACGCGTAATAGGTCAAATTAAGACGAATATAGATTCAAACTTGTCAGCCTGACTAACGCGCAGGTACCTAATGGACAAGGATTAATTGCTCTTGACATTCAGCTGTATTCCCCACACCTCCGTTTGCAAGAGCTACGGGCCACTGCATGTTATATTTACCAGTCCGATGAAGGTTCGCCACAAATGGCCCAGGGCTGTCCGGGATTTGACCAGATACTCTGAATATATAAAAGGGCCGTCGGAGAATCGATGGGATGCATGTCTATTAGAAATAAGGTGTAAAAAGCTATGAGCCCGTTAAACCCTACGGGTTATCTTAGCAGGCTCAGACCCTCTGGCAAGGAGCCCTCGGGAATAATGCAGAAGTGGCCTCACACTAGGTTATTTTGGTATTAGTTCGAACTCTTACCCACTCCTACAATCCCCTGGACCGATCGGAGACCATGCTGGCGATTCCTCGCAGAGGGTCGGTTACATTAGTACCTGAGGGGTTAATTATTACTCGACTGTATAGGTTGTCGACAAGTCATGCGCCTGGATTGGCTTGTGCTCTCGTGAATAACCGAAGAAAAGGCAAGTTGCACCCGAACACTACTAAATATTTCGCATAGCAAAAGTTTGACAGATTAAAGCGGGCTAAGCCTGGAATAGTATCAATCTAGAAAATTAACGTATCAGTTTGAATCGAGGTCTAGACGCCTTTTGGCTGAACAGTAAAGAAATTCGACAAATAGTAACAGACACCTGCTTTGGCTTAATAGGCGTGGCGTTAACAGCGCGCATTGGCCCACTCAATGATGCTACATCATCGATAAGTACTTTAGGCATATATACATAAGTAGTGACATTCTTTTATAAGGCACTTCCCCTCCTTCTTCAAACCAGGTTAGTGGGGAATTACATTATTATAAATCAGCACAGGCGCCTCTTGTCACTCGCTAATATTTACGCGAAAATGGGCGCCGTCGAAACCCTAGAAGTAAGTCAGAGTCTACCAGAACATGAATTCAAAAAGGTGTCATTGTTAAGAAAGCCTCTTCAACTCTCTGGTGCATTAGACAGGTTCACTTCCTTTAATGTCACCCCCACTATTGGCAGGGAGTTTCCGGAAGCCAGCCTCAAAACATGGCTACAGTCCCCGGACTCAGATATTTTGCTTAGAGACCTTGCAATCACAGGTAAGAGCTTTCGCGTCTGTTTCTCCCGAACACTGTGCTAAGTCCCTCATCTAGTGTCGCAGCGAGGTGTGGTCTTCTTTCGTAAGCAGGATGATATGGATGATAAACTGCTGAAAGAACTAGTACAGCGAATGGGGGAGCTAACCTGGAAACCCAAAACGTCTGGATTATATATCCATCCATTTTTCAATGCTGGACTGCCACTGGGTGGTGATGATAATGAGATTGATGTTATAAGCACCGAGCAGAACAGGGTAGTATTTGAACATCCGAGGATGTTTGTCAAGAGACAAACTGCCCGCCAGGAATGGCATACGGATATTTCACACGAACCCGTGCCGAGTGACTACGCCGTGCTACGCCTTACCGAGTTACCGAAAGGCGGGGGAGGAGGTAAGTTCTTTTATTATTCCTGCCTGTACGTTGCCTCCACTTATTATCGTCTTAGATACACTTTGGGCCTCTGGATACGAGCTTTACGATCGTATATCAAAACCGTACCAGAAATTTCTTGAGAGCCTGTCTGTCACCTTCGCAGAACCCAGATACAACGAAATTGCCAAAAGACTTAACCACCAGCTATACACTCAGCTGCGAGGGTCTCCAGAGAACGTAGGGGCCGAGTTTGTAGCAGTTCATCCTGTGATTCGAACAAACCCTGTTACCGGATGGAAAAGTCTATTTGCTGCTGGCCATTATGCTCAACACATCAATGGCTTAGAGAAAAGCGAAAGTGATCACTTGCTGCAGTGGTTCACTCGGTTAATTACCGAGAATCATGACCTGCAGGTGAGATTTAGATGGCATAATCCGAACGATGTTGGTAAGTTATCAAAGTACTCCTTATAGCCACAATAAATACGTTAAACTGACCAGTAACATGGCAGCAATCTGGGATAATCGATCTGTCTTCCATGCGGCTACTCCGGACATTAATGCTAATGACCAACGGACTGGGCATAGAGCTATGGGAGTAGGGGAACGTCCCTATCTTGATGCGGGGAGCACTAGCCGACGTGAAGCCCTTGGCCTTCTTTAAGTCAACCTGGCTTGGTCTCTGAGGAAGGTAATGGACATGGTAGGGAATTCGGTTTACTTGTCCTGCAAAGGCCTTAATGTTGCACCCCGGGTGACAGTATGAAAATTAATAGATCTTGTGTGTACTTGTTCTGCAACACTAATTTGTGTAGTAATCTAACACTGCCTTTAGTCATGTACTCTGCACGAAGTAAACATTAGAATATAAGGATTGAAGGGTGGGAGATAGCAAATAATTCACCCAATTTTCAATCATTGTATAATCAGATTGCTGGCGTTCCCGGCCAATGATGAACTCACATTCTTTCAGGAAGAGCTATACATAGCTTTTCGGCTTTCTTGGAGCTATTCAGGTTCGAACCTGACCTTCTTTATTTTTATTCTCGGAAATATCCCGGAGGCCTAGTTGGTTCACAAATGCCTGAATTTCTCCTTGCCTCGGAAATGCTTTGGTAAGCCCATCTACCAGTATTCTGCCTGTAGGCGTACAGCTGACTTGAATCCTTTTATTAAAGCATCCTAGAGTAACTAGTAGCAGTAGCAGCATCAGTATTCATTAATCTGTCCTAGATTACATATAAATGTCGCCCATGCAGGGTCGCACTGACACAGCGTTGAGGAAGCTGCACCTGGCGGCCGGACACCACGGAGTTCGTAGATGGCTCAGAAAGAAAGGAATAGTGCTAAACAAGCAAAATAGACAAAGACTTAAATGAATGTCAACACCGAGGATTAACACCACCTAACAAACTGCGGCTCTGAGACTGCTTAACCCCTGATGGAACCCGTACCTCTCCGTCCGCAGTATCCCCTTCCATCTCACTGGGGTTACACCGTAGATCCCAATCCTATCTCACATCCACCAACACAGTGGCCGCCGGCGCAGCCTCCCCAACGCATTTTACATATTTCCGTACCATTTTCTGGTCTGCTCGACGGCTGCAGGTGACCTGGTCCTGCGTCCGCTGGTATAAACTCGCTTTAGGCAACAGCCCAATGTCCTTATTAGTTATCTTGTCTCGGCCTGCGCAAGGTTAGTGACCCATGTCGCTGTAAAATTTACTACTTGAAAATGCCCGAGATGGCCCGTTTTTATTATAAAATCTGCCACTACTCCGCTTGCCTTTGTCCCCTATATCACTAATTTATAGCCGTCCATCCAGACACCGACACAGCCTTTCCTTTAAAGCTCCTATCGTAGATCTATCCGTAGGTCTGTTAGAATTGGGCACGTTATATATGTAAATATTTAGGCGTTTGATTGTTAAGATCGCAACTGCAGCGCGCCAATTTGCGCACTTTAATACTGCTAAGATATTTGCTAAGTCCAATCCTTCCTGTATACATCTGCATGAGCACCGAGCTGGTTACCTTTTGGAGATTTCCCCAGTACCGTAGGATGCCCTTTTCTGGCGCGTTAATTAGGCTCTTAGTTGGCCGTTCTGTCCTTAACTGTTGCCATGTCATGGCCCCCTTGGCCTTTAACTCCACCCTAATCCTTCACTTAGCCGCCGATTGCAGCATGATCAGTTGTTATCCCTATAAAAGTCTTTGTTACGCTATCTGCTTAGCAAGCTAGTCGGCTGCTTTATTTCCAGGCATGCTTTGAGGAGAACTTATCTAGAGAGTTATATAGTGTCTAATTAATATACTAGATGACGGCAAAAGGTCTGCCAGTAATGGCCGCGCTGTTTTTGTCCGCCCATTCGCCAACCCTTCCACCACTCACCCAGGCACTTGCTCGCAATCTTCGCACTTGGTCACGGCGCTATGGAATCAGAGGGGGCTGAAAATGGCACCCTCTCGACGTGCAGTACTTTCGGCCATGCCCCGCCGCGCATCTTGACTCCAAATTTCTCGCCTTTGGAACATGTCCGATTTGCTCTAGTTGTCTCTTCCGTCCTACTGGTCCCATATTGGTACGTTGCCAGCAGTGCTCCATGATTCTTGTTGGTTACTGTATCCTTAACTTGTGCGTGTCATAGGTTCTCCTTCTGGCCTAATCCGAACGAAAAGTATCCTCGGTCCTCCGGTTTACACTTCTTCTATCTCACTTTAGGCATTTTGCCGCAAGATTATAGTACTTTATTGGCCTACCCAGCCAGCTATTAAGCTTTATATATCCCTGCTCTTTGGGTTTACTTTCTGATGTCATGACCTCGTATCCACTCCAGCCTGTGCTCGCACTTTACTTGCAATATCAGCTCGTCGCACTCTTACATTCATTGTTCATATTCTGTGAGCCGGCCAGGCACCAAATGAAGCGCCATGACACACAATCCCATCAAATGTGACGAGAAAAGCAAAGTTACGAATAAAGTTTTAGCCATCCTTAACATTGGTGATCGACGATCCGCTATTGCCTTTTTGCTTTTGAGCGGCAGCCCGATCATCAGCTGTGATCTACTCAACTATGCTCCTGCGTCTTGCTGGAAGACTAGCGTATCTTGTTGTGTGAATAAATTACTGTATTTCTGTATAACACATATAGCATAAATAGGGGGTGCTACCGCCCACGGGTTTATAATTATGATACAATTATCGCCTCCTAAGAAAAAGCAAGGACTCTACAATAAAGCTTACACATATTATTATTTCACTATGCAAACCTTTTTGCTTACCATAATTATATTAATGCTGAATCTTGTCCAACCAGGGGACTCCGTTGTGGGTGGTAGGCCTACTACCATAGAGGAACACCCTTATCAACTGAGCCTACAACATTATGGGAGCCATATATGTGGTGCCAGTATTCTCAGCCGTAATATTGCCCTTATAGCAGCACAATGCACTGATGGTACGTCGGCATCATCTCTGTCCGCTAGAGCTAGCTCCAGTTTCAGAGGACAAGGTGGACAAGTTATCAACGTCGCTCGAATCAAACAGCATCCCAAATATAATCCTGGAAGCTCGGACTATGATGTCTCCGTTCTCATTCTCGCAGGCGTAATTGAATTTGGCAATGGGGCACAACCGATAGGGCTCCAACCTAGAGGACAAGAGGTAGCCGTAGGCGCTACTGGTACAATCACCGGGTGGGGCACATTGAGCAGCGGTGGAAGCCTACCTAGTCAACTGCAGGTAGTTGATATATACAGAATTAGTCACATTCAATTACAGATCGCATGATTTGCTACAAGGCGAGTGGGAAGGGTAGCTGCCAAGGAGATGCAGGTGGGCCTCTTATTACAAATGGGGTACTGGCTGGTGTCGTTTCCGGCGGCATAGATTGCGCACATCCTTCGTACTCTGATATCTTTGCAAAAATCAGCAACCCAGAGATACACGATCATATAGCGAGTAATTGATTTGGGGAATATATGTACTGGGTTTTCTTGGTTCCTTGATAAATCTGGAAGTTAGAATTGGTTAAATACTATTAGTTAGGCATAAGGACCGCAGGTATCATCGTGCGGATGCTCGCGTCAACAGTCAAATTGCTGTAATTCCTGCCTTATTCCATTCGTGAACATAAAACTTCTGTTCTGATGAACACATTTAATTCTGCATCTAATAAAATCCCATTGTACACAGCTTCATTACTCTTTGTCCCTTTCGTGTTAGTTTGAGCTTGAGTTTTCTTGCCGTTTCAGGGCATAAGCGTGCGGAGCTTGCAGAGCGCGTGTCACAAGTTCTTATCCACTAGATCTTTCAAGTACTTTTATATTGGGTTTAGTGTCCCTTCTCTCACCCAGCTGGGTGTAGTTAGCTGCACTGGTATACCCTCTTATAATTCCGCAGTGCTACCCAAATGGATTTATAGGGGCCTCAACCATTAATACCCCATGTTCCAGTGATCCAGACATCTTTTAGCACTGTAAAGAAGGTCAGAGAAGCCAAAGGAAGTGTGGGACTAAGAGGGGTTAGTCAGAATACCTAAAGCAGTTCCGGACATCTCCTGTTAATTTGGCTTGCAGCGTGATTGTCCTGTCCTCCAGGGCTTTGCTGCCAATAATGGCGCAATTAGATTGACATCCAGAGAATCAAGGATAAATGTAGCAACCTAGATGGCCGTGGCACTTCAGAGTTTTCTGAAAGTTATTAGTATGTATAGAACCAAAATAGTCAGCCCGTTCACCCGGACATTCATGTTTGGTGGCACCCAGCGCTCAAGGAATTGCACATTATACGAAGAAATGCTAAACACTATCAATTAATATACGAGTTTAGACGAAATTTAGGCTCAGTTGTAAGGTTCACTAAGCGTATGTACAGATTGTACAACCTTTCTCTTTGCTTTCTTATACTTTCCTGGAATTCCTCGATTCCAACTCTCCCACTCTGCCAGTTGTCCCTAGCTCTTTGTAGTTGGCTTTCTTTTTTTTAGATAGGCAACCTCTAACCTACTAACCTTTACCTGAAGCTCATCAATCTGTTCCTCCAATGATTGGGCATCTATGCCAATCACGGTAAGTCGTCGGGCTAGCTTCTGCGACAAGTCAATCATGAATTCACCGCCCTCTGCTATAAGCTGTTCGACTTTTTTGCTCGCAAACATGGTGTACTTCAGTGCAGAATATTAAGATAACAATTTCTGAGCTGGATTATCCTGCGTATTCGGGCTAGGTGTCGAATCGTAGACGAGACGTATAGCAACTGCGAGGTACGGAAACAACGCATAATCTTATGAGTCTGACAAAGCAGCTGGGAAGGAACTCCTAGCGCCGTAGATGGCTAAGGTACGAGTGTCCTTTCCTCTCCACATTCGTATAGCTCCAAAATCCCATATGTACATCTATTAGCGCTTACAACACAATAATAGGTTATACTTACTATAATTATTAATTACTGTAAATTAGGGCTTTGTTTCTTTTTACACTCCCTGCTTTTAAAATGCTTGTTTATCCCAGATATTTTATTATTATAATAATGTTATGCGTGGGGGTTGGTAACGAGCTGAATGGGGCGCTACGGTGCGAAAGGGAGTGTCTATATAGGAGAGAAGATAGAGCCACGTATATTGCAGAACTAATCGCTGGCCTTCAAGAGTTCAGGCCCGCGGGTGCGAATATAAACACTTCGCACCTGACTAAGCATCTTAGCTAAGGATCTAGCTATCGCGCTTCCGAGCGCTCCTAACAAATAAACCCTATATTAAATAATACTCTAATATATATGGCATTAAAAAACAGGCTTTCTAGTATAGATCTTAGCAAGCTGGTTAAATTAATCCTATAAATCACCTCGAGTTCTGTTTCTATCCTAGTGCGGGTAATAGAATTTCTTACTTATTCCTATACCAATAGGTGTTTGTTTCCACCACTTTTTAAAGACAGAATTAGTAGACCATGAGTGGCTTAGTTTGAGATTTTTGTTGTCAGCTAGTGAGAATTGATCAGGATAAATGCCATTCCAATACATGACGTGTTTTTTCTAGATAGCTAGAGGGCTAAGCTCATCTGACAGATTAAATTAAGCTAATTTAGGTAGTGGAGAGATCCTCCAATGTATCATGGTGATCTGCGCACGATCATTGCCGGCCATCTACGCTCATGATGAGCCGGCATGAGTCATTTCTTGGCATGAGGCCCGATTCGCGCGCCAAGACAAGGTCTCTAGGTTGTATATGTATATCAAAAGTTGTCTGGTTTGGACTTCTTTTTCGTACACAACTCAAAGTTTTACTTGCAGCTCGGTCTCAAACGTCTCGCTATGGAGTCAACTCAGACGACCTCGATATCCGCTGCGCACGGTGCTACTGTTGCGACCACACCGTCCAATCCAGCATTGGGAGACAAGCCTATGTTCGACGAGGCGATCGATGAAAAGCCCGGACCGCCGTTGTCGGAAAGCGATCGGTCTATGGATTTTACCGAGGACTCGATAGGAAAGTCAGGGGAGGATGAACGCCAATACCCGGGCAAGGCTAAGCTCGCCATCATTATGTTCGGTTTGAATTTGACCATGTTCCTCGTTGGCCTTGACAATACTATTATCTCAACGGCGATTCCCAAAATCACCGATCAATTCCACGCTTTGGAGGATGTGGGCTGGTATGCCAGCGGCTACATGCTCACCGTCTGCGCATTCCAATTGATATGGGGGAAGTTGTACACATTCTACTCGATCAAATGGACCTACATCGTCTCGCTGTCTATTTTCGAACTAGGTTCCTTGATCTGTGGTGTTGCGCCGAACTCAACCGCCCTCATCATCGGCCGCGCGATTGCTGGCATCGGAAGTGGTGGAATTAGCGCTGGGTCATTTCTCCTGGTCGCGTACGCTGTCCCACCACGCCAGCGACCCGCCTTAGTTGGAATTGTCGGCGCCATGTATGGCTTCTCGTCCATTGCCGGCCCCCTCATGGGTGGCGCCTTCACAGATAACCCCAGGCTGACCTGGCGTTGGTGCTTCTACGTCAACCTGCCCCTGGGTTTCGTTTCTGGTCTCATGATAATTCTTTTCCTGACTGTCCCCGGCGACACCAGTTCGCATGATGTCCCCTTTCTGGATCAGCTCAAGCAAATGGATCTCCCAGGGACCATCCTTATTTTCCCCTGTGTCATTTGCCTTCTTCTGGCACTCAAGTGGGGTGGTACACAGTACCCATGGGCCAACGGACGCATTATCGGACTCTTCGTCGTGTCTGGTGTTCTGGCAATCATCTTCGTTGCCGTCCAAATTCGTAGTGGAGATCGTGCGACAATCCCACCCCGACTGTTCAAGAAACGCAATATCTGGGGCTCTGTGGCCTTCGGCTCGTGTATTGTGGCCTGCTTCTTCGTCATGCTGTACTATGTATGACAACTGTATTTCCTTCTCTTCAACGTCATAACTAACCTCCATCTCTCTCTAGATCCCTATCTGGTTCCAAGCCATCAAGGGCGCTAGTCCCATCAAGTCCGGCGTTATGAATCTCCCCATGGTGCTTAGTTTCGTCGTTTTCTCATTCCTCAGCGGCACCCTTACTACCATCACGGGCCACTATGTGCAATGGGCCTATCTCACTATAGTTTTCATGGCTATCGGCACCGGTCTGCTCACTACCCTCAAAGTCGACTCCAGCCACGCCGCTTGGATCGGATACCAGGTGATCTTCGGAGCCGGTGTCGGTTTTGGTCTCCAGTCAGCTTTCACAGCTGTGCAGACAGCTCTTCCCCTGGAAGACATCCCCATTGGAACTGCCATCCTCATCTTCGCAGAGAACCTTGCTGCCGGCATCTTTGTATCGGTAGCTCAGAATGTGTTCACGAACCAGCTCGTCCGCAACCTGAGCACATATGTTCCTTCCATAGACGCCCGTGTGGTCTTGGACGGCGGCGCAACTCAGATTAAGCATGATGTGCCTAGTGAGCTCTACGATAGTGTCTTGCTTGCGTACAATAAATCTCTCATGCAGACGTTTTATGTGGGAGTTGCGCTCGCGTGTTGCGCTATTTTCGGAGCGGTTTGGCTTCAGTGGAAGTCTGTCAAAGGGGAAAAGAAAGATAGCGTGGATGATGCATAGATATATTTCTTGTTTGTTGCATAGATAGCATTCGCCTGTGTACGTAATATTAATAGATATGATGACCTGATGTAATCTAATATGTTCAGACAGATCTGACTCATCTCCTCATTATCGATTTGGGAGCGGTGTTGACGTCCTCGACACAAGCACAAATTAAACGAAGCTCTTTTCGATCATAAAATCTTCGTTAACGTGATAACCAGCCTATATGGACTGTAGCCAACTGTACAAGTGCGCACCTGGTTGAGATACATGGCTTGTATTGTTGCAGTATTTATTTTCGGTTCTGCTGTCGATTCCTGAGGCCACACTCTCCATCCTTGACAAGTCACTATTTCTGACAATGAATGGAATCGTCGCGTGATGTTTTATAAGGGATAAGAACCTAGCGGTGCAGAGGCCACTCTTCCTCTTCACATTCCGGGCATTGCTTGGTGCTCCTCATGATACGGAGAATAACTTCCGTATTATTGTACATCTCCGGAACTTTCTATAACTCATTTAAATGTATATTATCATACATCCGTGTCTCATTACCTTTGCTATTTCACTTTCGGACCTTAGATTTCGTCCTCCCAAGGAATGCTGTCCATGGCTCCTCGCCGCTCCACGGCGCGGGCTGAAGCCCGTGCTGCCAATCCCATAGATTCATTCATTATCTTGTGGTATCGGACGGGTTTCTCTTCGGCTGTTATATCCAGGCCAGCCTTGCCGTCGGCACGTCGTTGTTCACGCCACCGCGCAATATCAACCGCATATGCGCCCACAAAGGTATCACCGGCTGCGGTCGTGTCCAGCACATGCTGGACCTTGGCGGCAGGAATCTGATTAGTGAACCGGTTAACCCCGTCAACAGGGCCAGAGGATCCAGCCTCACTGGCACTGTACCAGACACCCTTGGAACCTAATGTGATAAGCACGTAAGTCACCCCCAGTTTGTGGAAGTACCGCGCCACCTGCTCGTTCCCTGGCTGGCCATCCGCATCTGGAACCACTTTGAGGAGGTGCTCGGTTGATGGAGACATTAGCTCGGCTTCCGTCTCATTCAGGATCAAGTGGTCAACAGCTGCATATACATCATCTGGCAGTCCACCAGGTGGAGCAGGGGCCGGGTTGACCATGACATCGGGACCCACTTCAATACCTCGCTTTCCCGCAGCCCGGTTCTTCGCCTTGAAAGCAGCGATCTCTCGAAGTGTCCCAATCAGCGTTTCCACGGGGATCTCTCCCTGCATGACAATCACATCCGGCACTGGGGCGGCCAATCCCATACCCAACACCTGAGGCTCCGGCTTCATTCCTTGATAGTTGGCGCCTGGTGAGAACAGGATCCGATTTTCACCTCCAGCTGACGAATCAACAATAATAACGGCCACACCTGTATATGCATCCTTGACTATCCGAACCCGGGATACATCAATGCCAGATTTTTCCAGCGTGGGCTTGAGCAGAGCTTCAAAGTGACCATCCAGACCTCCCACGGCACCGACCATTTCTACCTTCACGGGCGCCTTGCTCGAGGGTGTAGTTGAGTCCGGTTTTGAGCGAGACAATCGGCCACAGGCAACAGCCTGGTTAGCGCCTTTGCCACCAGCGCTGGTGAAATATGAGGAGGAAGTAATGGTCTCTCCAGGGTCGGGGAACCGAGACGTCACAGACACCATGTCGGCATTGAGAGATCCAATGACACGGATAATAGGGGCCATTGTGTCTGTTTCCATAGGGAACTGATGGTTGAGGAGAAAGTGGTTCGCGGATATACGGAAGTTAGTCGGAGGGCTCAATGCAATTCCACAGAAGAGGAGAACTTTGTAATATGTCAATGTATGTATGGAGGGAAATGGTCGCGAGCTGGCGGAAAGTGGAATTCTGCCTCGCTGCACCGCTGCCCCCACAACAACCCCACGTTTGTATGAGCTGACTTGCGGGTGGCTTACAATTTTCAACGGGGATAGTGAGTGTTACTATGAATTGGCTGTCTTTTGCATTTCGCTACAACTACAAAACTGAGCTATAAACCGTTTACTTGCCAGCCTTGCTCAAAAGGTGTCTGGTTCAAAGAAGTCTTGATTTATACTTTGTCTATTGTGGTTTTGAGAGGTCTATGTATCGTGACATCGTGAATCTATCTATCCATATTGTGGGATGGCCATTTAAACCCAGAAAAAAGCTCTCTGTACTCCAAGATTTCAACTGAGGTAGAAGATTCCATCTAGTCCCATCCTAGTATGAGGTTAGGCGAGATTTCGCACTCTTGTCGCCAGTTTCGCCACAGAGCTTGACGCACCAAAGAGTGGAAATGTGCCTGCATTTCCGTGTCTTTTTTGAAGGAACGTATCGGATCGGACTTTCGAGCCGACTCTGAGTGACAAGTGGTGGCCGTTTCTGGGAGCGTATGTCCGGTGTGTAATCCTTTGCGTGCTAGGATCCATTTCCTAATAGCGCTTATGATGATGTGCTGCCGTCGCCCGCGGGAGTGACGTTTTCCCGCTTGACAAAATGACCCTGAATCCAAGCCCGGTACATCTTCAGCTTGCTCTGGCGATTGACAATCAATCGGTTGTCAACGGCTAATTTCTGCACGTCGAACACTCCTGTGTCAGGGGTAGGGGCAGGTTGATCCGTAGACCTGGTATCACCCTCCACTGGTCTCTCGGGGAGACCCTTCTCCGGCGTCCACTGAGTCCACATTTGCTGCAGTTCGTCTTTATCAAAGAAATACACTCGCGTGCCATCGCCACGGATGTAGAAGTTCTCTGCCAGATACCGGCCCTTCTTAAAACGGACCTGGGCCAAGTCTCCTCGGCCGTAATCACGGAACAGGACTTGACCACCGGGTTTCAGCACGCGGTACACGTTGCGAAGCGCCTGGTCCCACTGGTTCGGAGCTAGGGCTGAGAAAATGAAAATCAAAATGACCACATCCACAGACCCCTCGGTCAACCCTGGTGGCAGGGAATCCTGATTCTCGTCCGGCTTGGTCGTGACATCCCACACATCGGCAGTCATATACTTCGTGTTGTAGTGCTCGCTCTCGCGCATTACCTTGACCGCAGTCTTGGCATAATCGCACGCATGGACCATGAGTTCCTCGTTATTGTTATTATTCACCAAAGGGAACGCTGTATTTCCAGCGCCTGCGCCCACCTCCAGGACTACTTTCGGGCCAGCCCCGGCACTAGTGACTTCAGCCAGGATAGGGAATTCCTGACGCAGCCACTTGCGGTCTTTGAAAAAATTGGCCGTATTGTTCTTGTAGAATAGATTCCACCACTTCACGGGGTCGGTGTTGAAGCGTTTCTTGTCAAAATCGGACACGGGAGATGCGCGCTGCTTGGCGTATTGCTCCTCAGCAAAAGCCTTGAAGTTGTCATCCGGCTCGACATGGTCCCAGGCGTTGAACTCAAACACATCGTCACCTTGCTCGAGGTAGCGCGAACCGAACTGAAACGGGTCGCTGCGTTTGAGATTGTTAGTTGGGTCATGGGAGCGGTGCGGTGCAATCTGAGGCGGTTGTACGACTTGTGCGATGGTCGTGATATCGTCGGCATCGGGAGGGATCAGGGTAGTCGAAGGAGACATGGTGGCTCCTCTGCTGTGAATAGACTGGCTGAAATGGGGACTTGATAATTGACAAAAACCTTGCGGAGAAGGGGAAAAGATAAAATCCAAATTGTGGGGCCATGCTGCCTCAGGCATCCAGCCGGACTTCCCACAATCCCTTCAATCGGCGAAATCGGGTGCCTGAGGAGTGAACTAAATATGCCTCAGGCAGCGAGGGTTGAGACCCATGTGTTTCGATGTTTGGCATTTCTTTCTATTTTTCCTCTCAACGTTCCTTAACGGCCTGAAGCGGTTCTTCTTCAGATAGTACATGACATTATTATCGCCTAGTTGCAAACCCGTTTTGGCACATGAGTAAATTAAATTACCACATGCATGCGACCGCAGAACGGGATTATATATTCGTTGGTTGGACGAGGAGCTATGTTTCATCAAGAAGTCTCTCTGAATGGCAACGATAGAGACGTAACATCTACGGAGTACGAAATTTTGGTTTACGTTACCCAATAAACCTCTGTAATCACTCCAGCCACAAGTAGATAATCTCCGATATGGCATTCTAAACAATCGGACGACTGCTTAGCAGTCTTATACGAACAAATCGTTGTCCTGATACTAGATATTAAACAATATCAGATGAGCTTCCGGTATCACCTTTCCGGTCCACATATCCGGACTGAGTTTCTCGTACGGAGGTCTCCGTACTACATAGAGATGTAGCATACGTTTTGTTGGGGCTTCATATGTGCCGGACGTGGGGGTTGATAGTCCACCGGCTCTGCCAAGCTTTCTAGGTAGACAGAGTATTGGGCCAGTACGTATGCGCTTTTCGTCTATTGTGCAACGATTACGGTAATATTTAAATCCTTAGAGGATAGGTTGGTGATAGAGCGGGATCGTGCTTTGCGATTTGGTTCATGAGTAATACAGCAGTTATGCGACGGAAGTACTGATGATATAAGCATCGTGGACAAGGTGTCATTCGTGAAGTGGTGTTGATGATGCTGAATACGGGACGTCATATACACCCAAGCCAACATGGCGAGAGCTGGTGAAGGTACCAGATTCGCTTAATCCCAGATACGGGGTAGATGGATGTAGTCCGGGGTAATGGAGAATTTTGGGCCCACAGTGGAGACAGCGTTGAATAAAACGCTACTCCGTTAGCGGGAGACAGTTTAAGGCACTTGTACCAGGCGAACAAGGACTCTAAGGCGACTACCACAAGGAGAAATGACAGACTGGAGGTGGGGAAATTTCCACATGCACCGGGCGAGTAAGAATGTCACAGGGATGCGATCGCGGCGCGGGGAGGACATGGGGGCGTGGGGGAAAAGGCTATAAGCTGAAGGAGCACAAGGATGGGCTAGAGCTTCAGATTCGTGGACTGAGGATTTAATCCGGGGTGGGCATAAGTAGCTGAGCTAAGAAGTAAGATGTCGATGCTTAGTGTAGCTCTGGGCGAAAGAGATGTGTTGTGTGCCGACAACGGCTCGTCCGTTTTTGGAAAGTTCCTGATAGCACTGACGGGAAGTCAACCGATGATTGCAGTCGGATAATATACTATAGCAGCTGTCAATGAAGTGAACACAGTGGGAGCGATCGAACCACAGCCAGGTAACATACCCCTCGCCGAGAAGTTCATGATGACACCGATAAGGTCACCCGTCGGCCAATGCAACCTTAACGATCGCCGCAATTATCCATGGCAATGCGGAGATTAGCGTGGGGGTCCCTATGTAGAGGGACAGAATGCAACCTTTCTTATCGAACGATGATACTCTGGCTGTCGATGGTAAGCTCTACTTCTTCCTTTTATCTCCAGCGAGACAGCCTCACCGTCCTTCTTTCTCTACCCCTTGCATTCCCTACCTCCATCTCCTCTGTTTTGTCCTCTGGTTTCCCTCTCACATCTGCATCCGCGGGCGGACATCATGTCGTTGAATAACCCTCCGCACTCCGAATTAGACCGGCAGGATACTGCCAAATCTGGTACTCGCGACTCAGTACACGATGATGCCGAGAAGTTGGGAGAGTATGCGTCGGCACCGGGCATTGTAGAAAATGTAGTCCAGGTCGTGGACCATAAAGCGGAACGTGCTTTATGCCTTCGTTTTGACCTACGGTTACTTCCTGTGCTTGCGGTGATGTGTACGTTTGCTCGCTATTCCATAGCCCACGATATGCTAATTTATTAGATCTGTTCAATGCCCTGGATAAGGGAAACCTAGGGAACGCACAAACGGATGGATTGAGTAAAGGTATGCCTCTTATACTTCAGACTCTCCGGTCCCAAGCTAATCAACTAGACCTGAACTTTAAAAAGAACCAGTACAACCTCCTACTGTCTATATTTTTTGTCCCCTTTGTCGTCTTCGCCCCTCCCTTCGCCATGCTGGGTAAACGCTTTAGCCCAGCCCGCGTCCTCCCCATCCTCATGTTCAGCTTCGGCAGTTTTACTCTCCTCTCCTCGGCAACTAAGAACTTCAGTGGCATTTTTGCCCTCCGTTGGTTCCTCGGCATGTCTGAAGCAGCATTCTTCCCTCTAGTCATCTACTACCTCACCACCTTCTATCGTCGTGGCGAACTCGCTCGTCGGCTCGCTATCTTCTATGCCGCTTCCAACATCGCCAACGCCTTCTCAGGGCTGATTGCCTTCGGCGTCTTCCAGATTAAGAACTCCTCCATTCCGAACTGGCGCTATCTGTTCATCATTGAAGGCGCCGTTACTGTGCTCTTTGCTATTTTTGCCTTCTGGTACCTGCCGCGCAGCGCCAGCGAGGCGAAATTTCTGTCCGCGGATGAGAAAGCCCTAGCGTTCCACCGGATCCAAGTGGACTCAAGCGCCATAGTAAACGAGAAGTTCCGACTGCGCGAAGCAATCGCCATATTCAAGCACCCATCCACGTATATCTTCCTCGGGATTGAGATCTGCCTTGGAGTTCCGCTGCAGGGCGTTGCGTTGTTTATGCCACAGATTATTGAACGACTCAAATACTCAACTGTTAAAACGAACCTGTATACTGTTGCGCCCAACGTAACAGGAGCAGTCATGTTGCTCGTACTGGCATTCGCGTCCGACGCGGCTCGTCTTCGATCACCCTTCATCGTGCTTGGCTTTTTGTTCACTTTTACGGGGTTCATGATTTACGCGGGAATCAATGACGTCCAGGCCAATATCCAGCTTGCATATTTCGCGACCTTTATGATGACGTGGGGCACGTCAGCACCGTCTGTGCTTCTGAGTACATGGTACAACAATAACATTGCACATGAGGGCCGTCGGGTGCTGTTGACCAGTATCGGCGTGCCCCTCGCAAACCTCATGGGCTTGGTAAGTAGTAATGTGTTCCGGGATGAGGACAAGCCCAAATACATGCCTGCGTTGATCACAGTCGGCGCATTTGGGGCTACAGGGGCTACGTTGGCCGCGAGTCTGGGTCTCTTCATGTGGTTTGACAATAAGAGGCGGGACCGTCGCACGGGACACACAATCAGGGCGCACGATGTGCCAACGGAGAGGTTGCACGATGGGCCGGACAGTGATGAGTTCCGATGGTTTTTATAATTGTTCTTGTCGTCCTAGCTAGTACAAGCTGTGTTGTTAGCATATGACCAGCTTGGGTGACAATTGTCGGATTGCTTCATATCTTACACAGTGATCCCCTGAGATAATCTAGATGCACGAAACACGTGTTACAGGAACATAATGCAATATGCGGTAATGCATTCCGAGTTGATTTGCTGCAAGCCAGAATGGTCCAGGACTTAGAACCAAGTGGAATGCCCCAAGTAAAAGTGATGATTATGATTGATGGCAAACCAACAATTGACTAACTGGCTGGCAGTGCAATTGCAAAGTAAGCAAGACCAGATTGGAGACCGAGGGTCATTTATATGCCCACCAAGGTAAACGACCCTGGCTTGGCTCAAAGGCAGCCTGGTCTGGGGCCATCGCTGCCACGAGTGCAATGGGTGTGTCATTCCACCGACCTAATGTCGCATGTTAGCTGACAAGCAGCGCGCTGAGGTAAGAGCTAGTTAGGACCGAGGGATTGACCTAGAGAACAGGCACATCTCAGCCTTCATACCACGTCATTACCAAGTTAGTCCCAGCTAATTTCTTCGGCCCCTCGGGCTATGCGGAATTAGCGTGAGAGCTAGCGCCCAAACCGTTCATTAATTGTTAAGTTGCCTATGCAAATTATGCCTATCTTTTCCAACCATCCACTAGGATGGGTCGAACGCAAATTATTTAGTCGTTATACCTCCGATGCCATCTAAACGGTGGATCTGGAATTGTCATGTAAACCGGGCTGTCAATCCTTGGCCCCTTGAGCCAAAACCTGCACTTGCAGACTTATCTGGATCATGATCTCCAGACCCAGAGTTTCAACCCGTTCTTAAGCTGCCAAAGGATATCTCATCGTCCATGTCCCCTTCTTGTTTCTTCCCCCACCACCTCTTTTGAACTCCTACCGGTTTCACGTATCATGTCCACACCAGCGCCCGCGGGCGTGAACCTCGCATCAGTGCCCCCGGGCGTCGACCTCCGTGACGATCAACGTCCGGTGCTGAGGGCCTTGATGGTTGTGATGATAGTTCTTCCAACATTGGCAGTTGTTCTCAGGTTCTGGTCGAGAGCAGTCTTGCCCGGGGTTTCTGCGGCAGCGGTTCGATTTTGGTGGGATGACTGGACTGCTCTCCTAGCTGCGGTTTGTATCCCTCTGTAGACCCCATCAGGACGGGCCCTAAGTGAATGCAGATACTCAATATCGTCATGTGCGGGATCGGGTTTAAAATCGCCAATCTAGGGGCGGGCTTGCACCTCTTGGTGGTCCCAATAGAGAATTTCTCCAAGATTATGAAGCTTCTCTGGGCGGAATATTTTATTTTCGACACAGGCACGACTGTCGCCAGAGCTTCTGCCTTACTTTTCTACCAGCGTCTCTTTGGTGAAGTCCAGTCTCGCTTCACATACGCTATATGGGTAGCGCATATCCTGAATATTTGTTGGATGATAGGCATGCACTTCGCTGTCGGTTTCCAGTGTTCACCCGTCGAGAAACTTTGGAAGCCTCTAATCCCCGGGCACTGTACGAGTACTCGCACGCTTTTTATCGCTAGTGGAACGCCCAGTGTGATTATCAATGTTTTTATCCTGAGTCTGCCGCTCCCATTGCTCTGGAGGCTGAAGATGAAGCTGGTGCGCAAGTTGCTTATCATTGGCGTATTCCTATGTGGATACATGTATGACCCGGATCTGTGATTATCTACAATTGCACCGATACTGACTTTTCACTTGGTAGGGTGGTCGTGGTTTCCATAGGGCGATTGGTTTCCATTGTAAAGGTTGGCCCAAACCTTGAGAAAGACTTTACCTGTAAGTTCCGTCACCTGCCATTGCGAGGGAACGATCCTGACCTTCTGCAGGGGAATTTGTAGAGCCTGTGCAATGGCTACTATCTGAGATTGCTATTTCTGTCTTCAGCGTGTGCCTCCCCAGCATATTCGTCTTCGGCCGCCATGCCTACCATGAGGGTATCCGCGCGTTACTCGTCAATACTCACGCCAAAAAATCACAGTTCCCACTAGCCGATTCGGACCTTTCAGGGACCTACTTTAGCCGATACACGAAAGGAGAGGAGAATGAGTTAGACCGGAAACCATTACCTCCGCCCCCAAAAGAGGCCTTTACCGCTGATTCGCGTGCCACCGCGTACCGAGAGTCTCCTCGGCTGCCTCTGCCAACGGCGAATTTCAGTCGGCCCCCCAGTATGGGGATTGTTGTACGGAGCGACATCACAATTTCATAGACAGGATTCATAGACAGGACGAATCAACATTAATGCGCATTGAACATAGACACTGCGTGCGCCGTGGAGCGGGTCCTAGACGGATCCCGGAGTGAGACCTGTTGGACGCTGACTACTAACTCTACTACGGTGGTTCGGTGGCTCCGGTCGGCTGGTGGAGTTCGGGATGAACACCCCTGCGCGTGGCCAACGCCGATCCGATGCCTCTTCTTGTAAATAGTATAGACATTCACTTTAAATAATGCATTATGACATAGATTAATCACCTAACATGAGTCTTAAGCAAACACCAAATTCATAACAAATACTTGTGATTCTCAAACGTTGGATCAGGGCTATGGAACGGAGAACGGACTGTTGGATTCGCCGGCTAATGCGACAGATTAGGTCTTTGGCCCCCAAACGGAGTGTTTCCTCTACCGATTCATTTCTTTCTAGTAGTCATGCTGGGCCAGAATTTTCTCACTCCCCACTAGGTGGCCTTACATGGGAGCGAATTTGAAATTCCTGCAGAGAAGCCGACTTTAAGCTAGGCTGATTCTTCACATACTTGCTGCAGAGACCAGAGACCCACCCTATTTTACCAGGCCAGAAGGTCATTTTCAGGAACAGGGCTAGCTATCGACAAGTGCTGGTTATTAGATGACGTCTATCCAAGTGGGCTCTACAATTTACCAGAGAACAACGTCAGCCTCGTCTCGATAACGCTTAACAGACAGGTCTGACAGTCAGTCGCACATTGCACTCGATCTGTCCCGCGACATGAAGTGAAACGAAATGGCCCCTAGGGCCCTTACACCAGGCTTTCTTGGGGGGCAGTGCACATTTATTCTACTTCCAGTATTGCGGATACGTCAGTGCGGGTGCTGATCTGATCTGCCTCATGAATCTTGAAACAATGGTATGGTAATCGTGTGCGATGATTGATTTCTCGCGATCTAACCCAGTATGCGGTGATCGACGGCTTAGTCGTGCATAATTCTGCGGTTCTTCGTGTGACGCAGCCGGATATGTATGTCATGAAAGTGTGTTTTGGTTTGTTCTTTTCTGGTCGATCGAACCGAATCCACTTCAAGCCTAATTGGGAAGCGTTTTAGTGTTCCAGTCGGCATGGCCCGAGGTCAGGTGTTCATCGATCAATAGATCTACTTGCAATATACAATTCAGCATAAAGTCACGAAGTTAAATTATACATAAAAATAAGGAACAGGACGACAAAGAGGGATCTAGCTTTGCTACAAAGAAACCATAAATGCTATCGCATTTTCGCCAGAACAGAGTACCCCAGTTCCCTAGGTAAACTGCAACAGTGGCATACTCCGAAGGGTACTGTAAGACTGACATGCAGTGACCAGAACGTAGCAACCAATAGCGCAAATCACGCGAACAGTTTTTTTTATCTCGATCCCGACTCCATATTTATAATTAGTAATCACGCGAAACCAACAGGGATATGGAAAATTCTATCCCTCTAAGCCCCGTGTCCGGCAGATTTATCCTCCGTGTGTATGCTCCCATGACCCATACTCGGGAAGTATCTAGTCGGCCCCCATTCTGGCCACGAGGTGATTTTATTTTTTTTATCCTCTCCATGTGGCCTGAATCGTCATGTGGGGGCGAATAAACTCGTGGTAGAATGTTTGTTAATTCCGAGCTCCGTGTATTGGTAGAAAGTATCAATATGATGTTAATTAGTACTTGATATTTAAAATTATAATACTCAATCGAGTAATTAATACAACTCGGTGGTTGTTCATCATACATCCATCCTTCCTGCCAGTTATCCAGGCCTAGTAATGGGAGTTTATCCTTTTTTTTATGAGGCCCTCCTTTCCAATGGGTCTTCGGACACTGCGACGACCATGGAAACGAAGCAGCAGATCGCCTAGCTAAAGCAGCAGTTGGCTTAAATAAAGCAAACCTTTCTGTCGTCTTAGATAGTGATCCCTAAGAGCCCACCCGTAACAGCATGGTATTAAATTCTCAGCGGTCAGTATGATCAAGGTGAATGCGATGCAGGACGCTCTACTGTGTCCACAAAATATTAGGCTGGCGGATTAAGCTAGGAAATATATTCAGGGACAATTAATGCATCTGCAACGAAATTAAAGAGAATGGTTAACGTAAAGTTCATATCCAAATCATCGAATGTACAGACGGAGTCCGCCATTCCGACCGCGACGCTCCGGCAGATCTTTCATAAATGGTGCTAAGCTAGGCAAAGGATTCTTTGCATCACCCTCATTACTCCATGCCCTTTCGCAGAAAAAGTTGAATCTGGGATGTAGTTAGTGGTCTACTGCTAATCATATCACGGATCATCTCGGGCTGGGAGGGTGCTAGGCGGGGGCGCTGTGACGGGCCTTGTTAGATGTGGTGCGTCACCTAACATTACAGTGTGCTACTATATAAGGTTCTCAGGAATATCTGATCACAATGGGTTCAGATATAGTGGTCTTTTGGTCCAGTGGAATAGTTAAGTTCCTGAGCTTGGCTATAATAGTCCTTGTCGCCCTCGGCCTGAGAAGTTGCGAGGGGCAACAGAGATGGGTCGGTTCGGTGCGGGCGGACCGTCAACCGTCGAACCAGTGTCGAGGGCTTAAGTATTAAACAGGATCCTGCGGTGGCACTACAAAAACCAAGTAATGCTATGAACACATATGCCAACTCTCCAAAAGACCAAGCTAGCGGAGCTTTATCTCTTATTAATCACTATTATTACTATTATCACTGTTAGTTAATTGCTTTCTCCAGATAGCTTACACCTTCATCTTCAATTAGGAGTTCGATGGTCGTTGATTGGCCTCAGTTCCTGGCTAATCCCACTAACTAACGTAATCGGACACCGAGCGTCAACGCATTTTCAGGCACACAGCTCCTGCGCCAGTATTACCACCAACCACCATGAATAATTATGAACTTAAGATATAATAATGAAATTGGAGCTATTTACTTGGACATTTTAACCGGTTATGGCCAATTTGGCCACAGTTGCTAGATTTTTGGGGTCTTCGTTGTCTCTGAGATATCTCCTCCTTCTGCTGCTCCTCAATTGCTGCTGGGCTTCAAAGCCAGTAAGACTACCCCCATTTTGAATAAAATTTTTATATGTTTTTTTCTTCTTCGGCTTCTCCTGCTTCTCCTGCGCTGCATAGAACTGATGCAGTTGATGTTTAACTAAAATACCTTCCTGCATATTCTTCTCCGCACGCTTAATCATCTTATCAACTGCCTGGATCATTACGGAGGAGATAAATTGCTTTTTTTTGTCCGGAGATGTTGAATGCGCTTCTTCTGCTGCTCAAGCTGGTAGATATCCCCAGGTGTCTTCCCTGGGCCAAATGGATCATTGCTATGAGTAGAAGATGGAGGTGTTGGTGTTTTAAACTTAATAGAGAGCTTTGAGAGCACTCTCTTTGGGTCTAAAGGGATTAGACCAGTTGCTGTAAATCCACTTTGGATATTAGAAAAAGCAGCTCACATCAAGTGGTTGTAAAAGATGTGAAGAATGCGGTGGTAAATATAAAGGAATAATCTTTTTGTCTGTACAGAATTTATCAAACTCTGCAGTTGCATGTCTTGAATGGCCATCAAGAATTAACATCCGGTATTGACCCTTGGTTTTTGAAGCTGTATGCTTATCAAATACTTCTTGAAGCCAACTAAAGCCCAGCTTATTTGTTGTCCATCCATTCTCACTCATACTGATCCGATATTCTTGTGGAACTATAGAATACCACTGGGATTGATGCTTCTTTCCAGCAAGAATAATCTGAGCAGGTAAGGCCCATCCCAGTAGAATTAACTGCAACAATAGAAGTTGCCCACTCGCGATTCCCTGGTTGAAGGTCTTTTGCTCGACCTTGTCTTGTTCATGAGCCACAGATAACCTTTGCAGTTGACATAACACCCATCTGGAAGCCAGTCTTATCCATATTGTAGATATCTTCATCCAAAATACTTTGTCTTGGTGTTGTGAAAGAGTTTAAACCAGTTATAAATAAGCTCTGGATCTTCACATTTTGCACGCTGGTAGTCATACTTCCGATTATATTTGCAGCGTAGCTCTAGACGACGCTTCACAAACCGTTTTACCCACTTCTCACTAAGGGGTGTGGGAGATAAGGAGGATAATAGCCGCGCAGAGAGTAATAATCCTGCTAGATACTGGACAGTTGCAATCCGAAGAAGACCACGTTGATATGTATCAAGAATCCATGCTGAAAGAGTAGATTCTTCGGTAACTGACAGCTTTCTGCAGTTTGCAAGTCTATCAGCACGTGCAGGGACTCCTTTAACTTGTCTATAGAGAGTTCGGTAGTTGACATCAAATGCAGCGGCAGCCTTTGGGATAGAGATAAAATGGCCCTTTTTTTAATGCATTAAGGCCTAGAATAATTCGCTCTTCTTTAGAATTATCCATCATTTTGATGATATGGATGGATAGGGGACAGTCGTGGTGGTGTAGGTGGTTAGGCGGAATTACCCCTGACGCTCGGTGTCCGATTACGTTAGTAGAAATATAAATCATCCTTCACCTTATCTTTGCAGTTTGACCAAACGTAAGCTTCTTGATCGGAACCCACCAGGTACGATTATAGTTTACATTTGTTAAGTTCACTTTTAATCGAGGTGACTCCGAGTGCAGAACGCATCGACCAAAATTTGGGTCCCGACAAATTGCCCATTGCGCGAGGGGCCGAGTTTTATTCATATGTGGATCAACATGAAGATGAATGTCTTCCAGGAACGAGAACAGAGCGACTTCACCAAATCACAGAATGGGCTCGGTCGCCGCAGGGCAAGTGCATATTCAGGTTAAATGGGATGGCTGGCACAGGGAAATCGACCATCTCCCGAACAGTGGCAAAAACCTTAAAAGAGGCACGGCTCCTAGGAGCGAGTTTCTTTTCAAGAGGGGAGAGGGGGACCGGGGAAATGCTGTGAAGCTTTTTTTGACTATTACGTGCCTCAGCTGATTTTAGGTGTTCACTTAACGACGAACCCTATGTCACAGGCAAATCATTGGAGCAGCTTGACAAATTACTCCTTCAGCCACTACCGAGCTTAGAATTAGCCAGCGACCAGTCTCCAACCTTGGCGATAGTGATTGACGCATTGGACGAATGTGAACGTGGTGAAGATATGCGAATAATTCTCCAATTGTTAGCACAGCTACGGAACTCAAAGGCCTTGCCCCTCCGGATTTTCTTGACGAGCAGACCCGAATTGCTAATCAGTTTGGGTTTTCTCAAAGATCGCAAGCCGTGAATATCATGATCTGGTTCTACATGAAGTTCCCAAGCTAGTGGTAGAACATGACATATCTTTGTTCTTAAAGCACCGACTTTCAGTGATAAGGATAGACCGGTCCCTACCTGCGGGCTGGCCTGGAGACAATGCCATTCAATCTCTTGTGACAATTTCGGTTCCATTGTTCATTTTTGCTGCTACCGCGTGCCGTATATTCGAAGTCCCCCAGTGGGATCCAGTGTGAACACCCTCGCTGAGATCCTTGCACATCGAAATGATGGATCCCAACTCGATGGGATATATCTTCCTGTGTTGAATCGGCTTCTCAAAGGACAGAGCAAGAAACAGGAAAAGCAGCCAGTTCAAGAATTTCAGGAAATTGTTGGTGCAATTGTGATGCTTGAGAGTCCGCTCTCAGTTATCTCACTTTCCAAGTTCCCCGGCCCCACTGAAGGGCAAATTGACTGGAGACTTGACTCACTACACTCTGTTCTGAGTATGCCTGTTAATCTGACTCAGCCGGTGCGTTTGTTTCATCTGTCATTTCGAGACTACCTTCTTGACCTGGAGACTCGTGATAGAACCCCATTACGGGTGGATGAAAAGCAGATGCATCAGAGGCTGACCGCACGAAGCCTCTATAGGTGTGACAGTCTGCGAAGGAATATGTGCCGGCTGAGTGATGGCACAAAGCGTGCAGAGATTCATCGCCGGTCTATCGATCACTATCTCTCTCCAGAGTTGCAATACTCCTGCCGTTATTGGGCATATCATCTGACAAAAAGTAAAGACCCTATCGCTGAAATGGATAATGTCTTTTCATTTCTCCAGAAACATTTCCTGCACTGTATATAAGCAATGAGTATTCTAGGTCTTGCTTCGGAACTTATGGAAATCATTAACCAACTGCAGTCAGTCTTAAACGTAAGTATCTATTAGTTGTTCTGACATAATTTGCACTAATTTATACAGACGGATAAAATTTACGAACTATCAGAGTTCCTGCATGATGCAAAGTGGCTTTTCCTTAGAAATCGACAAATTGCTAACACGTCCCCCTTCAAATTATTTTGCAGGACTTGTATTCGCACCAAATTGTCAACAATTCGGAAAAATTCGAAGCCGAATTCCCAAGTTGGATACCTATCAAATATTCAAGAACTTGGAGCGCAGATTTACAGACGCTCGAAGGCCATTCACAGTGGCTTTAGTCTGTGACCTTTTCCCCCGACGGCCAACTTCTGGCGTCTGCCTTTCTAGATAAGACCACCTGGACTTGGGATGCAGTCACGGGCTCCCTGCAGCAGACTCTTGAGGGTTATTCAGATGGGGTTCAGTCGGTGGCTTTCTCGCCCAGAGCCATCTGTTGGCGTCCGGCTCCGACGATAAGACCGTCCAAGTCTGGAATTTGACCATAGGTGCCCTACAGCAGACTCTAGAGGGCCATTTAAATAGGGTTCGGTCAGTGACCTTCTCACCAGACGGCCGGCTGCTTGCGTCCGGCTCCCGGGATCGGACCGTACGGGTTTGGCATGCAGCCACAGGCGCCCTACAGCAGACCATAGAGGCAAAGGACTAGTCATCGACTTAGAGCTTTCTGCAGATGGCTCACACGTCAATACTAATCTGGGATACTTCAAGATCCAAACTCCGCGTGACAACCTTTTTCCCAGTTCGCCAGGCTCCGCCACCATATACCTAGATGGTCGATGGGTGGTTCTTCTAGGCAAAAAGGCACTATGGCTTCCTCCCGAGTATTTGCCCGTTTGTTCGGCACTCAGAGGCAATATTCTATCTGATATTCGGCTAGTACCGAATAGGAAAGTAGACACTATTCTTGAACAGGTGCTTAAATGATTGCTTTAGATGGTTACTTGATTATATTAATCAACATATGATCATTCTTGTGATTATTATTATGGATCATTTTGGTTGCTTCTTCTGCTAGGTGTAGGGGAGTTCGTTTTTACCCCTCTTTTATAACCTTGTTTACGTTACTATTACCACCAACTTATCTGACATATTCTTGCCTTGGGGCACGTGTCGGTATGGATCCATAGTCGAATTTTTTGTTCCGAACACACGAACTGAATTTAAATTCCGTGCTGCACATACATCTAATCTCTTTTTTAAAGGAGGGCCTGGAAGGAATGGTCAATATTTTCAGCTCTATTCTGCTACTCAAATTTGCTACATTTTTCTATTGGATTCTAGACCCTTGTAGCAATCAATAGCCTCCGTTTGATCATCCGTGTGCCAAGATTAAATTCGCTAAGTAAGCGTCAGGACTCATTTGGAAGGAATGCCGAACGTCCTTTAAGGATTGGCGTGCTATGAATTTTTGGTATGCGCTCGATTGTCACTGATGCGGCAATATCTGCGATTTGACAGATAGGGCGTAAGACACCCATATCATATATACTATTTTCCATTGATTATACCCACCTGTATGGCTAGTGCATTGGCAGTGGTGCTCAGAATTAATTCTTTGATGAAGCTGGTTTTGCACTTCACTATATCCAAGATCATTAGTTAAGAGGAGAATAAGGTGCTTTTTAGCACGCACATAAATGGCGCCATTGTTGACTAGGTTCTTGAGCCAGATCCTCCATCCTATGCTATTCTCCATCTGTGTAAGATCTATGAAGTCAAACCTGTCTAGCAATGTACTAGGGTGTAACAGCTAATTTTATAGAGGGTGATTTTGTGTACACTATCTCATGTATACAGGGGTTCTAAATTGGCTTTACAGCAACCGCACGCACTGATGAATTGGATTCTGGCCCCAAAGTATCATCTCGACCAATTTATTTAGCTCACACCTTTTAGTAGAGAGTAATTTTAGGCTACGGATTATATAATTGGGCCAATTTATTTTGTAACTACTGTAAGCACGGGAAGTGTGTTGTTTATTAGGCCATCTCATTTTATATTGTTGAATAAGATTGATGCCAGTGATTTGATTATCAAGATATTTGAGCACATAGTCTAGAATCGTTTCCATGATTGAACTGCTCGTTGGTTGTAGGGGAGCACGCTGGGCAAATTCAATTCGTATGATTGGAGTTTAGCTATTTGCAGAGTGTTAGAGGATGAGAAAATAAGGGCTAAGCATACGCGGTCTGATGCTGTTGTTGGATTAGCTTAGTTTCTTTAACCCAGTTACATCCTTGTCTAAAGATGATACATTTTTGTCCAGTCATAAAATGTTCCAGGAAATACGAACATTGAAGCCTCTATTTAGAACCTTGCAAGTTTCTTGTCTTAAACATAAATGCCCAAGGAGATAGTTGATGTTTTGGGATGGGTGCTTGCAGTTTATGGCTTATTCATGGGGAAGATATTGGTCGAAATACTCTACCTAAACAGGTGGACTTTATAACCTTTATAACGTCGTTGGTGCACCTTCTTCCAGCTCCAATCAATATCAGTTATATTATTGAGAATGTTTACCAAAGCTGTAGTACCAACTGAGAGATGATCTCCTCGCTCAGACTTCACACGGTCTGAATTATGCACCTTTTTAGTTTTGACAATGCTGAACACAGCAGCTTCGGGGAAAGATTGACAGCATAATGTCGTTCAGATACAGGAAAGGTCCATTCTCCCTGGAACTGTAGCCCTGCAGAAGGAAGCCCAGAATCTCTCAGCACTCCGTGGAAGGACCATCAAGTGACAGTGAACAGGAAAGGGTTGAACAAAACTTCGAAAACTTCAATGCATGTCTGTCATGTCCTCCAACGTCTTGGTGCTCATTTTAGACCATCTTCTTTAAAGAAACCCAAAATATCGAGAAAATCTCGGTCTGCTATTCAATTTTATTTAGATTGTTACTAAAATATGACTGTTAAGAAACATTGCGATAAGCAAAGAGAATATTTTACGACCATATCTCAAACAGCGCTTTAACGAAATATGTTCTAAATCATGTTCATATGATGTTGAGTCAGAGCATTCGTGATTACCGGACAACGAATGAACCGCGTATTGCCCCAAAGCGCTATTCTCGTCAGTTTCTTGGACCAGCAATTTGACAGATGAAGAGGAATAAGAGAAACGTAAATCTCCTTCGTCTTCTCGCAAATAAAAGTGGACCATGGATTGTCTCTTATCAATGGGGCCCATAATGTCTACGGTGAAACCCAAAGCCACATTCGTCCCAAACGCGTTACTATTGGTATCGTAAGCTTGGTCGGTAAGGCATAATTAAGTCTCCATATTTGAAATCGAAATCGCTATGTAGACTACGTGGCGTATAGTATCACTTCCTATTAGTTATTTGGATATGGTTTTATTACGAAGCATGTAAAACATTTATACTGTATGCGCACAGTAATGAGCGAGAGGGTTGTTCTGAAAATTAAGAGCTGTAGTTTCAATTCAACAGTTTCGAACAACCACACAAGCTCTTGCTCATATATCTTTTTAGCCCATTGTCGCTTTTCGTAATCTCTGGTGCACGCAATGGAAGACACTCGAAATTGTTTTGGACCCTTTAAAAAAGGCCGCATGTGCCTAATACACAAAGTACATAAGGACACCTGGTAATCCGAAGACTGTCTTGATACAAAAAAGACGAATCTATAATGATCAGCTGAAATAGCTGGAGATTGTAGTTGGAGAAGGAAATGAATTGGAGAAGCCCGAGTAAAAACCGGATCTCATTAGTTCTTAAAAAACAAGCTAATTATGCAGGTAGATTACCAGGATAATGGAAAATTTTTGGTGAATCCTCCTAAGCACGAACCAGGACTCCCCGCTTCCAAAAGCAACGCGGAGCATTCTCCGAAGGTGTAATTTCCTTTGGCGCATTTCACGCGGATCTCGCAATGTAACACTGATAAGTAAATCTGGCGATCCCTGATACCGGCTGAAACCGATTATTGGCCTGTATTTAGGAATTTCGGAGATAATATGGCGCACCAGATCGACTATTTAAATTGATGTGGACCATTCATTTCTTTCTAAACTTAATTTCAGCCAACCACTGGTAGCCCTCTCCACACTAAATGCCGAACCTCGGTAGCCGAGGTTCGGCATTTAGCCGATTCTATGATTGGTAAATTAACGATGTGGTGGGATACTGTTTCGATTACAGACTTAATAGTTTAGGTTTCTAGTACTAAAAATCACGACGCAGTCTGAATATAAAGCAAGCCGTAAATGTGCCCTTTTAGCTTTTATACTCTGTTATTAACTAGATCAGTCATCCTGGGGTCGAGTGAAAGCCACAGTCCTGTAAGATAGGAATTCATGCTTAATGCCACTGATCCTCACTCCGGCCGAGGTGTTCCAGAATTAGGAAAATGCATACATCATGTGAAGGTCTTGTGCCGTTTCTGGGGTGTTGATCCTGCCACCGAAATAGGTATCAACACTAAGTATCCTGGGATCCCGGGGGCCATGTTTGATATGCAAGATACTCGTTTACATCCGGCGCCGTTAGTAAAAGGGCAGATCTCTTGCGGGCGTATAGTAACGTGTATTATGAGAAATTCAGGGTAAACCCAGTATCAATAAATGCACATGCGACCAAAAAATATGGCTGATAGAATACTCCGTAACTTTTAGGAGGGATATGCCGAAGAATTAGAAAAGCTTAGCATGTCTTGGTAAAGGGCCCTATGACCCTGTGCGTTATAATCAAATACCATCCCCACAGCACTTTACCGTAGAGGGCAAATGGTATTAAACATTCTATTGTATATTATAGACCTTGGATATAAATGTAAGCATTCATGCTCTCCTCTCTCCGGTAGACCCACAGACATCCGTTATAAGCTTTCATTTACGAATAATATGAGGGAACTTCACGAAATTACCAGGTGACTATGACTTGAGTGGGGTTACCACCCTACGATGTTTGGACCCTACAGGATACCATGTCCTTTGCAAAGGAAGAGTTGTACCCTGACGGAATACTGTGGTTGGCTAGTTTCACGTTTCAACTTGAGTGCTCCAAATGATTACTTTTATTAGTGGTGGCCTACATAAAGAAAATGTAGTTTGAAGGCATCCATTTGGACATATATAAAGACACCGACAAGGCCAACAGCGCAGTCAATAGCATTTACAAAGTCATTCATTTAGGTACTTATTGTCTTCTTTCAATCATTTTTCCTGTATTCATTCTTTTCCATTTTGCTCTGGTTTGCAAAATGATTATAACCACAGTCTTTACCATTATTTCAGCTTTCTTTTTTATGAACTTGGCATCTGCGATGCCAATCCTTCAATCCCGTTCTATTCTAGGTGCAACAACCTATACTACAGGAAATCTACTATATGCTAACGTTTATAACAGATGCTTCTGCTTTCACTGAGCTTCAACGCGCCGCTTATCTTTCGTCTGCTGCCTACAGTGGCTGTAAGGATACAGCCTTTGATGTCACCATCACGAAGCAAATTCACGACTTTATCACGGATACCCAGGTGTGTTTGCGGTATAATAATTAAAAACAGATGAAGTCTAATAGCTACATAAGGGGTACATTGGATATTCCGAAGAAAAAAAGAGGATTACTGTTGTTATGAGAGGCTCCACATCCCGTGAGTATTTTTAAACCCTCGTAAATATGATTATCTAACCCTTTCCTCTTGCTGACTGTTGTAGCCACGGATTTTTTCAACGATCTTGATACTATTTTGGTAAAACCTAATATCTCTGGAGTGGACTTCCCCCCTGAAGCAAAGATTATGTCTGGGATTAATATTCCTTGGTCTGCCGTGCATGACGAGGTTATCACCGAAGTAAAGCGACTAGTTGATCAATATCCGGATTACACACTTGAATCAACTGGCCATTCCCTAGGAGGCGCATTAACATACATGTCCTATATAGCTCTCGCGCAAAATTTTCCCGGCAAGGAGCTCACTGGCAACGCTCTGGCAGCCTTTCCGATTGGAAATAAGGAATTTTCTAACTTTGGAGCTTCCCAAAAAGGAACTCTCAACAGGGGTAACAATGCGCTTGATGGGGTCCCTGTAAGTTCAACGCAGCGACAATAACATTTCTCCTCTATATGTAGTTCAAAACTAACACTGACTTTTTTAGAATATGTACGTGTTTCCCCTTGGGTATGCGCACTTTGGTACCGTAAGTTTCCTTCATTATTATCTTTCTTTGTCTTTCTTTCTTAATGCGACGTTCCCAATGTGCATCTTGGCTAATTTTCTTACTTATTTTCAGGAGTTTTATGGATCAGGAACCCCACTGAGCACTTTGAAATGCATTGGAGAACGCGACAAGTCTTGCTCGGCAGGGAATAAAATGTATGGTGTGACCCCTCAGCATGTCTCAAGTTTCGGCGTCCTTGAAATGATGGCAGGCTGTGGTCATTAAATCCTCGGAGAATAACAGCAACACCTACACATTGGGAGTTGATGGTCGATACATATGCAATGGTGGAGTGGTACAGTCAATCTAGGCCCAACATTGATAGTTTTCCATAGGCGGATGGCAAAGCATATTTATATCTTCCTACAACGAAACGAGAGATTCCAATTCGGTATAGAATCCCCCAGATCTGTAGCATAAGCCCTCTATATTATATATATATAGTAGATCTAACATAATTTCAATGCCATGCCTAGAATGTTCTGATGCTTGTCTCGTCTGGTCTCAGGGGAGAATCAGCTGGTAATAATTTAGCTTTGATTGGACTTCAGACAAACGGCGAAAACAAGGATAATTATGGCTCGTAAGTTATCTGTCAGCCTTGTCTTTGCCAAGGTCCTTTATCTGATTTGGGGTTAGAATAGGATTCCTAGAATATTCGTTTATTGTCTAGAACATGCATATTTGGGGATGATGTGCCACAGGTTGAACCCAGTGTATTGCACAGACGAAGGTTTTCGTTTCTAAATAGGGCACTAGGTGCTACTGATCTTTCGATTCTTTGTGCCTTTTTGGTCGAATGGTTTAACCTACACTAGCGCATAGAAACCAAAACTTCTACATGATACAAATCTTGGACCCACGGAGGCCTAAAATAAACTTTCAAGCCGCCGAAAATATAAATACTCGCCCGTTTTCCATGTATATGTCTAAACAGAAATCGGAATCACTTACCTTGCTAAATTCATATGACTTTCCCAATAATAAGCTGCTGTTTTTGGACTACCCCCAGCAAAGACAAAACAAAATACCTAGCTTCATATGTTTGCTTGGTATGCAGTGAATGAGAGGGAAATGGTAGAACTCCGAAAGAATAGGTCAAGGAAACACTCTTAGACAGTTCAGAAGTTGTGGGCCCCGAGCCCACAAGTTCCTGGCAACCAAAGAGAAGACAACATTCCTTCTACGCAACTGCGTCCCGTGGTCTGTGAGAAGGTTGTTGATTGTCTATTACCTCTTTGAACGAGGACTTAAGATAATAGCTGTCCATACAACTGTCACGTGCCAATCCCCCGAATTCCTCCACGACAGCAGGTTCACCGATTTGTTTGTATAAATGTATCAGTCGGTCAGCTGAATACGCGTATGAGCTAGTATCACCAATCTTATGAATAATAATGGATCTGCATTGAAAAGCATAAGGTCTCTTACTATCTGGATCTATGCGGAGAACTGAATACAAAAGACAAAACAAAGGAACAAAGTCGGACCGAGCGGATGCTGATTAATGAGTAATATTGACCCACTCTGGTCGACAGTGTCATCGTTAAACATATGTCAACCATAAAATTCAGGACACGTATTCGCAAGTATCGATCCTTTATTGAATTAGGTCTCTGATTCAACTAAACTACCAAAACATCTCGCGTTTATAAAGGCGAGGTAAACAAATGAAGAATGCAAACTAACTAATATAGGAAATATACGCGATTCGATGATGTTGTATCATCAACAATATTTGACCGAAAAAGGTGCTGAATAATCAAAATTACTATAATTGTTGACAACATATGATTGAAAGAAGTCCTGGTTTACAGGGAGTAATTAGATAAGGGTTGTAAATAAGACACCGCATTTAATCTTGTGGTACATACTTTTTTGGGGGAGTTTTTTTGGGGTTGCCTCACAGACGACCACACTGTGTACTACTCTTCCGGGTCCGGAGGGCTTACTGAGGGGTTCTTCCCTCCTGCAACTGTCTCAGGAGTCAATTGCTCACCTCTGAAAGTAGTCGTCATCTCTCACGTTGTGCTCCCTCCTGACTTCCTCTGCACACAGATTATAGAGCCACAGCAATATAAGCACATTTTGCCTCCCAGAGGGGATCGCGGGCGGGCCCTCTCTGACGCTACGGTCTAACGAGTTTACGTCTAAGACCGCAGCAACAGGTGACCCGTTGCGGCCAAACCGTCCCTCTTGACTGCGTGATGTCACCAGTAAAGTGTTGTTTGTTCCTTTTGCCCACCTTGTCTATTCTATTAGGCCACCGACTTAATCTGCGCAAAGAAACAAGATGACAGAAGCAATAAACATTATTATCAAATACGCGACTGAGGCCGACGTCCTTAAGCTCTCTCTCATCGAAGTCCTGTCCTTCCCCTCCTCCAGATACCTTTCCAACACCTTTCCTAACGCTGAATTGCCAACTTTACAGACATTTAAAGCAATTTTATTATACGAACACCTGGCGAGCGCACACGCTCATGTCCTCGCAGGCGTAGATCCCATGATAAATGATCTTATTGCGTATAGTCGCTGGACAATCCCCAGGGAATATGGATATGAACAAGATGCCTTAACAACGCTTAGTGATGACGCACTTCTAAAAATGGCGGACCCGTTACCGTATGCGCCTCGGCCCATAAATAAGGAGATATATAAGGCTTACGGTGCGTTTATTGATCGCAAGAGGGCAGTCCATATAACACAGCACGATATGGGTATAATATCTCTTTCTCTTTCTCTCTGAGATATTGGAAGCCTAATATATCGACTGACTGAGATAAAGTTCTGGATATGCTTTGTGTCTTGCCAGATTACCAGGGAAAGGGGATTGGGACAAGGTTTTTAAAATGGGGTATGGATAAAGCCGATGCAAATAATGCAAGAATTTATCTTGAAGCTACACTGGAGGGGTATCCGCTGTATTTGAAGTATGGATGGAAGGTTGTCGAGGAGTTTGTTCTTGACTATGAGAAGTATGGTGGGGCAGGGAGTCAGAAGTTTGTGTTGATGATGAGGGAGCCTCAGACTGGAGAGAATATGTAGATTATAATCAGATATTCTTTTTGGACTTTGGGGAAGTAATGGGGGGAATCTCGGATTTGAGCATTCATTCTACATGGATTTATAAGGAGAGACGTGGTTACTTAAAGTGATACCAACAGCTTCGCTTGCTTACAAATAGCTGAAATACACATCTTATGATCTTATACTCGCTTCTTACATACCTCAGGTAGAAAAATGGAGCAACCACAAGCGTAAGATAAGTATAAAATTTATCTCTCTTAAAGGCGCAGGTAAGTTCCATTAACACACTAGGACCGGCCTGACACATTTTGAGAAACTTTCCAATACTTCACGCCACTCTGCCGGAGATGAACCTTCAGCAACGTCTTCGCATGATAGGAAGATGTCATTTTCAATGAAATCCCTGGTCGCCATAGCCTGCATAATAGTCCATGGCTTTGCTATCTGGTCCTTGAAAGAAAGTCAGGAAGATTTTACGACTTCAACTTGATGCTGTCGAGCACCAATTCAGCTCACCCACCCAACTGTAATAGGTGGACTATCGAAGTTAGTGACTAACTTGCTAACATTTAACATAGTACTGAAGCTTCCATATAATTAGCTTTTATTATATGAGCATATCCGCAACATATAGCTCTTCCCAGTGAATGAAACCACCAGGCTTTTTAGCAGTCAGATATGTGGTATATGAAGAGTTATTGAATCCTCGGTAATGTATAATATCGTATTTTCTAATAAGGTTATCGGGAACAGGTGCGAAAGTGCCTAATGTGCCCTATGTCACATTTGACCGAATCTCGTGCTTCGAAGGGAAGTGCGCAGAAGATATGTCGAATCAATCGAGCTGCACAGTTGGTGATAAAGCCTTTGCGACATCTACAAGCCAAATGCAGTGATATTTTAGTAGGTTCTATTCTATTGTCGAAATAACACTATCTCTGTATTTGAGATATATACCCAGTCTCGCATGCGATATCTAACCTTGGTATGGACAATGCTTTGTAGGGTAAGCCCAGAAACACGCCAGGGCGATATTCAAGACATCCATGTTTTTTTCATGTTTGTCCATAATTTTATTCATACAGCCAAAGCTGCCAGATTTGTAACAAATCGATACGGCTTGGTTTCCACCTCTACTTCTCGTCGTTAGAACCGACACCTAGCTCTCAGATAGCTGAGTATGCATTAAAAAAAATTTTGCACGCCGCTTTTAATATCACGTCGTATATTGAAGAACCTAGATATCTACACCGTCATATATTTCAGAAGTTGCCTATAAATCGGAAACTGTTCTAATGTCACTTAGAAGAGAACGGGCTTTGTCTGTATATGCACATCTGAACAGAAACATTAGTCCCTACTCGGGGACTGTTATTAAATGGAAAATAATTAACTGGTTAACTACTAACTAAGGCGTATTCACCATCACTAGAGAGGGTTTTGTCATATGCCCTTATTTCGAGATATTCCTTAATATCCCGAGGACAAAATTAATCAGTCATATCCTAAAGTTCTTATTCCTCAGTAAACCTTTTGGGTTTTCGTTCTTAGCATAGATGCTAGTTCCGATTGACCTAGTCCTATTTGATCTCCTATAGGTACAAACAAAACAACTCGCAAGATGATCCTAATTTTTGCGCAGTAAGTGGAAAGTAATGAGCAAATAGTCAACGCGTGCGAGACACAAGACAGCACCTTCTGATTGGTATCGGTTCAGTGTCTTTAGAAACACTACAAGATGATCTCTCCAATGTCGTATAGGATTTAGATGGTGAGATGTGTGATATCCATCATTAAAGCAATATTAGTTACTCTGCACGTTTTATTAACCTCCTTCCTAGACCATTAACAGACATAGGGGCAAAAGCGTACTTGAACATTGATCAATGTGATGCTGGAACGGTAGCTAGAAGTTGGTTGCATATTATCTACGAAAGGGTGGTGGCCCCAGTTCCCTACATCATCCTAATCCTAGTCTGGGCGAGAGGCAAGAGTATAACTATTAAAGTTGCACGGAAATTGTAGCGGGCCAAACAGAACACTATTATTATCGAGAAAAGAACAGACGACTTGATAGCTAACTTGTAGTTTTTCTTGGTGTGGAAATAGTGAGGTAGCTCGATCCAGATAAGAGGAAATGGCTGAGGTATTTTGGGAAACCTAACAGGCTGTCTCGTTGGTATACAATTGTAGAAGATAAATCGTCCGGACAATTATTTTCCACGTGATCATGTTTGACATGCTGATAATAATAGGAGTCCCAGGTATAACACATAAGGGTCTCCAACACATGGGATTAACTGATCAAACCAAGAATACTTATGGCCCAACAAGAAAACCGGTAGAAGAGGTAGAAAGCACTTGGAAGTAGTGTTGAGAGATACAAAATAGTGTGGGTAAGGAAAATCACATCAGTTCGTTGTCGGACAACCTGTAAAGGGCTGGAGCCCGTTTGATCTCTCGGGCCAATTACACTATTGTCCCTATTGTCCCTATTGTCCCCGTTGTCCCCGTCGTCCCTACTGTCCCTACTGTCCCTACTGTCCCTATTGCCTCTACGGACCCTACAAGCCCTTTTGGCGCCATTGACCCTCAACTTGTGAGCACGTGACTCTCATTCTCCTCTTCCTTTCTTCCCTTCAACGATTCCTTTTTGTACATAGCCTATCTTATAGGCTCTATGAGTTCAGCCCCTGACAAAGGGTGTAAAATATGGCATTCCGTAATATATGCTATATCTAAAAAGGCATTTAGTACCCAGCAAGGACATCCAACAGTCTAGGGGAATCAGAGGTGAACAATACTACTCGTCCCGAAGAACAACAGAGACATATGTCGATCGTGACACAGCAGAAGTAACTGGGTGATAATCCGGTGGTAACGATAGTAGGTTCTCCGAGTTCAAAGTGATCCATGTACCATAGGAACTTACACCATATCCTTTTAAATAGTGGGACTTCGGGGTTTGTGTTGGTCAGTACGCTCTCTGAAACTGAAGATAAACAAATAGTGCCTATGTTGGTTTCAAGATATGACTTGGTATTGTTAAATGATTTCACAGAGGTGACTCCCTTTAACATTGAAGGTCTGAAGGCATTGGTCGCTGCTGGCATCCCATACCTTAATAGTGCAATCGAGTGAAGCCGAGGCGAGCAGCTTGGAATCATGGGAGAATGTGACTGAGGTGATCCAGTCGCTATGGCCCTCAAGAGTCTGGAGGCAGGCTCTCCAACCCTGCTTCATTGTTGGTTTTTTAATTATCCACGCTGGTTCTTGTGATTCAAATTGAATTCTTGTTATGCTCCTGGCCGGGCTAAATATCAGTCCTGAACCATATACTTGAAGCGGACTATCCATAATTGCTAATCCATGGCATAGGATAAATTGGCGTGCATCTCGAACTCTATTAATTAGCTGTGAGTTCTCCGCTTTTTCTAAAATTACAATGTTAAAAGAGCTCCTTAGTTGCACTAATAGAAACAGACCTCTAGCAAAATCTGGAGCCTTCGTATCGAATCTACTCCCACTGATAAGTTTCTTAATAGACTAAGAGCCTCGAGCCAATGAAGGTAGTTATTGCGAATAAAAAGTACCAACTAAGCCACTATCTTGAAGATCTTCTTTCGCGTTTTTACTAGGAGAGCACCTATTTAAGTGATCAACCCAGTAGACACATGCGTACCGTATTGCGGCTAGCGGGTCTGGATTTGGCTGGTTAACCTGGTTGATTGGATATCCGGGGTGCACTAGGCTGTAGATGTCGCATTGTAGCATCCTGGAAATAGCTTCTAATGACCTTGAAAATATAGAATAGTGCACTATGTCTTCTCCGTCGGGAAAAATCTTATAGACTGCTTCTCGAAGCAAAAAGTCCTTGGCTAACTGATGAACTAAAAAGATTGTGCGACCTCGGAGCGTTAGGAAAGAGCTGCAAAGCCCTATAATCTCTTCTAGAGAATCATAATCGTCAGCAACTTCTTTAGGTAAATTTATACAGGACGCTAATTCGTCCAACATAATAGGGCGGTAAACGGTCGTGACAACGCCGAGGAGTGACTTGCAAAGCCTAGCATCGTCTTTATTATCTAATTTATTGATATGATTTAACATTCGCTTATATAGCTTATTAAGGCCAGAAGGGAATTCATCTAACTTCTTCCGAATGTTTCTTTTCGGGATCTTGGTGAGTTTCTCGCAAACCAAGGCTACCCAGAGGAAGGTACCTTGTGCGTTTAATAACAAGTATTAGGAAATAGTATCACGGATTTCATCGTTATATTTTTTCTCTTTTGTCAATTTCTGAACCTTATAGCGGATAAAGACGGCGACGGCCTCAGCGACGGACGTCTTATTTAATTCAAGCCAGAGTTTTGTTTTTTGGGTCGCAGCATTAAGAGTCTCTTTAATGGCTGGCCAGTTACTGCTCGAGACAATCCATTTGACGTGTGGATATGCTGATGATTTCTGGGAGACAAGTTTAAGAAGTTAATCTAAACCTGTAGTATATTTATCAAGAGCACTGATGATTAAATAAGTGGTCTGTAACAGCGGGTCCTCGAGGATACTAGTAAAGATTTCTAACAAAGCCTCCCATGCATTAACATCCTCAAATACTTGCTTCCCGGCCTTGTTGTACTGCCACCGTATATGGGAGATGAGGGATGGCTTCTGGTCAACCAGCATAAAAAAAAGGCCACAAAGGACCGCAGCGGCGTGGTTTATCCGGCCGTCGGTAGCCTGGCAGAAAAAGAAGGAGATAACAGTGGTGTTAGGAGCGGACTTAGTTAACTTATTAATAATTCCACACAAGAGCATTGTTTTACCCTTCCCAGGGTCCCCTTTGATCCAGAGTAGTTAACTCTCTTCCTCATAGCGCCATCGTTTGAAATCAGTATAATTAAGGATCCAGTTATGCGCGTTATATAGTAGTCCACCCTTGGCCGTCTCGATACCATCCTTATCGTGGCGAGGATTTGTCGTCTTTAAATCCCGTAGGCAGGCTCGGTTTGCCGATATTTTAAATTGCTCTGAGAGCGGAAAATGCAATCAGTGCGTAATCCCCTAGCATGGCTTTTTTAAAACATGCCAGTGGGGGGAGGAAACTGTGCAGTGATAGGGCCATAATTCTGCACTACTTGAAGTCCAGAGTTTGTGCCACTAATAGATGTTGTAGAAGCCATGGCCATAGTGAGATGGACGAGATATTTTTGTACAGTGGAGGTAAAGGACACGACGAAGTGAAGGTCGACCGCCCAGCCTGTTAGGGACCTACCATATTCGGTATGGTCACGTGGCCTCACTTAGTCAGGGTGCCATTATTTGTACAGGGCATAATCGTACTTATACAGGGCACTAGCCCAATTAGGAAATACTTATTTGTACAGATTGAGACTATACTAGATTAGGATATATCATGTGACCCACAACCTTGAAAGCATTATAGTATTAATGGAAATGCTTTTTATTCGATTCTCTATATAAAAGTGCAACATAGCATGACACAATTATTAGACATTAATATACTAATTCAGAATACAGTTTGACCAGCCAATCAGAATGCAGATATTAAAATTCCACTAACACCCATGTTAGATCTCCAGATTGCCCTTTTCCTCGACCCCGTCCTCCACCCCGTCCTCCACCCCGTCCTGGAGGCATTTCTTGCCTTGACGCCTCAGATAATATCTCTGGCCCTGCCTTGTTTGATGTTTCAAGCAGTATGTTGTTTGCTGCTGCTGTAGCTATTATATTTGTAGCTATAGCCTCCCCAGACCTTGCAGACCTTGCCTCTGCAGACCTTGCCTCTGCAGATATTGCCTCTGCAGATATTGCCTCTGCAGATATTGCAGCGGCTGCAAGTTTCTGACCTCTCTGAGCTATTCGTACCTCCCAATCCACCCGCTTATATAATGATAATTCTTGCTTGTTTAATCGACTGCTGTAGGAAGAAGGCACAACAAGTGGATCTAGTACTAGAAGCCGAGGATCTAGTGGTTCCTTTAAATAGCCTGTTATCTACCACTGGCGATGAAAATAGTTTATATTTAGTGATCTCTGGTTGTCTGCATATTCTTAAATAATATGGATGCAAGGAATTCCTAGTGTTTTCTAGATGCTTCCTGTACAAGGCTTAATTTGCCACTTCCCAGGGCCTTTAGGAAGATAGTTCTTGTAGATCTGATGGATTTTTAGTAGTGCAAACTGGGATATTTTAAACTTTATATCCCGGTAAAGAGGCAGCTCTAAAGATATAGGCCATCGTACCATATCTTTAGTAATCTGTCTCTCTATTTCTGCGTCTCTATCTATTATTGTACGTTCCAGGGACCTTGTGACTATTAAAAGATCTCCTGTAGTATAATCTAGATCCTATTTAATATTATAATAAGCATCTTTATTACGAGATGTTGCTGTATTTCCAAAATGTGTATAGGAATTGGTATAGTAATAAAGAAATTTTCTTGCTGTAAAGTATTAAAGCCATTCCCACTCCAGATAGTGTATTAACTCTGGAAAAAAGTTATATATTTGTTTAAATTCTTCCTATCTCTGATTCTTCTCCTTAATTGTGGCTGCAAAGACAATTTTGGTCCAGTTTTTTTCAAGATTTTGTATCTACTTATTAATTTCTTCAATTCTTTTTTTTGTGTCTTGAATTTAAACTGTACGAGTAATTATAGGCTTTGCTTTTACTATAATATTCTTAAGAATATGCCAGATACAAAGAAAATAATTGCTTTTAGGAAATAAATATGTAACTGCATTTATTAAAGCCTTTTTTTTATTTGTAAGAATTGCAAGAGAAAGCGGAAGCCAAAAAACCTGATAAACTCTCCTTATTAAAGCTAGAATAAAGGAATAAATATCCTCTTTTTTATTACTTAAAAAGCTAAATGCAATATAAAATATGCTTCTAGTAGCTAATACACCAACAATATTAAAAAGAGGTATCTTAAAACAATTGGTTTTATATGTACAGTCCATATAAAGAATATATAGATTCTGCTTTAGCCGCTGAAGGCACACCTTATGAGTAAGAAATACAGCAGAAACATGCCCAGTTTGAGTAGCATGCTGTACTATCCAACTACCTTTATCCGGAAGGATAGTAAGTAAGGCCTGGATTGGGCTTCTTCCGGCAAGAAATCTTTTAACTTGCTACCCGTAGATTGTAGATATCTTGTCGCTGGATTAAAGAATCCTGGTTCTCTTGACGGAGTATTCGAATAATTTCTCGAGTTACTATGCTAACTTTGATTAAAGCCTTAATTTGTTCTTCTTTTTGCTTAACCTTTTCTCTCCGAATTAAAGGATGTGCAATAGCTGGTGATGGCCTATAATTATATATTTTATTCTGTACAATTAAGGTCCATTTTGTTATATGTTTTAAATAGCTAATTTAAATACTAAAAGAGCAGCTAATTCGTCGAGATTTAGCCTCACATTGGCCAGCAGATCTTGAAGTATGCTTTAGGCCTCGATCGCAGCCAAGATAAACTGCTTTAATAATACTATTTGCGGTTTTGTTGCGTCGAATAACTATAACTAAATAGCCATATTGTAGAGCATGTGCTTTTGCGGCCTTTTCTGCCTTTAAAGTAGTATTAAATTATGTGCCGGATTTAGAAGAAGGTATTTAAAAAGGAGTATTATTATCTAAGAAATAATCTATTATAATGCTTATTGTATTGAAGTTATCCCTAGATATAAATATGTAAACATTAATAATATTAAAATATTTCCTAATTAGGATATTACTAAGAGACCTGTATAATTAAGATCCATCCCTTGGAGGAATTTTATACTATGCCAAATGTAGTTTAGTGCCCTGTATAAGTAAGATTATGCCCTGTACAAATAATGGCACCCCTTAGTCACCCACCTAGATAGTCAGCTCGCCCGAGCTCCTGAATTGAAGAGAATTGTGCCTCGCGAACAGGTTATAAGACCCTCTATATCTTCCTTTTAGAGCTGATATTACGTGGTTTTAAACCACCTGTTTTGTCTATTCAATTGCCTCTCGAGGAATTGATAATAATTTCAATCAAAATAGGCCCGAAGAAGGGAAAAGCGCCTGCTAGGGATAAATCTCTATTTTGTACACCTGGCCTATCCTCTCCTGCGATAATACGACCACCATCACGAGATATTAAGTCGGAGGAGGAGGAGGATCGCATGGAATACGTGTCAAGGGACCAGTTTAGGGATTTCCAAGTGTAATTGCAGAATCAACAAACGTAATTACAGAATTAAATACAAACTTAATTGCAGCAAATAATAGAGCTAATTCAACGCAGTTAATCGCCCCTTTTAAGTACGCCCACACCGAACCCGAAGCCCATGTTAACAGATCTACCGTTACCACGCGAGGATGACGCCGGCCGCGCGAGTATAATACAAGCAGTCAGCGCCATGCAGAAGGATGTTAGTTAAAAGCTTTAATATAAACTATAATCTCTAAAGATCTCCAATTTTGCGGATTAGAAAGAGGATCTATTTAAAGACGCCTGTATTATAAACGCGGAGTTGATTTTGATTAACAAGGAGCTTAATCCACCAGACAGTAACGAGCTCAATTCAGCAATTTGGCAGATAAAGAATAAAGCTTTGGCTATCCAAATCTACTAATTAATATCGCGAGAAGTGCAGGATCACCTAGGTAAGATAAATATCTTAAAGGCAGCTACATTATATATACGAATCTATAAGGTAATAGGTTAAACAAAGGCCCAGGAGCGCTATGACCTAGTGCGAGAAATTATTAATATTAAATTATATAATAGCAATTATTTGGCCTATAAAAGCAAGCTTTTAATACTCCAGGCACAAGTAAAATATCTTTATGTAACTGTGAATAATATATTTTATAATATCCACTATATTCGCCTACACAATTGGCAATTAAATTTTATAACAAATAAGCTTAATCCATTCCTTGCCTCAGGGGCAGGAAATCAACCGATTAAGAATACTAATCTAGTTAAGATTAAACAATAGTTAAAATTACAACAATCTAATATATACTGTTTAAAGACTTCTGGATTAAATTAATAATCTAATAGCACCAAAAAGAAGCAGGATAACAAGTCGGACTTTACCTCTTTTAAAAATATAAAATTGTCTTGCAGTTATTACAGACAATATTCTCTCACGAGGATATGCTGGTATTAGAATCCCAAGATAATTCCCTTTAATAAAGCAACGCCAGTGTTTCTTAAACAAATTAATAAGTATAGGGCTACAAAAGGTGATCCTGCATATGCACCACCTGCACCGAAGCCCTTAGCCTCTATAAATTATATTACAGAATTAAGTACATAACCACCTAAATAGTATGTGGATACATGCGCTTTGTACTATATAACCCCCTAATAAGACATCTTTTCAACATACAAAATTCTACCGACTGGTATACCTAATATTAGCAGATCCTTAGGTGGACAAAAGCCTCCCCTCGCTGAGGGAACGGCCCGAATAACATTTAATAATATTACCCTTAATATACCAGAGGTGCGCCACATACCTGGTTTGTTAGCAAATTTATTAAGTTACACGCAGCTTTTAAAAGCAGGTTTTAAACTATTAATCCCAGAGGACGTGTACACTAATATTATTTTTACTAATAAAAATAGCTTAACTATCACTGCAGTCCCTTTAATGTCACGGCAAGGTCAAGACCAAGTCGTGGGCCCCGGGCCCACGACTTCGAAGAGATCCCAGATCACCTGACTTCCAGCCCTAGCCCTATTCAATCACGTGATCACATATCCTACACCTCACTCCCAGCAACACCTCTTCAGATAGCTCCTCAAGTTAGTTGTTTCGAATATGAGTCGCCCTATGTTCTGAATAGATCTTGTTTCATTCAATCTAGGTTTAGGACCGTGACAATAATAATTCTATCCTAAAAAAAGGCATTCTAGTATATTATTAGTATAATGTCTGCATAACCACAGCCTATATTTAGTATAGCCCCCTGGAAGACGTATCTCGCGAAGCCCCATTAAAAGTGTATTTAAAGGATAATCTAAATTAGGGATATTATTAGACTGCGGCAAAACCGCGGTTTTGGGTATCATAGTCAAAACCACAACCGCAGATTTGCGGTTTTGGATATCACTTTGAAAACCGCAACCGCAACCGCAGATTTGTGGTTTAACCACGGTTACCCATGGATAACCGCATGAAAACCGCACTAGCATAACTCTCGCTTCTTTAACCAATTCTAGCATATCAGGTGACACTTATGCAGCTTACATACTCTTGTTTTTAATTTGAAAATACACCTGTTCTGGTTAATACAGTGAGCCCGGTTAACCTCAGGCCAATTGTTCTTATTGTCCCTACTGTCCCTATTGCCCCTATTGGTTGTAGCTCCTCTAACGTTTTATATACGTGTACCCAGGCAATATGCTCCTGGGAGTGTACGATAATAAGCTATTCCGAAAACTTAAAGACAAGGAATGTGTTGCAGGCCACGCCCGTATATTACTCCTATTCGCCTTCGCTGCAATTGGCGCACATGATTGGTCCGCTTATTGCAGTTATATAACCTCGTAGTATAAGACCACTTCTTCCCCTTTACTTTCTTTATCTTAACGATTCCTCTTTGTTATATCTAGTTATTAGATAGCAAGGCATTTCGCCTGTTAAAGTATGTTTGTTTGCCCTAAAAGTTAAATAAAAGCATGATAATAATAAAAATATCTAAAGGTCCTCCATAGGATTAGGCACTGGACGAGTCTATATTAGCCAGCTGCAGTACAGATGGTCTAATATAGACACAAGCACCTACTAGGAATCGAACCCAGTACCTCTAGATTACTAGATCTAATGCATTACCACTAGACCATTGGTATATTATAA